AACACTCCACCCCCTCCACAACTGGTGATGGAGCAGTTGTGGAGAGAGTGGAGAGGTTTCAATTCCTGGGGTGGACGACCTACTATTCATCCCGTGTTTAACCAAGCTGAAATGTGTGAGGAGCTCACAAATCCTTGCAAGATCTGGACAAAGTCCCATCAGTGAGCTCCTCCAGCAGGCAAGGCAGCATTGGCTGGGTCATGTACCCTGCATGCTCAACCAACTGCATGCCCAAACAGCTTCTGTTTGGTTGGATAGAGGGTTAAACGGGCACTGCATGGGCTGGAGAAGAGATGGAATGATGTGGCACGAGAGGATATGGAGCTGAGTGGACTTGCCGATGACTGGTACCAATGGTGTCAAGATCGGCCTGTGTGGAGGAGGCTCGTGAAAAACGCTCCTGGGCAGTTGGAGGCAGTTGCCCTCCAACAACAACGGAGGGTGGAGGAGCGACGCTCACAACAACGAGCGGAGCGCCGTGCGGCTAAAACACAGCAAGTTGGCACAGTAGGGGGCACAGGTGGTGCATCTGCCAATCATCGCAGTTAGTCAACTCATGGCACCTGCTGGGCCTGTCCCGTGACCTCCTGTCAGCGAGCCTTTGACACTTCACGTGGCCTCAGAGTGCACCTGGCCTAGCACGGCGCCGTGGTAACGTCACCGTCTCCGGCGAATGGCAGGTATTGATATATGAGTATTATATACACACACACGAGTACTGTGTATACATCTATACGAGTACTGTGTCTATGTGTGTACAGTATATGAGTACGATGTATATATGAATACTATGTTTATGAGTGTAAATAAGTAGATGAGTGTATGAATACTATGCATATGTATGTATATATGTATATATGAGTGTATATGTGTGTATATATATATGAGGGCCGAGTGTTGGAGGAGCTTGCAGGCTTCCTGTGTTGGGGCAGGAAGTGTCTGGGGCTGTGTGCGGGGCTCCGATAGCAGCCCGACAGGAAGCCTGCACACAGATTACTCACTCACATACACACACACTCACATACACACTCTACATACACACACACTCACATACACACTCTACATATACACACACTACATACACATTCTACATACACACACACTCACATACACACTTTACATACAACAACCGCCATTCGCCACTAAGTGGCGGTGACGTCACCACGACGCTTGTGCCAGGCCAAGTGCACCTTGAGGCCACGTGAAGTGTCGAATGCCCGCTGGCAGGAGGTCACGGGGCAGACCCAGGTGCCACGGGTCGACTGACCGTGATGACCGAGATGACTGGCTGATGCACCACCTGTGCCCCCTACTGTACCAATTTGCTGTGCTTTAGCTACCCGGCGCTCCGCTCGTTGTTGTGAGTGTCGCTCCTCCGCCCTCCGTTGTTGTTGGAGGGCGACTGTCTCCAACTGCCCAGTAGCGTCCTTCATGAGCCTCCTCCACAGAGAGGCCGATCTTGACACCGCTGGTACCAGTCATCGGCAAGTCCACTCAGCTCCACGTCCTCCTGTACCACATCACTCCATCTCTTCTCTAGCCCGTGCCGCGCCCGTTTCGCCCCCTCGATCCGGCCGAACAAAAGCTGTTTAGGCATGCAGTGGCTGGGCATGCGGGCTACATGACCCAGCCACCGCAGCCTCGCCTGCCGGAGGAGCTCACCGATGGGACTTTGCCCAGATCTTTCAAGGATTTGTGAGCTCCTCACACAATCCAGCCTGGTTAAACCCAGGATGGATCGTAGGCAGGCCAGCCTAAATGTTTCTAACCGGCGAAGATGCTCCATTAGGGGGGTCCACGTTTCGCAAACATAGCGAAGGGAGGGAATGACTGTGGCCGAGAAGACCTGAAGCTTCGTGCGGAGCGACAGACCAGGCAGCTTCCACACAGCGTTACACAACCGATGAAAATATATTGCCACTCGACTGATTCGGAGTGAAACCTCCGCTGCCAAACCGGAGCCAGTCATGAGCACACTGCCCAGGTATGGGAAAACTCTCCACTATCTCCACAACTGCTCCATCACAGATTGGGAGTTGTGGGGGTAGATTGCCCGATGGTACAAAATACCCAGGCAGGTGCTTCGTTTTGGTGGGGCTGATGGTAAGGCCCCACCTCTTAGTGGCACACTCCAGCTTCAGCAGCAGCACCTCCAACTCCTCCTCTGAGTGAGCTGCAATTATCAGATCGTCTGCATACATAACGTGGTTAACCAATAGGGAGCCATCCCTTGACCGCACCCGGGCATCGATCAGCCTCCCATTGTATCTGTACCAGATGGAAATTCCCCCGGTACAGCTGCTGAAGGCTTCACAAACTACGTGGTCAAAATAGATGTTAAATAATGTGGGAGCCAGAGGACATCCCTGTCGCATCCCAAGGTGGACAGGAAATGGCTCCGACTCCCGGCCAGGTAGTTTTACCCGGTCCCGCTCACCATCATGAAGGTCCTTAATGATCGTGAGCAGAGGGTCAGGGATTCCAAAAGCACGAAAAACAACCCAGAGCCCAGGCCTACTGATGGTATCATAGGCCTTGACCAGGTCAATAAAGCAGAGATGTAGGTCTTGTTGGAATTCCCTACACCTCTGCTGTAGCAGACAGACAGAAAATATGGCATCTGTGCAAGACCGCCCTTTCCTGAAATCGCATTGGGGCTCCACAAGCCTCTCCTCAGCGTGCCTAGCAAGGCGATGTTGAATAATCCTTGCCAGGACCTTTCCCGGCACACTGAGGAGTGAGATGCCCCTGTAGTTGTTACAGTCTGTGGAGTCCCCCTTCTTAAAGAGGGGGACCCACCAGGGCATCCATACACACTCACTCACATAAACACACACTCACATACACACACACACTCACATATTTACTCTACATACATACATACACACTCACTCACATACATATAAAAAAACAAATACCACCCGTATAGCCTTTACAGACTGTTGGGGCAAGTGCTGTTAGCGAGCAGTACCTATGAAGGCTGGCACAGCACACGAGGGGGTGGGTGGCCAGCACCACGCCCGGCCGCCTTTGTCTCCCCAGTGACGATGTTTAAACATCACACCAGGTACTTAGTTGACGCTGAGTCGACCTAGGAGAGGCCCAGGACGGGTTCAGATCGTCACTTGTGTTGGCCGTGAGCGGGAATCAAACTCGGTATGCCAGGTTCGTAGCGAAGCGCGCCTACCACTACACCACCGCTCTCCATATATATACACACACACTCATATACATACACACAGTCACATACACACTCACTCCGATAGCTGCCCGGCAGGAAGCCTGCACTCTCACAGATTACACACTCACTTACACACACATATATATACATGCAAACATACATACACGTCGTCACACACAGCCTACAGTGGAATGGACTAGTGGCCACGGGCGGTAATGACAGGGGAGTCAGCCTGCAGTGTGAGTGGACTGGTGGACACGGGAGGTAATGACAGGGGGAGTCAGCCTGCAGTGTGAGTTGACTGGTGGTCATGGGAGGTAATGACAGGGGAGTCAGCCTGCAGTGTGAGTGGACTGGTGGACACGGGAGGTAATGACAGGGGGAGTCAGCCTGCAGTGTGAGTGGACTCGTGGTCATGGGAGGTAATGACAGGGGAGTCAGCCTGCAGTGTGAGTGGACTGGTGGACACGGGAGGTAATGACAGGGGGAGTCAGCCTGCAGTGTGAGTGGACTGGTGGCCACGGGAGGTAGTGAGAGGGGGAGTCAGCCTGCAGTGTGAGTGGACTGGTGGCCACGGGAGGTAATGACAGGGGGAGTCAGCCTGCAGTGTGAGTGGACTGGTGGCCACGGGAGGTAGTGAGAGGGGGAGTCAGCCTGCAGTGTGAGTGGACTGGTGGCCACGGGAGGTAGTGACGGGGAGTCAGCCTGCAGTGTCAGTGGACTGGTGGCCACGGGCGGTAATGACAGGGGAGTCAGCCTGCAGTGTGAGTGGACTGGTGGCCACGGGAGGTAATAACAGGCGAGTCAGCTTTCAGTACGAGTGGACTGGTGGCTGCACAATTGACCGAGAATCGGAGCGTGGCCAGGTGACGGAAGAGGATGGTAGAGTCTGCTGGTAGAGCGAGCGGTCTAGAACCAGCGAGAAGGTTCGGGAATGGGGGTGTGGCCTCGAACCGCATATAATGGAGATGCGCGGCAGACTCGGGGCTGTTGCAGTGGGGGTCTCCGCCATTTCCAACGTGAGCACGTGGCCCCTTAATAAAGAAACCATCTCAAGACAAGTGCGTCCAAGTCGCCATTACACACTCACAGATTACACACACACCTACATGCTCAAATACAAAGATTCCCCGTGTAGCCTTAACAGTGTAGGAGCAAGTATTGTTAGCGAGTAGCACCTATGAACGCCGGCATGCCACACGAGGGGTTGGGTGGCCAGCACCACCCTTGGCCGCCTGTCTCCCTAATGGTGATGTTTACACATCGCACCACATACTCAGTGGAGGCCGAGTTGACCCAGGGGAGGTCTTGGACTGGTTCAGATAATCACCTTGAGTGGGAATCGAACCCGGGTGTCACCACAGCGCTTGTGCCAGGCTATGTGCACTTTAAGGCCATGTGAAGTGTCGAACGCCCACGAGCAAGAGGTCATGGGACAGATCCAGCAGGTGCCATGGGTTGACTGATGGAGGTGACTGGCCGATGCACCACCTTTGCCCTCTACTGTACCAACTTGCTGTGTTTTAGTCGGACGGCGCTCCGCTCGTTGTGAGCGTCGCTCCTCCGCTCTCCGTTGTTGCTGGAGGGCGACTGCCTCCAACTGCCCAGTAGCGTCCTTCACGAACCTCCTCCTCCACAGAAGCCGATCTTAACTCTGCTGGCTCCAAACTTCGGCAAGTCCACTCAGCTTCATATCCTCTTGTACCACATCATTCCATCTCTTCTCTAGCCCAACTCTTGAGCTTTCCCAGCACACACAAACACACACTCACTAACACTCAGACACTCCTAACACAGAGAGACACGTCATACAATCATCCAGCAGTGGAATAAGACTGTCTTTATTATTTGTATTTGTCTACCTATCTCTGTGTATCTCTATGAGTATATATATCTCATTGAGTCTGAGTATATGCATCTCTATGAGTCTATGTATCTCTATACGTTTGTATGTGTCTCTGAGTATGCATCTCACTGAGTATCTATGTATCTCTATGTGTCTCTGAGTCTATATATCTCTAGGAGTCTGAGTCGATAGACTCAGACTCATAAACTCACCACACCAAGAATCGACTCACCACACAGACGCATAGACTCATCACACCGAAACCCACACTCATCACACCGAGACATATATCGTACAGAGACCCACAGAATCACCACAGAGATCCATAGACTCACCACACATAGATCCATAGACTAACCACACCGAGACCAATGAATAATAATGAATTAACTAGTAACCAAGGATTAAGCAATGAATCCAATAACCCAATAACAGTAAGTTGAATTGACCAGTAGCTTCCGAAATGCATTGTGGGTAGTGGAGGGGCAGAACTTCATGTGATGTCTTTGCCACGTCCTGTCACGCAATCCTGCCCCGTATCCAATAGGTTCTTAGTCCTGGAAGGCATGGAGCTATGGGGAGAAAAAGACAGAGGCAAAGCTACCTCAGGTAGCCTCACTCACTCACTCACCCACCCATTCACCAACCGACCGACCCACCCATCGACCGACCCACCAACCCACCTACCCACCCACCCACCCACCGGCTGACCCACCCACCCACCGACTGGATGACCAACCCCCCACCCAACGACCCACCCACTCATCTATCCACCAACTCACCAAATCAACCACTCATTTATCCACTCACCCACTCAACCTACTCACTCAATCATTCAGTCACCCACCCACCCACTCACACACCCACCCACCTACTCACTCATCCACTCACTCATCTACTCCCTCACTCACCCACTCAACCACACACCGACCCACTCACCCACCCACCTCTTTCTGGATGAGTCTTCCACGTTCAATGGCTTTGTGTTCCTTTTCCTGGGAATGCAGAGAGCTTAGAGATGAGATTCCACCCACCACACGGTTTCTCCCCACTACCCACACGGTCCCTCCCCACTACCCAAAGGGTCCATCACCACTACCCACATGGTTCCCGTGTCTCCCGTGTGTCTCCATGTGTCTCCGTGTGTCCTCCGTGTCTCGCCCATTTCTCCCCGTGTGTCCTTGTTTCTTGCTCGTGTCTCCCCCGTGTCTCCTCGTGTCTCCCCCGTGTCTCTGCAATGTCTCCCCCGTGTCTCCCCGTGTGTCTCCGTGTGTCCCCGTGTCTCCCCTGTGTCTCCCCCGTGTTTCCCCTGTGTCTCCCCTGCATCGTCTCTCCACACCTTGTCTCCAGACTGGTGGTATTTCTTTGCCTCTTGGGAGTAGCGAGAATATTCATTCTTGAGAAACGCAGTGTAGTCTACGCAGAGACACGGTGAGACACGGTGGGACACGGTAAGACACGGGGAGAGAGAGGGAGAAAGAGACACGGGGAGACAGGGAGATAGAAATAGACACAGGGAGACACTGGGGAGACACTGGGGAGACACTGGGGAGACACGGGGGAGACACGGGGGAGACATGGGCAGACACGGGCAGAGAGATGGGGGAGACACGGTGAGACACGGGGGAGACTCGGGGGAGACACGGGGAGAGAGACACAGGGAAACACAGGGAGAGACACGGGGAGATACAGTGAGGAGACACGGGGAGAGAGACACGGGGAGAAACTTGAGGAAACACGGGGAGAGACACGGAGAGAGACACGGGGAGAGACACGGGGAGAGAAACGGGGAGAGACACGGAGAGAGACACGGAGAGAGACACAGGGAGAAATGGGGAGACACGGGGAGACACGGTAAGACACAAGGAGAAATGGGGAGACACGGGGGTGATATGGTGGAGACACGGTGAGACATGGGGAGACACGGTGAGACATGGGGAGACACGGGGAGAGACACGGGGAGAGACACGGGGAGAGACACGGGAAGAGACACGGGGAGAGACATGGGAAGAGACACGGAGAGAGACATGGGAAGAGACACGGGGAAAGACACGGGGAGAAACACGGGGAGGCACTCACTCGATGGTTGAGTCGACCTAGGGGAGAGAGAAAGAGAGGCAACTCTGAGTGGGACCACGAACCGCGCCAAGCTAGGTGGACGAACCTCTGCGCGCCGCTGGGCCTCCGCTCCGCAGGAAGTGCCGCTGCCGCTCAGCCCTCTGGGAAATGCGGGCGGCCACGTCCCCGAGTGCCGGGGGGAGGGGCTGCCCCCGGTCCCTGAATCCAGCCATCTGAGGTTCAATAACGGGGCGGCCGATCAGTGAGTTAATACAGGATCCGTGGCTTAATAAAGGATCAGTGGGTTGTAGGGTCAATAACGGATCAGTGGGTTTACAAAGTATCAGTAGGTTGTAGGTAGCTAGAGGGGTAGGTGCAGAGCGAGGTGACCAGGTAGCTAGAGGGGTGGGTATAGAGCGTGGTGACCAGGTAGTTAGAGGGGTGGGTGTAGAGCGTGGTGACCAGGTAGCTAGAGGGGTGGGTATAGAGCGTGGTGACCAGGTAGTTAGAGGGGTGGGTGTAGAGCGTGGTGACCAGGTGGGTAGAGGGGTGGGTGCAGAGCGAGGTGACCAGGTGGGTAGAGGGGTAGGTGCAGAGCGAGGTGACCAGGTAGCTAGAGGGGTGGGTGCAGAGCGAGGTGACCAGGTGGGTAGAGGGGTAGGTGCAGAGCGAGGTGACCAGGTAGCTAGAGGGGTGGGTGCAGAGCGAGGTGACCAGGTGGGTAGAGGGGTAGGTGTAGAGCGTGGTGACCAGGTAGCTAGAGGGGTGGGTGCAGAGCGAGGTGACCAGGTGGGTAGAGGGGTAGGTGTAGAGCGTGGTGACCAGGTAGCTAGAGGGGTGAATGTAGAACGTGGTGACCAGGTGGGTAGAGCGGTGGGTGTAGAACGAGGTGACCAGGTAGCTAGAGGGGTAGGTGCAGAGCGTGGTGACCAGGTAGCTAGAGGGGTAGGTGCAGAGCGTGGTGACCAGGTAGCTAGAGGGGTGGGTGTAGAGCGTGGTGACCAGGTAGCTAGAGGGGTGGGTGTAGAGCATGGTGACCAGGTGGGTAGAGGGGTGGGTGTAGAGCATGGTGACCAGGTGGGTAGAGGGGTGGGTGTAGAGCGAGGTGACCAGGTAGCTAGAGGGGTAGGTGTAGAGCGTGGTGGCCAGGTGGGTAGAGGGGTGGGTGTAGAGCGTGGTGACCAGGTAGCTAGAGGGGTGGGTGTAGAGCGAGGTGATCAGGTGGGTAGAGGGGTGGGTGTAGAGCATGGTGACCAGGTGGGTAGAGGGGTGGGTGTAGAGCGAGGTGACCAGGTAGCTAGAGGGGTGGGTGTAGAGCGAGGTGACCAGGTGGGTAGAGGGGTAGGTGCAGAGCGAGGTGACCAGGTGGGTAGAAGGGTAGGTGCAGAGCGAGGTGACCAGGTAGCTAGAGGGGTGGGTGCAGAGCGAGGTGACCAGGTGGGTAGAGGGGTAGGTGTAGAGCGAGGTGACCAGGTGGGTAGAGGGGTAGGTGTAGAGCGAGGTGACCAGGTGGGTAGAGGGGTAGGTGCAGAGCGAGGTAACCAGGTAGCTAGAGGGGTGGGTGCAGAGCGAGGTGACCAGGTGGGTAGAGGGGTAGGTGTAGAGCGTGGTGACCAGGTAGCTAGAGGGGTGGGTGCAGAGCGAGGTGACCAGGTGGGTAGAGGGGTAGGTGTAGAGCGTGGTGACCAGGTAGCTAGAGGGGTGAGTGTAGAACGTGGTGACCAGGTGGGTAGAGCGGTGGGTGTAGAGCGAGGTGACCAGGTAGCTAGAGGGGTAGGTGCAGAGCGTGGTGACCAGGTAGCTAGAGGGGTAGGTGTAGAGCGTGGTGGCCAGGTGGGTAGAGGGGTGGGTGTAGAGCGAGGTGACCAGGTAGCTAGAGGGGTAGGTGTAGAGCGTGGTGGCCAGGTGGGTAGAGGGGTGGGTGTAGAGCGTGGTGACCAGGTAGCTAGAGGGATGGGTGTAGAGCGAGGTGATCAGGTGGGTAGAGGGGTGGGTGTAGAGCATGGTGACCAGGTGGGTAGAGGGGTGGGTGTAGAGCGAGGTGACCAGGTAGCTAGAGGGGTGGGTGTAGAGCGTGGTGACCAGGTAGCTAGAGGGGTGAGTGTAGAGCGAGGTGACCAGGTAGCTAGAGGGGTAGGTGTAGAGTGTGGTGGCCAGGTAGCTAGAGGGGTGGGTGTAGAGCGAGGTGACCAGGTGGGTGACCAGGTGGGTGACCAGGTAGGTGACCAGGTGGGTGACCAGGTGGGTGACCAGGTGGGTGACCAGGTGGATGACCAGGTGGGTGACCAGGTAGGTGACCAGGTGGGTGACCAGGTGGGTGGTTACCTGTGCATCACAGAGCTTCTTTTCCAGGCCGAGGACCTCGAGGCTCCACATTCGCACTGGGACGCTGCACGCAGACAAAGCGGCCCCAGGAGGATCACATGGGTGGTCGGGACAAGTGCTTAAGAGCCACCCACCCACGCACCCACCTACGCACCCACCCACCCACGCACGCACGCACCCACCCACGCACTCACCCACCCACCCACGCACCTACCCACACACGCACCTACCCACACACGCACCCACCCACCCAACCACGCACGCACCCACTCTTCTTGGCTGCCCATCGAAGACGATGATTTGCAAACAGACGGTACTTTTACTCAATTCAGTCGATTGAGCCGAGGGAGTTATGTGACAGGCTTATGATGGCCTTGCCTGACCCCGGCCTCCACGTTGAAGGGCTCTGATTGAGGCCCACCAAAAGCACCACTCTGGCACGTATTCCTTCATGGACCTGTTTTAGAATGCTCAAAAACTTGGGAGGCACCCCAAGTTTGGTGAGCTGCTGCCAGATTATCTCACGGTCCATGGTGTCGAATGCTTTGCTGAGGTCGATAAAAGCCATGAAGAGGTCTTTGTTTGGCTCTCGGCATTTTTCCTGCAGTTGCTTTGCCACAGAGATCATGTCGGTGGTGCTCCTGCCTTTCCTGAAGCCGCACCCGGATCATTAACCTGGCGAGGACCTTCCGACGACTGAAAGGAAGATCACTCTGCTGTTGCCGCAAGCCGCGTCGTCACCCTTCTTCTTGTAGAAAACTACAATATTTGCATCTGTGGTTGTCCCACCTGATGACGGACGCTTGTGTTGTGCCCGAAACGTCGCGATTTATTTTATTTTATACCTACGTGACTTTACCGAAAGAACCAAAGAGTATGGATCCCTGCAGTCATGAAAACCTCGAATCTAGATTAATATTTGCATCCTTCCATTCCTGCAGGATGGTTTCAGACAGCGAGCTGGACTTCATGAGAAGGTGCAAGCGGCAATGGAGGAAGTATCTCCCGTGCTTCAGGATCTCAGCGGGGATCCCGATGGGTCCAGCACTTTGTTGTTTTTCAGGCCTTTGAGCACCTGGTGGACCTCAGAAAATTGTGGTGGGGTGTCGAGTGCATGAATGGGTGGGATATCTGGGAGTGTGTAGTGGATGAGCGAGTCTGTGGGGTTGGTGTGGTTGAGGAGATTATCAAAGTGTTCCGCCCATCTCTTCAAGATCTTTTGGCGGTCCTTGAAAAGTGTGTTGCCATCAGCAGACCAGACCGGTGTGACGGCTCGTTTTTGGGGGTCATAGAGGGCTTTGATGGCATCACAGAACCCTTGTGTGTTGTTTGCACCCGCAAGACTTTGGATCTCATCTGCCTTTTTGACCAACCAGGTGTCCTCAATGGCACGGACAGCACGCTGGGGGGACTTTGCTTTGGCCCTGGAGACCAGAGAATTGAAGAGTGGGGGAGTGTGGTTGGGACAGGACGGCTTTGTGAGCTTTGTGTGGATATCTGCAGCGTTCTCGTTGAACCGGTCGTGGCGATGCTTCTTGGTGTCCCAAGAAGCAGAGGCTGCCTCGAGGATGGCTGTGCGCAACTCAGTCCATGCGTAAAGACAGCACAGGGGACTGGCGGGCACAGGGGGTAATGACAGAGATAGCCAGGGGAACGATCTGGGGTCTACGAGAAGGATTAGTGGGTTAATAAAGAAGTAGATTAATAAAGGATCGATGGGTTAATAAATTATCAGTGGGATAATAAAGGATCAGAGAATAGGGGCTGTGGCCAAGTGATAGGTGCGGATCAGGGATCGAGAGCCATCGAGAGGGTTCGAGAGTAGCGGGAGTGGCCAAGGGTCAAGGGAGATGACCACGCTGGGGTTAAAAGCGTTCGAGAGGAGAGGCTGGGGGCTGCTGCTGAAGTCGGGGGTCTTCGCCCGTCAAGCGAACGCGTCTTCACTAAAGAACCATCAAAAAGCATGTCGTGTTGGGTCGGAGTCCGGGGAGTTTGGTGGAGACGCCGCAGGTTGTTAGCGACAGCTGGATTGTTGAGGGCATTGCAGTTCAGACGCTTATTTGGGGGCCTCCCTTGGATGGCGTTGACGGATCTCAACGCGGAGCTTGGCTTTGATCATACGGTGACGAGTCCGGCATTCCGCACCACGCATGGCTCGGGGGTCACTAGCACCTGCTTTTGGTCGCACTGACGGACGATGATGCAATCTAGCAGGTGCCAGTGTTTTAAGCGTGGGTCTTGCCATGAGTTCTTGTGTTTGTTTTTCAACTGGAACAGGGTGTTGGATATCCCTAGACGGTGTTGGGAGCATAGGCAGAGTAGCTGCAGCCCGTTGCTGTTCTGCTGACCCACCCCGTGCTGGCCTCGTACGCGATCACAGGTCTGGTGGTCCGAGCCCACCCTGGCATTGAAGTCTCCCATGAGGAGTGGCTTGTTGATACGCGCCGTGTGTTTCATGGCAGTGTCGAGAGCTTTCAGGAAGGCCTCCTTGGCCTCATTGTCTGCATCCAGTGGAGGCGTAGAACCACTGATGAGCATGGCAGAGCATCCCTCAGCCAAGGGAATGCACCATGTCATCAGCCGCTTACGAATGCCAACAGAAGATTCAGGGATGCGTTGGAGGATTGAGGTTTTCACAGCAAAACCCACTCCATGGAGGCGGCGAGAATCTTGTGGAACACCCTTCCAGAAGAAGGCGTAGCCCTCACCAACCTCTGCGAGAGAGGCTTCTCCACGGAAGCGGGTTTCACCAAGCACCGAGCCACTCATCATCTCGTTCACTCACCCACCCACCCACTCACACACTCAATCAATCACCCACCCACCCACCTACTCACCCTCCCACCGGTTCATCGAATCATTCACTCACCTACCCACCCACCCACCCAACCACCCAACCACCCAACCACCCACTCACACACTCAATCACCCACCCTGCCACTCACCCACCCATCCACTCACCTCTTAGCAGCTGGAGGAAGAGATTTGGGAACCTACAGAGACAGAAACAAAATTGAGAATCTGTCTCTCCATCAGTCTTCCCGCATCTCCCCGAGTCTCCCTGAGTCTCCCCCCATCTCCCCGCGTCTCCCCGCATCTCCTGAGTCTCCCTGCATCTCCCCGAGTCTCCCTGAGTCTCACTGAGTCTCCGAGTTTCCGCGAGTCTCCTTGCGTCTCCCTGCGGTCTCCCCGAGTCTCTGCACATCTTCCCGAGTCTTCCCGAGTCCCCCGAAGTCTCCCCGTGTCTCCCTCCCTTCTCACTCACGGGAGTTGGCTACTTCCTCCTTTCTCTGAGGTTCCTCCCAGCGTGTCTCCCTTCACGTGTGAGAGAGAAAGAGAGAAAAGGAGAGCGACAGAGGAAGAGACAGAAAGACACAGAAACAGACAGAAAGGTATAGAGTGAGAGACAGAGAGAGACAGAGTGAGAGACACAGTGAGAGACAGAGAGAGACAGAGTGAGAGAGAGTGAGAGACAGATTGAGACGGAGACAGACAGAGAGACAGAGAGAGACAGAGAGAGACAGAGAGAAACAAAGAGAGACAAAGAGGGACAGACAGATAGACAGACAGAGAGACAAAGAGACAGAGAAACACAGAGACAGACACAGAGACAGACAGGCAAAGAGGCAGGAGGTTACCGTCACCGGAGCGATGTTCACCACCTCCACACTGAGCCAGTTCTCTGTTGAGAGGTAGAATTCAGGCCCAGCCAGAGGCTCCCTCAGGCGAGCAACCACCTCCAACTTGCCTCCAGTGGGCTTCCTGCCGTCCATCATCTACAACATCAACATCATCATCTACAACATCATCGTCATCTACATCATCATCACCTACATCAACATCATCATCATCTACAACATCAACATCCAGCACATCATCATCATCATCTACAACATCATCATCTGCAACATCAACATCATCTACATCATCATCATAGACATCTACATCATCATCACCTACATCAACATTAACCACATTATCATCTACGTCATCTACATCATCTACAACATCATCGTCATCTACATCATCATAACCTACACCATCAACATCCAGCACATCATCATCTACAACATCATCACCTACAACATCAACATCATCAACATCATCTACATCATCATCAGACATCTACATCATCATCACCTACAACATCAACATCAACCACATCATCATCATCATCTACATCATAATCATAGTCATCTACATCATCATCACCTACATCAACCACATCATCACGTACACCATCATCATCTACGTCCACAACATCATCATCATCATGTACACCATCATCATCAACCACTTCATCGTCAACATCATCTTCAACAACATCATCAACACCATCAGCATCAACAGCATCTACATTATGAAATGACCATCTACGTCGTCCATCATCAACATCATCATGAACATCTACATTGTGATCTACATAATCAGCATCTACACCATCATCATCATCAGCATCATCATCATCAACATCATCTACAATATCATCACCAACATCAACATCACCATAACCGTTATCTACATCATTACTATCATCACCTTCTGCATGGTGGTTGTGGTGATGGTTGTGGTTGATAATGGTAGTGGTGGTAGTGGTAGGTGTAGTGGTGGTAGTGGTAGTTGTAGTGGTTGGTAGTGGTGGTTGGTATTGGTTTTATTGTGGTTGTGGTTGGTAGTGGTTATGCTCGTGGTAGTGGTGGCGGTAGTTGTTGTATAGAGGTGGTAGTGGTTATGATAGTGGTAGTTGTGGTAGTTGTTGACAGTGGTAGTGGTGGTTGTGGTGGTTGTTGACAGTGGTTGTGGTAGTTGTTGACAGTGGTGGTGGTGGTTGTGGTGGTTGTTGACAGTGGTAGTGGTGGTTGTGGTGGTTATTTACAGTGGTTGTGGTGGTTGTGGTAGTTGTTGACAGTGGTGGTGGTTGTGGTGGTTGTTGACTACCTCCAGGATGGCTCTGACGTGACTCTGAGTCTCCAGTTTCTCGAGTCGGAACGAAGCCCAGGCCACCAAGTCAGACTTCAACAACCTACAGCACCACAACCACAACCACCACCACCACTATACAATAACCTGTACCACAACCACCACAACCACTACCACCACTATACAACAACCTGTACCACAACCACCACAACCATTACCACCACTATACAACCACCAAAACCACCAATCTCTGAGAAAGAGTCGCTGTGTCTCTCCTCATCTCTCTTTGTCTCTGTCTCTCTCTACGTGTCTCCAGAGGTCGCAAACGGGTTTTGATTCCTTACCCGTACCCATACCCGGCTGCACCAGGGTCACAAGCGGGTACCCGTACCCGATACCCGGCCGGGTATCGGGTAGGGTACGGGTATCGGGTACCCGATTGCGACCTCTACGTGTCTCTCTCACCATGTGTCTGTCTCTGTCTCACCTCTTGTGGTACAGCTCCAGACGGATCCCCTTGGAGGAGATGGCGCGTCTGAATGTGCGGTTCGTGCGCACGATACTCAGCTTGAACTCGGCGTTGTAGACTGCAGACAAATACACGGAGAGAGACGCGGGGAGAGAGAAACATGGGGAAACACGGGGAGAGAGACAGAGAGAGACAGACATGGCGGAGATAGACGGGGAGAGAAACATGGGAGAGAGAGACACGGGGAGAGAGAGACACGCGGAGAGAGATGTAGGAAGAGAGAGACACTGGGACAGAGAGACACGGGGAGAGAGACACGGGGAGAGAGACACGGGGAAAGAGACACGGGGAGAGAGACACGGGGAGAGAGAAACATGGGGAGAGAGACACGGGGAGAGAGACACACTGGAAGAGAGAGACATGGAAGAGAGAGACACGGGGAGACGGAAAGAGACACGGGGAGAGAGAGACACGGGGAGAGAGACACGGGGAGAGAGACGAAGGAAGAGAGAGACACGGGGAGAGAGAGACACGGGGAGAGAGAGACACGGGGAGATGGAGAGAGTCTCACCAGGGTTGCAGGAGTTCTTGACTGATTGAGTCTTGTCAGTTTGTGGTTGATCCTGAAACCACAACAATTACCACTCAACCACTACCTCCACTCAACCACTACTACCACCACCACCACTCAACCACTACCACCACTCAACCACTACCACCACTACTACCACCACTACTACCATGGTGATGGTAGTAGTGGTGGTAGTGGTGATGATGGTGATGGTAGCGATGGTGGTGATGATGCTACTGATGGTGATGGTGGAAGTGATGGTGGTGATAATGGTGGTAGTGATGATGATGGTGATGATAGTGATGATGGTGGTAGTGATGGTAAAGATGATGGTAGTGATGATGGTGGTAGTGATGGTAGAGATGATGGTAGTGATGATGGTGATGATGGTTGTGATGATGATGGTGATGATGGTGATGATGGTGGTGATGGTGGTGATGATGGTGATGGTGATGATGGTGGTGATGGTGGTGATGATGGTGATGGGGCTACTCACAGAGGTGGGGAACGGAAACTCAAATTTAATGAAGGAGTTGAGATCCCCCTGGGAGTATCCTGCAGTACACGCATACAGTAAACACTGTACAATGCACAGGTGATGTACACAGTACACACTGTATATTGTACACAGTTTCAAACAGCACGCTGTGTACTGTGCACACGTGCATGTGGAGTGGGTAGAATGGAGAGCGAGACTTCAATAGAGGCAACACGTTTATCATAGTGAAGTATGGGAATTGACGGCAGGAACTTCTTGACGGGTAACACACTTTTATTAAATCCTTTAGGTATCACAATACAACGTGTGGTCTCTCTTCTTCCTCCGACACACTCCACTAATCTCGTGTAAGCTCTAGGCCTCTGGCTACACCCGATACACTTGACTCGTGTAGACCCTATGCCTCTGGCTACACACAATATACTCGACTCGTGTAAGCCCTATGCCTCTGGCTACACAATACACTCGACTCGTGTAGACCTATGGCTACACCCACTACACTCGCCTCTGGGTTACACAGAGTCCCGGTCCCCTTAGGACAGCGGGGCTAGGTACCGCAGGGCTCTAGGTCTTCATCCCCGTCTTCCTTCTTCGCTGGTTACACACTGCCCTTACGCCTGTGTGCATCCCCTTTTATAGCCCCTGCTCACGAGGGACGGAGCTGATGCGGCGTCGACGTGAGCGTCGTTCCTTAATGACCCAATCACGACGCACTCTCTCTCAGCGCGTCACCGCCCACAGCCAATCGGTACCCCGTAACCCACGACCCCGCGCTGACCCCTGATCCTCCACCGTCAGCGCGCGTCACCACCTACACAGCCAATCATCACGCACTGTGCATACGATCCTTAATCCCAGCGCGTATCACCTCTACATCACCCCCTCCCACATAGCTTGCAGCCGGCCCGGCTGTTAACCTACAACACAACATAACGCAACGCAGTAATAAAGAACTCCACATCCCAGTGTGCCCCGTAACACAACAACAACAACATAACACAACCTTAAATATGAAGCAATATACAGCCCGACGAACAACACAATAAAAGCGAACACCGTAAAACGAACGCGCCAAGTGTCACTGTGACCCACGCAGTGCCGAGGCGCTCCGGCTGCCTCGACTCCGCACGTGGTAGGTTACACAAAGTAGCGCGACCTAGCGCGAGTCCGTCTGGCCGGTCCGTCGTATGGAACGGGACGTTGGCGACCGTCCGGTGTCTCCGGCAGCTCTAGACGGCACGGGTCGGGCCTGGAAGGACCGGCCCCGCCGTGAAGATCCGGCCGCCGGTGGTCGGCAGCAGTCAGTTCCGAGACACCTGGGAGCGGATCAGGCGGAGACATGTGAGGAGCAGGCAAGGACAATTCCCTCTCAGGGTCGTCGGTCACGTCACATGCTCGGCCCTCACGACACAAGGGGAGGCCATACGGAGGCGAGAACGGTTTCAGTCGGGAGGGGTGGACGTACCAACGGCGTTTCCCCCATTTTATCTGAACGCACTGGGGGCGTGCCACCCGCACGACCTCCACGGGTCCCCGCCACGGCTTCAACAATTTAGGCGACGTGGCCAAAGGTGCCTGAGGGCAATGCAGCCAGGCCTTGTCACCTGGTTCCCAATTGTGCACGGACACCTTCCGTGCCCGCAACCGCTCGTTCGCAATTTGGCGAGCCCGCGAATTAAGCCGTGCGGCCTCCCTTGCCTCTGTCAGTTTATGAATATTAAATTTAATATGCTCTGCCAATTTAGAATTAGTTCGTGGTGCGGGCAGACCCAGCTGCGTTTCCATGGGCGGGTCGGCTTCCTGACCGTACATTAGAAAAAACGGGGAAAACCCCGTAGCTGCATGGGGGGCCATTCTATACGCGGCAAGGACCCCAGGGACCTGCAGGTCCCAATCAACATGCGACTCACACACCTGCTGGCACAGCATAGAGGTCAATGTCCTGTTAAGCCTCTCCACCATCCCGTCCGTCTGCGGGTGGTACGGGGAGGTACGCACCTTTTTGGTACCCAACAGGTCGCACACCTCCTGCAGTAATTTACTCGAAAAATTTTTCCCTTGGTCAGTCAGCAAGCGTTCGGGAGCCCCCTTGTCCAGGACGTAGCCCTGGACAAAGGCGTCCGTCACAGCCGCCGCCGACTGGTTGGCGAGTGGCCACGCCATAGGCCACCGGGTAAAATATTCGACCCCCACCAACAGGTACTTATTACCCCTAGGCGTGACCGGAAAGGGCCCCAGAATATCGAGTGCAACGAGCTCGTTAGTGCGCGAGACCTGAATAGATTGCAGCGGTGGATTAGCTGCCACGGGCGGTGGTTTCCGTCTGGCGCACTCAACACAACCCTTCAGAATATTCACCACGTCACCCCCCATTCCCGGCCAATAATAGTCACGCTGAAGCAGGGCAAGCGTTTTGTTAACTCCCAAATGCAAGAGGCGTTCGTGTGCGGCCAAGACAACCTTCCCCCTCACAGCAGAAGGCACCACAATCGCATGCCGTCGGGACAAACTGTCCCATCTCATCAACAGGCCCTGCTTAAGCACGTAGGAGCCAGTTCGGTCGTGGCTACCTTCGGAACCCTCCGTCTTTCGGCGCAATGTCAGCAGAGAGCTGTCCGCCATTTGGAGACGGCCCCACTCAATCAACGACAGTGAGAGCAGCGAGTCCTGACCCCCTGGGGTAGCGGGACCATCCCCAATTGGTGTGCTCGCGGTCGCAACCAACGCCTCCCTACCTTCCGTAACCGGAGGTTTACAGCGCGCCGATCCCGATAAGCACGCACATTTGTGACAAGGCAACAACCGCGACAGGGCATCGGCATTCGTGTGTCGCAACCCTTTACGGTACGTAGTCGTGAACTGATAGTCCTGGAGGACTTCCAACCACCGCGACAATTGGCCCGAGGGCTGGGCAACCCGTAATGAATACTGGAGCGCCGCATGGTCCGTCCGGACCGTGAAATGATGACCATAGAGATATGGCCTGAATTGTTGTACAAAAAAAACAATGGCAAGTAGTTCACGACGGGTGACGCAGTAGCGCTGCTCTGCCGGCGACAACACCCTGCTACCATAGGCGACCACCCGTTCGACCCCTCCAACGACTTGGGACAGCACTCCCCCAATGCCCGTGTTGCTAGCATCCGTGTCTAGCAAGAAGGGACTCTCAAAGTCCGGATAGCACAAGGGTGGGGCCCTTACCAAGGCGTCCCGGAGGGAGCAGAATGCAGCCTCCTCCTCCGGTCCCCACCGGAACTTCACTCCTTTTGCCGTTAGAGCGTGCAAGGGCTTTGCAATGGTGGCGAAGTGCTCAACGAATCGGCGATAATACGAAGCAAAACCGATGAAACTGCGCACGTCTGACACTGACGTGGGCGTCGGCCACGAACTGACACAGTCCGTCTTCGCAGGATCGGTAGAAATCCCCGAAGAGTCGACAATGTGACCCAAGTACCTCACGGATTTACGAAAAAGATGGCATTTGGCCGGTTTAAACTTTAATTTAGCCGATCGCATTCGCAAGAACACCCCTCTCAATCGCTGGAGGTGTTCTTCGAACGTTTTACCGAAAACAATGACATCGTCAAGGTAAATGAGGCACGTCTCCCACTGCAAGCCCGACAAAACCAATTCCATAAGACGCTGAAACGTCGCAGGAGAGGAGTGAAGTCCCATGGGTAACCGGTTAAACTGAAACAGGCCCCCTGGAGTCCGGAATGCAGTCTTAGGCTTAGACTCCTCGTCGAGTGGCAACTGCCAAAATCCGGACAATAAATCAAGAGTCGAAAAGTATCGCGCACCGGACAATGCGTCGAGAGACTCGTCCATCCTGGGGAGCGGATACGCGTCGGCCACCGAGATCTTATTCAGGCGGCGGAAATCGACGCAAAATCGCAGGGACCCGTCCTGCTTTTTAACGAGCACAATAGGTGCTCCCCAAGGACTGGAAGAAGGCGAAATAATGTCGGCTTCCAGCATATCGTTAACTGCCGACTGAACATGTTCCTTCTCAGCAGGACTCAGTCGGAAGGGATTTTGCCTGACCGGTGCCGCATCGCCCGTTTCAATGTGGTGGCGTAGCAGGTCCGTGCATCTGATATCATACTTATGTTTACTGAAGACATCCGAAAATTCAATCAGCAACCCGCGCAACGCACCCAACTGTAGCGCTGACAAATCGTCAGAGTCCGCGCACAGCATATCAATCCAATCTAGGTCCTCCTTTGATGGTACGCTATTCGTGGGGCTCGGATCAGCCTGCGCAACCAGCCTCTCCTCCGCAGGGACCCGTGCCGCGTGAGCCAGCACGGTGCCCTGCTGAATGACGGCCGGCCGCGCCCCAGCGTTTAAAACCATGACAAACGGATCCCTGTCTGCCCCAACCAAAGTGTGAGCCACCGATAAATCGAGACCTCCAACAGCCCTATTAGAAGGACCCAGAAGCATGGCCTGTTCCGAGGCCTCCTTCCCCCATGGCTTCCGTAACCGGAGGGGAATCAACATTTGTGAACCCGGGGGCACGTGCACGGTCTGTGTTGCTAACGCCTGAATGGTAGCGCACGCCGTCCAAATTACATTAGGGCTCGTCAAAAATGAAATACGGCGACCCGATGGTAGTTCAATGCAACGCTGATCAATGAGAATTTTGATGGGCATTTTCGCCAAAAAATCAGTGCCCAATAGGCAAGGAACCGCCAGGGAAGATGAAACGAAAACGGGTCCCGACAATTTGATATCACCAATGCAAATGGACGCCCTAATCTGACCGATAATGCCCAACGATTCCCCGTTTGCGGCGTAAAATGGCACATCCACCGGAAGAAGCGGACGACATTGTACCGGGAGAATATTATAAATGAGATCCGAAATAATAGTCGCCGATGCCCCCGTGTCCACTAACACCCTGACCTCGACCCCATCAATCGATCCGGTAACGACGGATGAACCCGCTGAGGCAGCCACTATTCTGTGCCCCAATTCCGACCATTTAATGTCTCCCCGGTCCCGGCCGAACCCCCCTCTCCGAACCGAATCCCCGAACTCTACTCGGCTCTCCCTCGTCGCAACGCGACGACCCATACGTGTCGAGTATGCGGGCCAAGCATGTGAGGTGCCGCGACTTGCCGGGGTTTGCAGTGATGACTTGGGGCCTTGGTCGTCGTCCAGCCGAGGTCCCATGGCGCGCTGACGTGGGGCGCGGCAACCGGAGGCCACGTGGCCACGAAGGCCGCAGTTATAGCAGGTGATGACAGTAGTCGGAGATCTCGGTTGCTCCAGCTTGCGGGCCGCTCGCAGAGGCGAACGACCCCCCGACCTCCAGTCCCCCGCTCGTCCCGCGATGAACGCGTCCTCTCGTGGGCTGACGACTTGGGGCACGGTGTCAACCGGACCCGGAGTTGAGGCCACGGCAGCGTTGCAGACGACCCCCTGCTTTCGTTGAAGGACCTCGTGCGCTTGCATGCTCGTGGCGACCCGTAATGAAGAAATATCGGTGTCGTCGGCCGTGTTGATGGGGACCCCCAGGTCCTGCGCCAACTTGAGCAGCTGCTCCAAAACCATCGCATCTTGGCCCTCCTCGTCCATACGAGGGAACGCGGCGTCAGCGAGAGCGAGCAACGCCGTGCGGTAGGCGAGCACGGTCTCCGTGTCCGCCTTCCGTCTTGCGTAGAAATGATGGCGGCACGCCGAGGGAGGACCGTAGACTTTGGCCATGAGAGCCAGCGCATCCTTGAGCGTGGAGCGGTCCGACCTGCGTGCGGACGTGAAGGCCGCGAGCGCGTTGTCGTCCAGCATGGCAGGCAGTGCCCGCAGTGCCGTAGCGTCGGACCAGGCGGACATCTCTTGATGCGCCAAAAATCTGCGCTGAAATTGGCTCCAATCCCCGCCTTCCGCCTTGAATGCTGACAACGTGGGAAGGCGCTGCTGAAAGATAAAGTCGTCCTCCTCCTCGTGCTTCCTCTCTGCCCCCCCGTCGGTGTGTAAGATGGCGGCCCCAGTGGCGGGTGTGTGATGGCGGTCCGCCGCGCGCGTTGGTGACGTCAGCGGCCGCGCATGGAGAACCGCTGCCACGTGGTGATGGCCGTTCCCGCCAAAAGTTGGAGCGGATGAAATGGCGGGAATCGCCAAATCGTTTTGGCGGGAATCTGCAGGGCGACCCTGTAGCACGTCGGCCGCCGTCCCCGCTCCTCCCGACGAGCTGATCTCCGCCAAGATGGACGCGGCGGTGAGCAGCAGCTCCGCCAGACGGGAGTGTGCCTCGCGAAGCACGGTGTCAGTCCCCCGTCGCTCGACCGGCGCCGTCGGTGGATCCTGCCCCGTGGGCAGCTCCTCTTCCTCACCCCCTGATGCCCGCTGGCCCGCGTCGTCGAGGTTGTCCTCGTGGTCAATCCCGTGGGTCCGACGGTTCCTCCTTGTATCCATGCTTGGAGGACCGTTTCACTTCTGACGCCAGTTGAAGTATGGGAATTGACGGCAGGAACTTCTTGACGGGTAACACACTTTTATTAAATCCTTTAGGTATCACAATACAACGTGTGGTCTCTCTTCTTCCTCCGACACACTCCACTAATCTCGTGTAAGCTCTAGGCCTCTGGCTACACCCGATACACTTGACTCGTGTAGACCCTATGCCTCTGGCTACACACAATATACTCGACTCGTGTAAGCCCTATGCCTCTGGCTACACAATACACTCGACTCGTGTAGACCTATGGCTACACCCACTACACTCGCCTCTGGGTTACACAGAGTCCCGGTCCCCTTAGGACAGCGGGGCTAGGTACCGCAGGGCTCTAGGTCTTCATCCCCGTCTTCCTTCTTCGCTGGTTACACACTGCCCTTACGCCTGTGTGCATCCCCTTTTATAGCCCCTGCTCACGAGGGACGGAGCTGATGCGGCGTCGACGTGAGCGTCGTTCCTTAATGACCCAATCACGACGCACTCTCTCTCAGCGCGTCACCGCCCACAGCCAATCGGTACCCCGTAACCCACGACCCCGCGCTGACCCCTGATCCTCCACCGTCAGCGCGCGTCACCACCTACACAGCCAATCATCACGCACTGTGCATACGATCCTTAATCCCAGCGCGTATCACCTCTACAATAGCAAGGGTAACCTTAACACGAAGGGGTAACGGCCCCTTTCACCCGATACTCTACGGAGGTCTGTCCTCCGGGCTAACGCTCCTCACACTGGGGAGGCTGACGTCGACCTGACCCTGGCTGGGGTCCGGGTCTCGTCTTCAAGCTCCTCTTCAGGGTGACGGCTTCGGGTCTTCAGGGTGACGGCTTCGGGTCTTCGAGTATACAACAGCAGCCGGACCCGTTCAGGGGTCCGGCTTATAGAGTCAGTCCCGGCTCTCTCCGCCCCCAGCCATTCCCTCCTGCTCGAACCTTCGAGAAGGACCTGGGCTGTGGACACGTCATCCCCCCAGCCCCCTTTTGGGGGTCCTGGGCTCCATACCTCGGGTCACGAGCCCACCCCCCGGGTTCAACCCGAGTGCCACGGCCAGCTCGAGCCGGGCACTCTACCGCCCCCTGGCGTCCTGGGGCAGCCACTACATCCGGGGAGCAGTGGCATCACCCAGTCATGCCACTCCACATGTACTGTATACACAGCGCCCACTGTATACTGTACACACTACATACAGCATGTTGTGTTTAAACTGTATACAAAGAGTACACTATACCGTGGACTGGACTATACCGCAGACTGTACCATACTGCGTGCTACACACAGTATACACGGACAGGATACTTATAATCTTGATTTGAATCTCTCACATTAACATAGCCACTTCCGTGCCCTCTAATCACTCTCATTAACATCATACTAATTTCTCACATTAACGTCATTAGCCCCGGCCACTTCTTTATGACCCTTAGGCTACACCCATTTCAAACCTTTTAAAACAGTCTGCCTCAGCAGCAGACCATGCTTTCCCACCTGACGGACGCTTGTGTTGCGCCCGAAACGTCGTGATTTATTTTATTTTATACCTACGTGACTTTACCGAAAGAACCAAAGAGTATGAGTATATGTATACCACATACACAGTATAAACACAGTACATATACAACATACACATACATACAGTACACGTATATATTGCACACACGTGTACAGTATACACATACAGTATACATACACAGGAGTGGAGATCGCTTTTGGGAGCAGCCTGCAGGACACGCATACTGCATACACACAGTATACAAGTCTCTCTATCCCCGTGTCTCTCTCCCCATGTCTCTGTCTCTCTCTCTCTCAATGTCTCTCTCCCAATGTTTTTCTCCATATATCTCTCCCCATGTCGCTCTCTCTCCGTGTGTCTCTCTCACCGGATGGAGCAGGAAGGTTTATCCCCTTCACGATCAGCAACTCCATCTCCAAGGCGGAGAGGTGAGCATTTATTCTGAAAAACAACAAGAATGTTACTCTATGGTGCAGTGTTGAGTCTATGGGCAGTGTTGAGTCTATGGTGCAGTGTTGAGTCTATGGGCAGTGTTGAGTCTATGGTGCAGTGCTGAGTCTATGGTGCAGTGTTGAGTCTATAGGCAGTATTGAGTCTATGGGCAGTATTGAGTCTATGGGCAGTGTTGAGTCTATGGTGCCATGTTGAGTCTATGGGCAGTGCTGAGTCTATGGACAGTATTGAGTCTATGGGCAGTGTTGAGTCTATGGTGCAGTGTTGAGTCTATGGTGCAGTGTTGAGTCTTTGGTGCAAGTGTTGAGTTTATGGGCAGTGCTGAGTCTATGGGTAGTGTTGGGTCTATGGGCAGTGTTCAGTCTATGGGTAGTGTTGTGTCTATGGGCAGTGTTGAGTCTATGGTGCAGTGTTGTGTCTATGGGCAGTGTTGAGTCTATGGTGCAGTGTTGAGTCTATGGTGCGGTGCTGGGTCTATGGGCAGTATTGAGTCCATGGGCAGTGTTGCGTCTATGGGCAGTGTTGAGTCTATGGTGCGGTGTTGAGTCTATGGTGCAGTGTTGAGTATATGGTGCAGTGTTGAGTCTATGGGCAGTGTTGAGTCTATGGTGCAGTGTTGAGTCTATGGACAGTGTTGAGTCTATGGGCAGTGTTGAGTCTATGGGCAGTGTTGAGTCTATGGGTAGTGTTGAGTCTATGGGTAGTGCTGAGTCTATGGGCAGTGTTGACTCTATGGTGCGGTGCTGAGTCTATGGGCAGTGTTGAGTCTATGGTGCGGTGCTGAGTCTATGGACAGTGTTGAGTCTATGGGCAGTGTTGAGTCTATGGGCAGTGTTGAGTCTATGGGTAGTGTTGAGTCTATGGGCAGTGTTGAGTCTATGGGCAGTGTTGAGTCTATGATGTAGTGTTGAGCCTATGGGCAGTGTTGAGTTCATGGCGCAGTGTTGAGTCTATGGGCAGTGTTGCGTCTATGGGTAGTGTTGAGTCTATGGGCAGTGTTGAGTCTATGGTGCGGTGCTCGGTCTATGGGTAGTGCTGGGTCTATGGGTAGTGTTGAGTCTATGGGCAGTGTTGAGTCTGGGCAGTGTTGAGTCTTTGGTGTCGTGTTGAGTCTATGGGTAGTGTTGAGTCTATGGGTAGTGTTGAGTCTATGGTGCGGTGCTGGGTCTATGGGTAGTGCTGGGTCTATGGGTAGTGTTGAGTCTATGGGCAGTGCTGAGTCTATGGGTAGTGTTGAGTTCATGGCGCAGTGTTGAGTCTATGGTGTGGTGCTGAGTCTATGGCAGGGGTCCTCAAACTACGGCCCGCGGGCCACATGAGGCCCACCGAGGACATTTATCCGGCCCATGGTCACTAATTGGGCTGCGCTTGTGAGCACTAATTGGGCTGCGCTGGTGAGCACTCATTGGGCTGCGCTGGTGAGCACTCATTGGGCTGCGCTGGTGAATGGTTCAATGGGCCAATTGACTGGACTTGCCCCCCAGGCCTAAGACTGCCAGCCCTCCCCTGGCTGCGCTTGACTGGCTCTCCCTCCCTCAGCTCCCTCACTTGCCCCTCGGCTCCACTCCCAGTGATATTCCTGTGTGCTGAGTAAATGATAGAGGGGTAATAACAGAGTGATCTCTGATCTCTGGAGGGGCTGCCTGCTGTTTTCCCGTGCTGGTCAGTGACAGACAGCCGAGGAGTAGGAAACCCAATTTAAATGACAGTAAGTGCATTTATATTCTGATTGCTATTCAGTTGTATGAGGTTATATGTTGTATGTTGTGTAAGCCCCGGTTCATACTGTTGCGATCTCTGAGCAGTGCGAGTTCAGCCATATGCTTGTATGGCTGAACTTGCATTAGATTCGGAAGAAAAAAGGCACATGTGCCTTCTTTTTTCCTGCAGTGGAATCGGATCGCATGGGTCTTCTCCCCCATGCGATCAGATTCCTATGCGAGTTCGCAGATCGCACTGCGATCTGTGAACAAAACTGCAGGTGTAATTAACTTTTTAATGGCACCCGCACCAGTGTGAGCCTGGGGTAAAAGCGGAGTTCCCCCAATCAGACTGCATTGATGGGCAGTGCAGTCTGTATGTCTCTGTGTGGGCAAAGTCATTGCTGGTATATTGTTTTTGTAGCGCTGTATATATATTGGTATTTTACTCATAGCAATTTTGACTCCCTAGGAAACAATGATGTCAAGAAAGAGAAAAATTGACTCGGAGTGTAGGATATTCAAAGAACAGTGGACTTATGATTACTTTTTCATGCAGTACAAGGAAAGAGCTGTGTGTCTGATATACCAGCATATAGTGTCTGTGTTCAAAGAATACAATTTACGTCGACACTATGAAACTCAACATAAAGATAAATATGATTGTTTGGTCGGAGAAGTGAAAAAAGATAAAATATTAAAACTGAAAAATACATTAACAACTCAGCAAAATACTTTTGTGAAGCAGAAGCAGCTAAATATTTCATCACTGCGAGCAAGTTTTCAAGTTGCCAAGCTAATAGCGTGCACTGGCAGACCATTCGTGGAGGGAGAATTTGTTAAATAATGCCTTCTTTCTGTTGCCAAAGAGATGTGTCCAGAGAAGGCCGATTTATTTAGTACAGTGAGTCTTTTATGACCTACAATTACACGGAGGATTGAAGAAATGGGAGACAATTTGCATCAGCATTTGCAAAATTCCACAAAAAAACTTTCCTATTTTTCCTTGGCACTCGACGAAAGCAATGATGTTCGTGATTCTCGCACAACTTCTAATTTTTATTCGTGGGACGAATGACTATTTCGAAGTCACAAAAGAGCTTGCTGCACTGCAAAGCATCAAAGGAACAACTACAGGAGAGGATATCTATGAAAAGGTTTGCCAAACTGTGAATGGTTTGGAGCTGAACTGGGCTAAACTAGCCAGTGTGACAACTAATGGTGCTCCTAGCATGGTGGGGTCTAAGAAAGGAGTAATTGCTCGCATTAACCAAGAGATGGACAAACATAACCATTCTCATCCAATAGCCATACACTGCCTCATCCACCAACAAGCGCTGTGTAGTAAATCACTGAAGTGGGACTCTGTTAACTTCATTAGAGCTCATGCACTAAACCACAGACAATTTCAGGAATTTCTGTCTGAGCTAAATGTTGACTATGAAGATGTTCTGTACCACACAGAAGTCCGTTGGCTGAGTCGAGGGAGAGTTTTGAAACGTTTCTATGACTTACTTCCACAGATTACAGCTTTTCTGCTTTAAAAAACAAAGAAGTACCAGAGCTCAATGATGCAGAATGGAAATGGCACCTTGCCTTTCTGACAGATGTAACAGAGCTACTCAACAGTTTCAATGTGCAACTTCAAGGAAAGGTGAAGCTCATCTGTGATATGCAATCACATGTCAAAGCATTTGAAGTAAAATTAGGCCTCCTCATCAAACAAGTGAAGGAGGAAAACTTCTGCCATCTCCCCACAACTCAAAATCTGTTAGCGGAAAAACCATTGGTTGCATTCCCAAACAAAACATGTGTGGATTCACTGGAAAAATTGCAAAAGGAGTTCCAATATAGATTTAAAGAGCTTCATCTCCATGAACAGGACATACAGCTTTTCCGTAACCCATTTTCTATTGACATTGAAAATGTGGATACAATTTACCAAATGGAACTGGCTGGACTGCAGAATTGTGACTCTCTGAAAGACGCATTCAAGTCAAGCAGCCTTCATAATTTCTATGCATCTCTCCCCTCTGAGACATATCCTCATCTCAGGAACCATGCACTCAAAATGGCAACCATCTTTGGCAGCACTTATGTCTGTGAACAGACTTTTTCCAGAATGAAACATTTGAAATCTCCAACCAGATCTAGACTAACGGATGCACACTTGCATCACTTGTTACGACTAGCAGTGACAAATATGGAACCGGACATTGACCATCTCATTAGCCAAAAGCAGGCCCATAGTTCCCATTGAAATACTGGCAAGTTTGTTGATTTAACTTTACTTGTTCTTCATTTTAAATATTGTATTTGTTCCCGTTTTGTTTCTTCACTTCAAAATAAGATATATGCAGTGTGCATAGGAATTTGTTCATAGTTTTTTTTAACTATAGTCCGGCCCTCCAACGGTCTGAGGGACAGTGAACTGGCCCCCTGTTTAAAAAGCTTGAGGACCCCTGGTCTATGGTGTGGTGCTGAGTCTATGGTGTGGTGCTGAGTCTATGGGCAGTGTTGAGTCTATGGTGCGGTGCTGAGTCTATGGGTAGTGTTAAGTCTATGGCTAGTGTTGTGTCTTTGGGTAGTGTTGAGTCTATGGTGCGGTGTTGAGTCTATGGTGCGGTGTTGAGTCTATGGGTAGTGTTGAGTCTATGGTGCAGTGCTGAGTCTATGGTGCGGTGCTGGGTCTATGGGCAGTGTTGAGTCTATGGTGCAGTGTTGAGTATATGGGTAGTGTTGAGTCTATGGGCAGTGTTGAGTCTATGGGCAGTGCTGAGTCTATGGGGAGTGTTGTGTCTATTGGTAGTGTTGAGTCTATGGTGCGGTGTTGAGTCTATGGGTAGTGCTGAGTCTATGGTGCGGTGTTGAGTCTATGGTGCGGTGCTGAGTCTATGGGTAGTGCTGAGTCTATGGTGCGGTGTTGAGTCTATGGGTAGTGTTGAGTCTATGGGTAGTGTTGAGTCTATGGTGTGGTGCTGGGTCTATGGGCAGTGTTGAGTCTATGGGTAGTGTTGAGTCTATGGGTAGTGTTGAGTCTATGGTGTGCTGCTGGGTGTACGTGCGGTGCCAGGCGGTGGACACACCGGATGGCCCTCATGGTGCGCTTCTCCTGGTGCGACTTAGGCGGAGGCAGGCCCAGGCTGTGGGCCTTGCGCAGGAATTCCAACTGGGTAGCCACCTCATCCTCCATCGCCTCGTACCTAGAAGTGCCCCCAGGGCATCATTCACCACACACACACAGTGCCCCCAAGGCATCAATCACCACACAGTGCCTCCAGGGCATCATTCACCACACACACACACACACAGTGCCCCCAGGGCATCATTCACCACACACACACAGTGCCTTCAGGGCATCATTCACCACACAGTGCCCCCAAGGCATCATTGACCACACAGTGCCTCCAGGGCATCATTGACCACACTATGCCCCCAGGGCATTATTCACCACAGGCGATGTTTACACAGCCACTGCGCCAGGTAACTCATTTTCAACCTTGCGGAGGCCAATGACCAGTTCAGATAATCGTCACCGGTGTTGGCAGCCACGAGCGGGAATCTAACTCGGGTCGCCGGGCTCGTAGCGCAGCGTAGCGTTGACCGCTACACACGTACACGTAACAGACTGCTTTACATGTAACAGAAAATCAAGTAAACTCTATAAACGTCTTGTGAATTAAAAAGCAAAAGTAACGAAATGCAGTATAAATTGTTAACGAATGCGGGAGTTGCGTTGTGGAGACAAAGTGAAGGGCGCCGGCCTACACGAGATGCTGTACGGTGCACATACATGTAACATGCCCGTCACATGCCCGCCACATGCCCGTCACATGCCCGTCACATGCCCGTCACATGCCCGCCACATGCCCGTCACATGCCCGTCACATGCCCGTCAACCCCTTATCAGTGCCCTACCTTATTACAGACCATTCAGACCTTACTGGTCACCCCGTGCCCTTATAAATCTCAACGTTCATCCTACAAAGTCACTATACACTACTCTATACACTACACACTACTCTATACACTACACTACCATACACTACACTACTATACACTACACTATACTACACACTACACTATACACTACTATACACTACACTATACACTACACTACAATACACTACACTACTCTATACACTACAAGAGGGAGGGAGGGGACTCACTTTGCGATCTCCGTGATGTTGCCCAGGAGTGTGAACTGCTGAGCAATCTCCTGGCATTTCTGGAACAGAACACAGAAGGACAAAAAGACAAGTCTCTCCCCCCCGTCTCTCTCCCGCGTGTATCCCCCTCGTGTCTCCCCGTGTCTCGCCAGTGTCTCCCCTCCACGTGTCTCCCCCTGGTCTCTCTCTCTCCCCGTGTCTCCCCAGTGTCTCCCCACTGTCTCTCTCTTTCTCCAGGTCTCCCCTCTGTGTCTCCCCCTCGTGTCTCCCCCTGGGTCTGTCTCCCCTCCGTCTCTTTCCCCCCGTCTCTCTCTCAGTGTCTCCCCTCCACGTGTCTCCCCCTGTCACTCTCTCTCCCGTGTGTATCCCCTCAGGTCTCCCCCTCTTGTCTCCCCCCGGGTCTGTCTCCCGTGTCTCTCTCCCCTCCATCTCTCTCTCCGTGTCTCCCCCATGTCTCCCCCGTATCTCTCCAGTCTTTCCCCCGTATCTCCCCCTGTCTCTGTCTCTCCCCATGTCTCCCCTGTGTCTCCCCCCCGTGTCTCCCAGTGTCTCTCTCTCTCCCCGTGTCTCCCCGCGTCTCCTCATGTCTCCCCGTGTATCTCTCTGTCCCAGTGTCCCCTCTGTATCTCCCCCCTGTGTCTCCCCCCCACGTGTCCCCCCCACGTGTCTCTCCCCCATGTCTCCCCGTGTCTCTCTCTGTCTCCCCATGTCTCTCCTCTGTGTCTCCCTCCCACGTGTCTCCCCCATGTCTCCCCGTGTCTCTCTCTGTCTCCCCGTGTCTCCCCGTGTCTCCTCTCACGCTATGCTGTGCCCTGAGGACGTGGCCGAGCCGCGAGTACTCCTCGTGGTGTCTTTCAGAGTCCCGAGCCTCTCGTCGAGACACAAACTCAAAGTCCGAGTCTGGCAGCGGAGGTGGTGCCGGAATCTACAACCACAAAATCACACAACCACAATCAGCATCACCACAATCACTATACAACCACACAACCACCATCGTAATCACAATCACCACAATCACAACCACAATCACTACCACACTTATAACCACAATCACTACAACCACCACAACCACAATCATCACTACCACACTCATAACCACAATCACTACCACAACCACAGCAACCCTGGTGATGAGGAGCGAGACACTGGGACGATGGTGAAGACGATGGTAGTGACGGTGATCGTGAGAGAGACACAGGGCCACTTGGGTAGCGATGAGTCCCTGTCAGCATGGCGATGAGAGAGACAGGGCTACTGTGGTTGTGATGAGTCTCCGTCACCGTGGCGATGAGAGACACAGGACTACTAGGGTAGCGATGAGTCTCCGTCACCGTGGCGATGAGAGACACAGGGCCACTAGGGTAGCGATGAGTCACTGTCACCGTGGCGATGAAAGAGACAGGGCCACTAGGGTAGCGATGAGTCCCTGTCACCATGGCGATGAGAGAGACAGGGCTACTGTGGTTGTGATGAGTCTCCGTCACTGTGGCGATGAGAGACACAGGACTACTAGGGTAGCGATGAGTCTCCGTCACCGTGGCGATGACAGAGACAGGGGTACTGTGATTGTGATGAGTCTCCGTCACCGTGGCGATGAGAGAGACAGGGGTACTGTGATTGTGATGAGTCTCCGTCACCTGGGCGATGTCCACTGGCATTCCGGCCTGGCAGTGCTCCAGGAAGGCGTCCACTCCACGCCGCTGCTTGAGCAGCACCTTGGCACCCGCCAGGTCCCCACTCTCCTTGCAGCGCAGCGCAGCGGCGTGCAGCAGGGTGCGGCGTCGCTGCAGCAGGCGCAGCTGCAGCTGCTGCTGGCAGGCAGCTACACAGTGGGTGGGTGAGTGGGTAGGTGGGTGAGTGAGTGGGTGGGTGGATGGATGGGTGAGTGAGTAGTGAGTGAGTGAGTGGGTGGGTGGGTGAGTGGGTGGGTGATTGAGTGAGTGGGTGAGTGAGTGGGTGAGTTAGTGAGTGAGTGGGAAGGTGAGTGGGGAGGTGATTTACCTGGTGATTTTGTGACTGGCTGGGTAGGTCCAGGAACTGACTGGGTAGGTCCAGGAACTGGCTGGGGAGTGGTTGGAGGAGCCACCTGGACACAAAGACAAAGCTCCCTCGTGTAGCTTTACCAGACTGGCGGGGCAAGTGCTGTTAGCGCCACCATCATCACAACCAATTATCACCACCATCATCACCAACATCATCAACATCGCCATCTATACCACCAATATCCACAATTCGCCACTAAGTGGTGGTGACGTCACCACGGCGCCTGTGCCAGGCTAGGTGCACTTTAACTTTAATGCGACGTGAATTGTCGAATGCCCGCTGGCCGGAGGTCACGGGACAGAACCAGCAGGTGGCGTGGGTCGACTGTGCCAACTTGTTGGGTTTTATCCACCCGGCACTCCGCTCGTTGTTGTGAGCGTCGCTCCTCCGCCCTCCGTTGTTGTTGGAGGGCGACTGCCTCCCACTGCCCAGTAGCGTCCTTCACGAGCTTCCTCCACAGAGGCCGATCTTGACACCGCTGGTACCAGTCATCGGCAAGTCGTCTCAGCTCCACGTCCTCCTGTACCACATCACTCCATCTCTTCTCTAGCCCGTGCCGTGCCCGTTTAGCCCCCTCTATCCAGCCAAACAAAAGCTGTTTAGGCATGCAGTGGCTGGACATGCGGGCTGCATGACCCAGCCGACGCAACCTTGCCTGCCGGAGGAGCTCACCGATGGAACTATGTCTAGATCATTGAAGGATTTGTGAGCTCCTCACAAAATCCAGCCTGGTTAAACCGAGGTTGGATCGTAGGCAGGCCAGGCTAAATGTTTCTAACCAATGAAGATGTTCCTTTAGGGGGGGCCACGTTTCGCAAGCATAGAGAAGGGAGGTCATGACTGGCCGAGATTATCCGAAGCTTCGTGTGGAGTGACAGACCAAGTAGCTTTCCCACAGCGTTACGGAGCCGTTGAAAAGATAATTATAATGCCGCTCGACTGATTCGGAGTGAGACCTCTGCTGTCAAACCAGAGCTGGTCATAAGCACACTGCCCAGGTATGGAAAACTCTCCACTCTCTCCACAACTGCCCCATCACCAATGGGGAGATGAGGGGGTAGAGTGTTTGATGCCACAAAATACCCAGGCAGGTGCTTCGGTTTGGTGGGGCCGATTATAAGGCCCCACCTCTGAGAGGCACCCTCCAGATTCAGCAGCAGCGCCTCCAAATCCTCCTCTGAGTGAGCAGTAATCACCAGATCATCAGCATGAGTGAGCATGATTGACCAATAGGGAGCCATACCTTGACCGCAACCGGGCATCGATCAGTCTCCCATTGCATCTGTACCAGATGGAGATTCCTCCAGTACAGCCATAGAAGGCTTCACAAAAGACATGATCGAAAAATGTCGCACCCCAAGGTGAACAGGAAATGACTCCGACTCCTGGACGCATAGCTTTACCCAGGCCCGCTCACTAACATGAAGACCCTCATTGATTGTGGGCATGAAGAACTGTCCACAGCCCTAGGCTGTTGATGTATCATAGGCCTTGATCAGGTCAATAAAGCAGAGATGTAGGTCTTGTTGGAATTCCCTACACTTCTGCTGTAGCAGATGGACAGAGAACATGGCATCCTAAAACCACATTGGGGCTCCACAAGCCTCTCCTCAGCATGCCTGGCAAGGCGATGTTGAATAATCCTTGCCAGGACCTTTCCCGGCACACTGAGGAGTGAGATGCCCATGTAGTTGTTACAGTCTGTGCGGGCCCCCTTCTTGAAGAGGGGGACTACCAGGGCATCCTTCCAATCCTGCAGAACCCGTCCAGTGGTCCAGACTGTTGTTATGATGTCATGTAGGGCAGTCTGTGCATAAACGCCACCCTCCATCAGCATTTAACTTGGCAGATCATCTCTGCCTAGTGCTTTTCCTGATCTCAGACTCTGGATCGCCTTCCGTACTTCCTCAACAGATGGCACTTCAGCCAGCCACTCACAGGGGGTGACTGCTTCTTCCAATATTTGAGGCACAGCAGCACCAACAGGGTCATCCCCACTTTGCACCACAATGTTTTCCAGGCTCAGGAATCCCCCCCCCCACCCCTGCAAGACCTCCTCAGCAACCCGCGACCACCACCTATCCTTGAGGCGCCTCACACCTCTCCAAATCTCGAAGCGAAGGCTGCGGTAAGCCTCCTCATTCTCCGACGTGGGATGCTGTATATGTTGGGAGTGCGCCTGTCGCTATTTCTCAGTCAGCCGGAACACCTCCTGTCAGCCAGGGTCTCTGGGAAGGTTTGGACCGTGCACCCAAAGCAGCCATTGTAGTTGCATGAGCCACAGTCCTAAATCTCGCATAAGTAACCACGGCCACCACTCCTCGCTTGTGGTTGATGGGAAGGCGAACCCACAGTAGCCTGGGGCTTACAGTTTCCCACACCTCACCGCCATGCTCCCACGCCGCCTTCATTCTTTTGTTCAGAAGAGCCACTCCCTGTTGTTTGACAGTCTCCTGCCCCGAGTAGAGGACTGTCCACCCCTCATAGTGACTGGAGCCAGAGCCAGTCCAACGGATCTCCTGAATAACAGAGATCCGGTCCAGCTCCCAACAGAATAGTGGTAACCTCTCCTCCGCAGTGAGCGTTTGAACATTCCACTCGCAGTGGCTTTTTGCTGTTTCTGGAGGAACCCCGAGGGTAAGGATTCAGTCTCCTGGCTCCGCCAAATGGGGTTTGGCCAGGAGACCTCATAGACGCCTGTCCCCCCGGGCCTCTGGCACAAGCTTCATTCTATTCTATGGTTCTTTTGATAAAGTCACGTAGATAGAAAAAAACAAGCGGTCGACCGCTTGTGTTGCGATCGAAATGTCGTAATATTCACTTTTTTTTATTTTATTGTTAAAGAACCATAGAATATGAATTCCTGCAGCCATGAAAGTTAAGTCAAAATTTAAGCTTCATTCTATATTTTCCATATGGGTTTGTGGTAGTTGATATGAAGGTGGAGGGGTTAACAGCCCCTCGCACCCATCCAGAGCCCCAAGTTTGGTCACTGTGGTGGCTACAAGCACCATGAGGAAATTAGCCGATTTTGGAATTGGCCTTCCATCCATGGTATTGCTCTTATGCACCACCACCATCACCACCATCATCATCACCACCTCCATCATTACCACCACCACCTCTCTCTCCCTGTACCAAGCAGGTAGCGGGAACTCTCTCAACACTCTCCCCACCCTCCCCAACGTCGCCTCTCTCTCCACTTACCCCACTCTCCCAAACTCTCCTCGTACCAAATGGGTAGCGGAAGTTCTCTCCCCACCCTCCCCACCCTCCCCACTCTCCCCACTCTCCTCACTCTCCCCACTCTCCCCACTCTCCCCACTCTCCTCGTACCGAGCGAGTAGCAGCAGGAGCTCTCTCCATCTTCTCCCCACTCCTCTGCCCACTCTCCCCCGTCTCCATCTCCGCGCTCTGCAGGTCTCCGTGTCTGTCCAGGCTCGCCAGGGAGGCAACGACAGCGTCCTCACCCCCCGATCCCACGACTCCCGGGATGGGAGGGAATGCTGGGGGAGACATGGGGGGAGCGTAACATGGGGGAGACGCGGGGAGATGAGGGGAGACTTGGGGAGATGCGAATGGATATGAGCGAATATGTTAATGAGCATGCGAGTATGGAGTATCTGTGATGTGTGTGTGGGTGCACGTGTGTGGTGTGTGTGTGTGAAGGTAGGTGCTCGTAGTATGTTGTGGGCTATACAGGAGAATATTTTATCTGTTAGTGTATTATCGAGATGTTTATTAGTGCCCATTAATATAACGTGCATGATTGTTTAACGTCTATAGTTTGTTTGAACATTTTTGTCAACTGCATGCGTGTACAGTATCTGTATTATTAGTATCTGTATTGTTAATATCTCTGTGTTAGTCATGTCTTGTATTGTTTTATGTCTGTGTTATTTGTGTCCTCGTGTCTGTGTGTTTGTGTATTTGTTTGCGTGTGTTCTTGTCTGTGTATGTTTAAAGAAAGCATGTTGTAGTGGGGAGCGGTAGTGTAGCGTGGGGTGTACTGTAGGGTGGGGTGTACTGTAGGTTGGGGTGTATTCTTCTGGGATCCCTCGTAGTCCGGGTGTCACTCGTCCGTGTTGTGAGGTGGACCTGGCTGGCCATGGGTCTGGAGATGGCTGAACAGGCCAATCCGTGACCTGCAGATCTTGGCACAGTGGGGGCACCAGGATGGTCCATCCTGGAGTTCCCACTCCTTGTTGTCTCTGTCTCTGATGTATGTTGCTTTGCGGCGTGCTCTTATCCTGGCTATCAACTCTCTTCGCACGGCCTCAAAATGCTGAGTTCCATTGTTTATTTTGGCCCTCCATGATGGTCTATCAAGAGCATAGATTTCCCAGTTGTTTGGATCTACGTGGCTTCGCTTGAGGTGCATTTTAAGGTTGTCACAGAAACGCTTCCTCTGACCTCCGGGGGCAACGTGATCCAGCGCTGAGCTCGGAATAGAAGATTTGCTTAGAAGTTGGACTTTCTAACTCCCTCTTTACCAACCAATGACACCGTTCCACATCTGATGGTCTCTCCAAACTCGAGTATTGAAGTCGCCGAGGAGAATCGGCTTGTCAACTTTTGGTGTCCCCTGAAGGATTTGTTTGAGTCGGCTGTAGTCGGTCTCCTTGGTGTCTTCTTCAGAGTGCAGCGTTTATGAATAGGTGCTGATGATGGTTGCTTTTTGGTCTTTTGCGAGTTTCAGGCGTAGGGTCATGAAACGCTCATGGATACCAATTGGGAGCCCACTTGAGCTGTTGATGAGCACGTTGTCTATTGCAAACCCTACGCCATGCAGGCGTCGTTTATGCGCTGGTTTAGACTTCCACAAGAAGGTGTAGCCTCCACTTAGCTCGGTCAGTTGGTCTTCGTCCGCCAGACGGGTTTCACTGAGGACGGCAATATGGATGTTAAATCGTCTCAGCTCGCGCGCCACAAGAGCTGTTCGGCGCTCTGGACGTTGCTAGCTTGGGTTGTCTGTGAGAGTCCTGACATTCCACGATACAATGTTTAGGCTACATTTCTTTTGTGTTTCGACTACAATTATTGATGCTCCCTTTGGTCGCGGTAAGCCAGACAGGATGTTGCTAGGCAGGCTATGTTTAGGGCACCTTTTCTAGCCCCCTCCCCATTTGGGGTGAGCAGAGTGGATCCTGGTGGGCTGCTCAGTCACAGCTACAGCTGCCGGGATGCACTCCTGCCTAATCCGAGTGCATGACGACCTTCTAATAGCCCCCGCCTTGGTGCTGGGTTGTGACTAGGAGCTTCAAGCTGCATAGGCCTGCCCCGCTCGCCACTTGCCAATCGCCCAAGGGCTTTGGGCGTGTAGTGTGGTAGTGCGATGGCACAGTTGCCCAGGAGGGTGCCAGTGCGTGAATTAATTTACGTGCAGTGTCTGTTGCACACCAGCCTACTGCACGGGGCTTAACCAGGAACCAAGCCTGGGTCCAATGGCAATGTAGAAAACCAAGACGACTGGAAGGCTTGCCCTGAAACACCAGACATACAGTGGCACCTCCGCCATATGCCGTTGGCCACTTGGTATCCACCTGGGATTTTGTCAGGGTTTACTCCCTTAGCCTAAGCGGTGGCTAACCAGAGCCCCGTTAGCCAGTGCCTCTCCAGGTGAGTCCAGACAGGCCTCCATGAAGCGGCCCAGGTGGTCGAACCACCCACCATACTTCACCCTGTCTGGCAATCCTGTTCTTTAACTGTTACCACCTCCCACGACGTGGACGAGGGGTTGGGGTGTACTGTAGCGTGTTTATGTAGCCCACATGCCCAGCCACCGCATGCCCAAGTGGCTTCTGTTTGGCCGCGTTGAGGGGGCTAAACTAAACGGGTGCGACATGGCCTGGAGAAGAGATGGACTGATGCGGTATGGGAGGATGTGTATCTTGACACCGCTGGTACCAGAGACGCCCAGAACAACAAGCGGAGCGCGGGGTGGCTAAAATGCAGCAGGTTGGCACAGTAAGGGGTACAGCTGGCGCTGCATCTATCAGTCATCTCAGTCAGCCAACCCATGGCACTTCCTGTCAGCAGCGAGCCTCTGAGACTTCACGTGGCCTCAAACTGCACCTGGCCTGGCACAGCCGCCGTGGTAACGTCACCGTCACTTCGTGGGGAATGGCGGTTGTATTGGTATTGGAGTATCCGTGGGTTTGGGAGTGAGTGTGTAATGAGTATCTGTAGGTTGTGAGTGAGTGTGTAATGAGTATCTGTAGGTTGTGAGTGAGTGTGTAATGAGTATCTGTAGGTTGTGAGTGAGTGTGTAATGAGTATCTGTGGGTTGTGAGTGAGTGTGTAATGAGTATCTGTAGGTTGTGAGTGAGTGTGTAATGAGTATCTGTGGGTTGTGAGTGAGTGTGTAATGAGTATCTGTGGGTTGTGAGTGAGTGTGTAATGAGTATCTGTAGGTTGTGAGTGAGTGTGTAATGAGTATCTGTAGGTTGTGAGTGAGTGTGTAATGAGTATCTGTAGGTTGTGAGTGAGTGTGTAATGAGTATCTGTGGGTTGTGAGTGAGTGTGTAATGAGTATCTGTAGGTTGTGAGTGAGTGTGTAATGAGTATATGTGGGTTGTGAGTGAGTGTCTAATGAGTATATGTGGGTTGTGAGTGAGTGTGTAATGAGTATCTGTAGGTTGTGAGTGAGTGTGTAATGAGTATCTGTGGGTTGTGAGTGAGTGTGTAATGAGTATCTGTAGGTTGTGAGTGTGTGTGTAATGAGTATCTGTAGGTTGTGAGTGAGTGTGTAATGAGTATCTGTGGGTTGTGAGTGGGTTTGTGACGAGTATCTGTAGGTTGTGAGTGAGTGTGTAATGAGTATCTGTAGGTTGTGAGTGAGTGTGTAATGAGTATCTGTGGGTTGTGAGTGGGTGTGTAATGAGTATCTGTAGGTTGTGAGTGAGTGTGTAATGAGTATCTGTGGGTTGTGAGTGAGTGTGTAATGAGTATCTGTAGGTTGTGAGTGAGTGTGTAATGAGTATATGTGGGTTGTGAGTGAGTGTCTAATGAGTATATGTGGGTTGTGAGTGAGTGTGTAATGAGTATCTGTAGGTTGTGAGTGAGTGTGTAATGAGTATCTGTGGGTTGTGAGTGAGTGTGTAATGAGTATCTGTAGGTTGTGAGTGAGTGTGTAATGAGTATCTGTAGGTTGTGAGTGAGTGTGTAATGAGTATCTGTGGGTTGTGAGTGAGTGTGTAATGAGTATCTGTAGGTTGTGAGTGAGTGTGTAATGAGTATATGTGGGTTGTGAGTGAGTGTCTAATGAGTATATGTGGGTTGTGAGTGAGTGTGTAATGAGTATCTGTAGGTTGTGAGTGAGTGTGTAATGAGTATCTGTGGGTTGTGAGTGAGTGTGTAATGAGTATCTGTAGGTTGTGAGTGAGTGTGTAATGAGTATCTGTAGGTTGTGAGTGAGTGTGTAATGAGTATCTGTGGGTTGTGAGTGAGTGTGTAATGAGTATCTGTAGGTTGTGAGTGAGTGTGTAATGAGTATATGTGGGTTGTGAGTGAGTGTGTAATGAGTATCCGTAGGTTGTGAGTGAGTGTGTGATGAGTATATGTGGGTTGTGAGTGAGTGTGTAATGAGTATCCGTAGGTTGTGAGTGAGTGTGTAATGAGTATATGTGGGTTGTGAGTGAGTGTGTAATGAGTATCTGTAGGTTGTGAGTGAGTGTGTGATGAGTATCTGTGGGTTGTGAGTGAGTGTGTAATGAGTATCTGTAGGTTGTGAGTGAGTGTGTAATGAGTATCTGTGGGTTGTGAGTGAGTGTGTAATGAGTATCTGTAGGTTTGTGAGTGAGTGTGTAATGAGTATCTGTAGGTTGTGAGTGAGTGTGTAATGAGTATCTGTAGGTTGTGAGTGAGTGTGTAATGAGTATCTGTGGGTTGTGAGTGAGTGTGTAATGAGTATATGTGGGTTTGTGAGTGAGTGTGTAATGAGTATATGTGGGTTGTGAGTGAGTGTGTAATGAGTATCTGTAGGTTGTGAGTGAGTGTGTAATGAGTATATGTGGGTTGTGAGTGTGTAATGAGTATCTGTGGGTTGTGAGTGAGTGTGTAATGAGTATATGTGGGTTGTGAGTGTGTAATGAGTATCTGTAGGTTGTGAGTGTGTAATGAGTATCTGTAGGTTGTGAGTGTGTAATGAGTATCTGTGGGTTGTGAGTGAGTGTGTAATGAGTATATGTAGGTTGTGAGTGAGTTGTAATGAGTATCTGTGAGTATTTACAGGGCAGAGCTGGAAGCTCGCTGAAGTCCACCGGCTTCCCAGCCTTCAGAGCCTTGATAGCGTCCACATAGCTCTGTACACCGCACAAAGACAAACCCAGCTCATAGACAACCCCAACACACAGGGGGGGGTGGCTTTTCCTGATGACGACCGCTTGTGTTGCGATCGAAACGTCGTAGTTTTTTGTTATTTTCTTTGAACCTATCTGCGTGACTTTACCGAAAGACCCAAAGAATATGACTGCCCATAAACTCAGCACTGCCCATAAACTCAACACTGCACCAGAGACTCAACACTGCACCATAGACTCAACACTGCCCGTAGAATCAGCACTGCCCATAAACTCAACACTGCACCATAGACTCAACACTGCACCATAGACTCAGCACTGCACCATAGACTCAACACTGCCCACAGACTCAGCACTGCACCATAGACTCAGCACTGCCCATAGACTCAACACTGCCCATAGACTCAGCACTGCACCATAGACTCAACACTGCCCACAGACTCAGCACTGCACCATAGACTCAGCACTGCCCATAGACTCAACACTGCCCACAGACTCAGCACTGCACCATAGACTCAGCACTGCCCATAGACTCAACACTGCCCATAGACTCAGCACTGCACCATAGACTCAACACTGCACCATAGACTCAACACTGCACCATAGACTCAACACTGCCCACAGACTCAGCACTGCACCATAGACTCAACACTGCACCATAGACTCAACACTGCACCATAGACTCAACACTGCCCACAGACTCAGCACTGCACCATAGACTCAGCACTGCCCATAGACTCAACACTGCCCATAGACTCAGCACTGCCCATACACTCAGCACTGCCCATACACTCAGCACTGCACCACAGACTCAACACTGCCCATAGACTCAACACTGCACCATATACTCAACACTGCCCATAGACTCAGCACTGCCCATAGACTCAACACTGCACCACAGACTCAACACTGCACCACAGACTCAACATTGCCCATAGACTCAGCACTGCACCACAGACTCAGCACTGCCCATGGGTTACCATGAGAGAGGTTACCAATGTAACTCATGGGCGTAGTTACCGTGGCGATGCGTTCGTGTCTCCGAGCCTTAGCACTGTTCCCCTCCTTCTTGGCCTGAGCTGCGATGTCTCTGTAGGCAGACAGACGAGCCTCCAGCGCGGACAGCGGCGTGTCTACGGGGAGACAGATATGGGGAGTCACGGAGAACCACGGGAGACGCGGGGAGACGCGGGGAGACGCGGGGAGACGCGGGGAGACGCGGGGAGACGCGGGGAGACGCGGGGAGACGCGGGGAGACGCGGGGAGACGCGGGGAGACGCGGGGAGACGCGGGGAGACGCGGGGAGACGCGGGGAGACGCGGGGAGACGCGGGGAGACGCGGGGAGACTCGGGGAGACGCGGGGAGACGCGGGGAGACGCGGGGAGACGCGGGGAGACGCGGGGAGACACGAGGAAACAAACGTGGCGGAGTAGTCACCGGGTAGCGAGGGGGGAGGTTTTGTCTGTGGTTCCGGACCTCCAACTTTGGGACTTGGAGCGACGTTCACCGGCACTGGTGGGAAAATAACCATTGCCAACATCACCAACATCACCACCACCATCACCATCACCACCAACACCACCATCACCACCACCACCACCATCATCACCACCATCACCACCACCATCAACATCATCACCACCATCACCACCACTACCATCACCACCACCACCACCATCAACATCACCAACATCACCACACATCACCACCACCATCACCACCACCATCACCACCACCACCACCACCATCAACATCATCACCACCACCATTATCAACATCACCACCATCACCATCACCACCACAACCATTACCACCACCATCATCACCACCATCACCATCACCAACATCACCACCATCACCAACATCACCACCATCACCAACATCACCACCATCACCACCATCACCACCACCATCACCAACATCACCACCATCACCACCACCATCATCACCACCACCATCATCATCACCATCACTACCACCATGTTAATGATAGTGATGATGATCATGTTGATAGGGATGATGATGTTAATGTTTATAGTGATGATGATCATGTTGATGTTGAGGATATGAATGGTGGTGATTGTTTTGATGTTAGCAGCTGCAGCAGGAGGAGGAAAATTGGAGAAGTCGACACTGGGTATTGATGGTGGTGTTGATGGTGGTGGTGTTGATGGTGGTGGTGTTTATGGTGGTGGTGTTTATGGTGGTGGTGTTGATGGTGGTGGTGTTGATGGTGGTGGTGGTCTTGATGGTGGTGGTGGTCTTGATGGTGGTGGTGGTCTTGATGGTGGTGGTGGTGTTGATGTTGGTGATGGTCATGATGGTACCAGCATGAGGAGCAGCAGGAGGTGAGGTGGTGGAGCATTGGACAGGTCGAGACTGGTGATAGTGGTGGTGATGTTAATGGTGGTGGTGTTTGTGGTGGTGATGGTGGTGGTGATGTTAATGGTGGTGGTGTTTGTGGTGGTGATGGTGGTGGTGATGTTAATGGTGGTGGTGTTTGTGGTGGTGATGGTGGTGGTGATGTTAATGGTGGTGGTGTTTGTGGTGGTGATGGTGGTGGTGATGTTAATGGTGGTGGTGTTTGTGGTGGTGATGGTGGTGGTGATGTTAATGGTGGTGGTGTTTGTGGTGGTGTTGTTAATGGTGGTGGTGTTTGTGGTGGTGATGGTGGTGGTGATGTTAATGGTGGTGGTGTTTGTGGTGGTGATGTTAATGGTGGTGGTGTTTGTGGTGGTGATGTTAATGGTGGTGGTGATGTTAATGGTGGTGGTGTTTGTGGTGGTGATGTTAATGGTGGTGGTGATGTTAATGGTGGTGGTGTTTGTGGTGGTGATGTTAATGGTGGTGGTGATGTTAATGGTGGTGGTGTTGTGGTGGTGATGTTAATGGTGGTGGTGTTTGTGGCGGTGATGGTGGTGGTGATAGTGGTGGTGATAGTGATGGTGATGTTAACGGTGGTGGTGTTTATGGTGGTGGTGGTGGTGATGTTAACGGTGGTGGTGTTTGTGGTGATGTTAATGGTGGTGATGTTAATGGTGGTGGTGATGTTCATGGTGGTGGTGATAGTGGTGGTGATGTTAATGGTGGTGGTGATGTTAATGGTGGTGGTGATAGTGGAGGTGATAGTGGTGGTGATGTTAATGGTGGTGGTGTTTGTGGTGGTGATGTTAATGGTGGTGGTGTTTGTGGTGGTGATGTTAATGGTGGTGGTGTTTGTGGTGGTGTTTGTAGTGGTGATGGTGGTGGTGATGTTAATGGTGGTGGTGATAGTGGTGGTGATAGTGGTGGTGATGTTAATGGTGGTGATAGTGGTGGTGATGTTAATGGTGGTGGTGTTTGTGGTGGTGATGGTGATTTTAATGGTGGTGGTGGTGATTTTAATGGTGGTGGTGATGTTAATGGTGGTGATAGTGGTGGTGATGGTGATGTTAATGGTGGTGATAGTGGTGGTGATGGTGGTGGTGATGTTAATGGTGGTGGTGTTTGTGGTGGTGATGGTGGTGATGTTGATGGTTGTGATGGTGGTGGTGATGGTACCAGCAGGAGATGGAGCAGCAGCAGCAGGAGCAGCAGGAGGAGGAGGAGCGTTGGACAGGTCGACGCGTTCCCCTCTCAACAGCGCAGAGATAACAGCGTCAAACGACTAGCAGGGTCACAGGGTCATGGGGTCACAGGGTTATGGGGTCATGAGATCACGGGGTTATTAGGGTGGGGTTATGGGGTCACGAGGTTATGGGGTCACAGGGTTATGGGGTCACGGAGACAGGGTTATGGGGTCATGGGGTTATGGGGTCATGGGGTTATGGGGCGGAGAAGTGGAGGGGGAGACAACGGCACATTTAGAAACAAATCCTCACATCTATCCCACTCCCCGAGTCTCCCGTGTCTGTCTCCCCCGTGTCTCTCCGTGTCTCTCCAAGTCTCCCCCGTGTCTTCCCGCGTCTCCCCTCGTCTCCAAGTCTCTCCGAGTCTTCCCAAGTCTCCCCCGTGTCTCCACGTGTATCCCGTCTCCCCGTGTTTCCACCGTATCTCCTTTGGGTCCGTCTCCCCCGTGTCTCACCACGTCTCACCGTGTTTCACCGTGTCTCCCCTGTGTCTCCACGTGTATCCCGTCTCCCCGTGTTTCCACCGTATCTCCTTTGTGTCTCGGTCTCTCCCGTGTCACGCCGTGTCTCCCCGAATCTCCCCGTGTCTCACCTTGGCTGTCCGAAAATATGCCATGGCTGTCTCCGTGTCTCCGTGTTTCTTGGCGGCCAGCGCTGCTACCGAGTACTCCCTCTGGCGTTGACGCAGATCCAACAGCAGGGGAGCTACGTGGAGAAGACACGGGGGGAAGACACGGGAGGGACACGGGAGAGACACAGAGAGACACAGACACAGGGAGACACGGGAGAGACACAGGGAAACATTGGGAGACACGTATGTGTGTTGTATGTATGATGTATGTACATTTTATGTATGTTGCATGTGTAGTGACAGGGTGCCATCTGTTGACCGTGAAGGATAACCACGTGTATGGGTCCGCTATATAACATAAGGGGGGTGTAACTGGGCCAAGGGTCAGAGGCGGGGATCAGTCGGGAAGCTCCTGGAACCTGCATGAGCGTTCTAGAAGGGGGGCGTGGCCATGCTGAGGAGGATAAAAGAGGGAGGTAACCGGAGGTTCGGGGCTGTCGTGGGGGGTTCGGGTCCTGGCTGCCGTCGCCGTCTTCGCCGTGATCTCTTCATCGTCGTCCGGCCGTAGAGCCGATCCGCTGTAGGTCCCCATCCTCGTCGCCACTGTTTCGTCAGCCAGCTGATGCCGCCGATGCGGTAGTACCAGTGGGTCAGCTCTACGTAGCCCAGTGTGTGTGTTACTCAGTGACTCTGCCCGTAAAGTGTGAGAAATAAACAAGGAGCCCTCTACAAGTTACGTATCGGAAGCCGCTCACTACACGTGTGTTATATGCATGTTGCATGCGTAGTGACATGGCGCTGACTGCTGTACAGCAGCTGCAGGTAGACACTTAGCGAACACGTCGTTGAGCGCATACACGGTGTGTGTGCCGGCAGGGCGGAGCAACTGGGGCAAGGGTCACGGTAGACCTCGTGGGGAGGCCCTTGGAATCCTCTGGTGGGTTCGAGAAGGGAGGCATGGCTAGGGCGGAGCCAAGCCGCGCCAAGGGGAATAAAAGCAGCGGAGAGTGAGAGCTCTGGGGCTGCCGGTTCTGGGAGTGGACTCGTCTCGTCGTCGTCGCCGCCTTCATCGCTGCCACCTTCGCCCGATCATCAGTTGGCCGTCTCGGTCGACGCCGTTGGTGCAACGGGAACGGGGTCGTGTCTGGGCCGGGTCGTTCGGCAGCGTGATCGTGAGAGAGAGGGGGCCGGAGTTGGTGGCGTGGACGCGGGAGATAATAAAGAGGACGGTGCCCCCTGCGACTACCTCGTCTCCGTCTGAGTGTGTGTGCGCCACACGCCACCCGCACACACACACGCAAGCCTCGAGAAAGAAGAAGAAGAGACCTATGACACTACACATGTATCATCACCACAATCACCATCACAACCACTACCATCATCACAGCAACCATCACCACCATCACTCACATGGATCCTCCGATCCAGATCTGTTCCCGGGCTCTGGCTCCCGTTTCTGTTCCGTTCCTGGTTTTGGTTTCAGCTCCGGTTCCGGACTCATTTTCGGTTTCGCTTGCACTTCCGGTTTGGGTCTCACTTCCGGCTTTTGCTCCGGGCTCACTTCCGGTTTCACGGCTGGTGGCGGCTTCACTTCCGGTTTTGGTGCAACTTCCGGCTTCGGCTTCACTTCCGGTTTGGGTCTCACTTCCGGCTTTTGCTCCGGTTTAACTTCTGGTTTTGGATCCGGTTCCGGCTTTGCCTCCCGGGTTTTGTTTCCTGTGGCCACGGGCGGCGGTATGTCCTCCTCGGAGATGGAGCGGCCGGACTTGGCAGCTTTCAGCAAATCCTGGCAGCTCTGGAGGAGATACAGAGCAGAGTGGGAGGAGACACGGGGAGAGAGAGGAGACACGGAGAGTCGGAGTGAGTCTCTGAGTGAGTCTTTGAGTGAGTGAGTGAGTATATTAGTCAGTCTATGAGTTAGTGAGTCTCTGAGTAATTATCTGAGTGGGTGAGTCTCTGAATGAGTAAGACGCTGAATGCGTGTCTGGGAAGCGTTTCCTGACCTTGAGTCCACGCTCGAATCGACGAGCTTTGGAGCTTTCCCCCGCCAGGCGAGCGTTGGAGACAGCTTCAGCGTAGAGTGAGACACGGGACTCCAGCAGAGACACCATGGGCTGTGCGGGAGAGACACGGAAAGAGTGAGGCATGGTGAGAGTGAGAGAGACACTGTGAGAGAGTGAGAGACACAGAGAGAGAGAGATAACGAGAGAGAGCGAGACACGGGACTCCAGCAGAGACACCATGGGCTGTGTAGGAGAGACACAGGGAGAGTAAGAAACCCAGCAAGAGAGACACACGGGGAGAGTGAGACATGGTGAGAGTGAGACACACGGTCGGTGAGAGAGACACATGGTGAGAGAGACAGGGTACTCTAGCAGAAACACCATAGGCTGTGCAGGAGAGACACAGGGAGACACAGTGAGAGTGAGATAGACAGGAGAGAGACATTGTGAGAGAGACAGAGAGAGACATTGGACTTGGGCCGTACAAGAGACACATGGGGGGTGAGAGAGAGGCAGAGAGACACAGGGAGAATGAGAGAGACAGAGAGAGATACTGGGAGAGTGAAACACATGGTGAGAGAGAGACACGTAGAGAGAGACACGGGGAGCGTGAGAGAGACAGAGAGACACATGGTGAGAGACAGAGAGATACACGGAGAGATACAGGGAGAGTGACAGAGACAGACACAGGGAGAGTGAGACACACAGGGGGAGAGTGAGATACACGGTGAGAGAGAGAGACACGGGGAGAGTGAGAGAGACAGAGAGACACATGGTGAGAGAGACACGGGCCTCCAGCAGGGACACTGTGGGCTGCGTGGGAGAGACACAGGGATAGAGGCAGAGAGAGACACGGGGAGAGTGAGAGACACGGTGAGAGTAAGAAAAACGGGGAGAGTAAGACAGGGAGAGAGGCAGAGAGACTTGGGAAGAGTGAGACACACAGTGAGAGACGGAGAGACATGGGGAGAGTGAGACACACAGTGAGAGTGAGACGGAGAGACATGGGCAGAGTGAGACACACAGTGAGAGTGAGACGGAGAGACATGGGGAGAGTGAGACACACAGTGAGAGAGTGAGAGACATGGGCAGAGTGAGACACACAGTGAGAGACAGAGAGACATGGGGAGAGTGAGACACAGTGAGAGACGGAGAGACATGGGGAGAGTGAGACACACAGTGAGAGAGAGACGGGGAGACATGGGGAGAGTGAGACACACAGTGAGAGTGAGACGGAGAGACATGGGGAGAGTGAGACACACAGTGAGAGACAGAGAGACATGGGGAGAGTGAGACACACAGTGAGAGACAGAGAGACATGGGCAGAGTGAGACACACAGTGAGAGAGAGACGGAGAGACATGGGCAGAGTGAGACACACAGTGAGAGAGAGACGGAGAGACATGGGGAGAGTGAGACACACAGTGAGAGAGAGACGGAGAGACATGAGCAGAGTGAGACACACAGTGAGAGTGAGACAGAGAGACATGGGCAGAGTGAGACACACAGTGAGAGAGAGACGGAGAGACATGGGGAGAGTGAGACACACAGTGAGAGAGAGACAGAGAGACATGGGGAGAGTGAGACACACAGTGAGAGACAGAGAGACATGGGGAGAGTGAGACATACAGTGAGAGAGAGACGGAGAGACATGGGCAGAGTGAGACACACAGTGAGAGTGAGACGGAGAGACATGGGGAGAGTGAGACACACAGTGAGAGTGAGACGGAGAGACATGGGCAGAGTGAGACACACAGTGAGAGGCAGAGAGACATGGGGAGAGTGAGACACACAGTGAAAGAGAGACGGAGAGACATGGGGAGAGTGAGACACAGTGAGAGACGGAGAGACATGGGCAGAGTGAGACACACAGTGAGAGTGAGACAGAGAGACATGGGGAGAGTGAGACACACAGTGAGAGAGAGACGGAGAGACATGGGGAGAGTGAGACACAGTGAGAGACGGAGAGACATGGGGAGAGTGAGACACACAGTGAGAGAGATGGAGAGACATGGGGAGAGTGAGACACACAGTGAGAGACAGAGAGACATGGGGAGAGTGAGACACAGTGAGAGTGAGACGGAGAGACATGGGCAGAGTGAGACACACAGTGAGAGACGGAGAGACATGGGGAGAGTGAGACACACAGTGAGAGTGAGACGGAGAGACATGGGGAGAGTGAGACACACAGTGAGAGGCAGAGAGACATGGGCAGAGTGAGACACACAGTGAGAGACAGAGAGACATGGGGAGAGTGAGACACACAGTGAGAGAGAGATGGAGAGACATGGGGAGAGTGAGACACACAGTGAGAGGCAGAGAGACATGGGGAGAGTGAGACACACAGTGAGAGGCAGAGAGACATGGGGAGAGTGAGACACACAGTGATAGACAGAGAGACATGGGGAGAGTGAGACACACAGTGAGAGACAGAGAGATATGGGGAGAGTGAGACACACAGTGAGAGACGGAGAGACATGGGGAGAGTGAGACACACAGTGAGAGTGAGACGGAGAGACATGGGGAGAGTGAGACACACAGTGAGAGACGGAGAGACATGGGGAGAGTGAGACACACAGTGAGAGGCAGAGAGACATGGGGAGAGTGAGACACACAGTGAGAGGCAGAGAGACATGGGGAGAGTGAGATAGACAGTGATAGACAGAGAGACATGGGGAGAGTGAGACACACAGTGAGAGACAGAGAGATATGGGGAGAGTGAGACACACAGTGAGAGACGGAGAGACATGGGGAGAGTGAGACACACAGTGAGAGATGGAGAGACATGGGGAGAGTGAGACACACAGTGAGAGAGAGAGAGACATGGGGAGAGTGAGACACACAGTGAGAGACGGAGAGACATGGGGAGAGTGAGACACACAGTGAGAGTGAGACGGAGAGACATGGAGAGAGTGAGACACACAGTGAGAGTGAGACAGAGAGACATGGGGAGAGTGAGACACACAGTGAGAGACAGAGAGACATGGGGAGAGTGAGACACACAGTGAGAGAGAGACGGAGAGACATGGGGAGAGTGAGACACACAGTGAGAGACAGAGAGACATGGGGAGAGTGAGACACACAGTGAGAGAGAGACGGAGAGACATGGGGAGAGTGAGACACACAGTGAGAAACAGAGAGACATGGGGAGAGTGAGACACACAGTGAGAGACAGAGAGACATGGGGAGAGTGAGACACACAGTGAGAGACAGAGAGTCATGGGGAGAGTGACACAGTGAGAGGCAGAGAGACATGGGGAGAGTGAGACACACAGTGAGAGACAGAGAGACATGGGGAGAGTGAGACACACAGTGAGAGAGAGACGGAGAGACATGGGGAGAGTGAGACACACAGTGAGAAACAGAGAGACATGGGGAGAGTGAGACACAGTGAGAGACAGAGAGTCATGGGGAGAGTGACACAGTGAGAGGCAGAGAGACATGGGGAGAGTGAGACACACAGTGAGAGGCAGAGAGACATGGGGAGAGTGAGACACACAGTGATAGACAGAGAGACATGGGGAGAGTGAGACACACAGTGAGAGACAGAGAGATATGGGGAGAGTGAGACACACAGTGAGAGGCAGAGAGACATGGGGAGAGTGAGACACACAGTGATAGACAGAGAGACATGGGGAGAGTGAGACACACAGTGAGAGACAGAGAGATATGGGGAGAGTGAGACACACAGTGAGAGGCAGAGAGACATGGGGAGAGTGAGACACACAGTGAGAGAGAGGCGGAGAGACATGGGGAGAGTGAGACACACAGTGAGAGACAGAGAGACATGGGGAGAGAGAGACACACAGTGAGAGACAGAGAGTCATGGGGAGAGTGACACAGTGAGAGGCAGAGACTCATGGGGAGAGTGAGACACACAGTGAGAGACAGAGAGACATGGGGAGAGTGAGACACACAGTGAGAGACAGAGAGACATGGGGAGAGTGAGACACAGTGAGAGACGGAGAGACATGGGGAGAGTGAGACACACAGTGAGAAACAGAGAGACATGGGGAGAGTGAGACACACAGTGAGAGACAGAGAGACATGGGGAGAGTGAGACACACAGTGAGAGACAGAGAGTCATGGGGAGAGTGACACAGTGAGAGGCAGAGAGACATGGGGAGAGTGAGACACACAGTGAGAGACAGAGAGACATGGGGAGAGTGAGACACACAGTGAGAGAGAGACGGAGAGACATGGGGAGAGTGAGACACACAGTGAGAAACAGAGAGACATGGGGAGAGTGAGACACAGTGAGAGACAGAGAGTCATGGGGAGAGTGACACAGTGAGAGGCAGAGAGACATGGGGAGAGTGAGACACACAGTGAGAGGCAGAGAGACATGGGGAGAGTGAGACACACAGTGATAGACAGAGAGACATGGGGAGAGTGAGACACACAGTGAGAGACAGAGAGATATGGGGAGAGTGAGACACACAGTGAGAGGCAGAGAGACATGGGGAGAGTGAGACACACAGTGATAGACAGAGAGACATGGGGAGAGTGAGACACACAGTGAGAGACAGAGAGATATGGGGAGAGTGAGACACACAGTGAGAGGCAGAGAGACATGGGGAGAGTGAGACACACAGTGAGAGAGAGGCGGAGAGACATGGGGAGAGTGAGACACACAGTGAGAGACAGAGAGACATGGGGAGAGTGAGACACACAGTGAGAGACAGAGAGTCATGGGGAGAGTGACACAGTGAGAGGCAGAGACTCATGGGGAGAGTGAGACACACAGTGAGAGACAGAGAGACATGGGGAGAGTGAGACACACAGTGAGAGACAGAGAGACATGGGGAGAGTGAGACACAGTGAGAGACAGAGAGACATGGGGAGAGTGAGACACACAGTGAGAGAGACAGAGACACACAGTGAGAGTTAGACACACAGTGAGAGAGAGACAGAGACACACAGTGAGAGTGAGACGGAGAGAGGGAGAAACACGAAGTGAGAGGGAGGTACCTGTGAGTGTGTAGGGATCACGGCTTGGGGCTGGGGCTGTGGTTTGGAGACCGGGGCTTCTGTCTCAACGTCTTCCATCACCTCCTGCAGCTCAGCCTGGGGACATGGTCACCATGGTAACAGCGTTCCCCCCCCCCCCGTGTCTCCGCAGCACGTCTCCCCCCCCCCGTGTATCTTCCATGTCTACCCTGTGGCCCCCCGCATCCCCGTCGTGTTTACCCCGTGACTCGCCCGTGTCACCCCGTGTCACCCCGTGTGTCACCCTGCGTCTCCCCGCGTCTCCCCCGCGTCTCCCCCGCGTCTCCCCCGCGTCTCCCCCGCGTCTCCCCCGCGTCTCCCCCGCGTCTCCCCGCGTCTCCCCCGTGTCTCCCCCGCGTCTCCCCCGCGTCTCCCCCGAGTCTCCCCCGCGTCTCCCCGCGTCTCCCCCGCGTCTCCCCCGCGTCTCCCCCGCGTCTCCCCCGTGTCTCCCCGCGTCTCCCCCGTGTGTCCCCCGCGTCTCCCCCGCGTCTCCACCGCGTCTCCCCGAGTCTCCCCCGAGTCTCCCCCGCGTCTCCCCGCGTCTCCCCCGCGTCTCCCCCGCGTCTGCCCGAGTCTCCCCGCGTCTCCCCGCGTCTCCCCCGCGTCTCCCCCGCATCTCCCCCGCGTCTCCCCGAGTCTCCCCCGTGTCTCCCCCGCGTGTCCCCCACGTCTCCCCGAGTCTCCCCCGTGTCTCCCCGCGTCTCCCCCGCGTCTCCCCGAGTCTCCCCCGTGTCTCCCCGAGTCTCCCCCGTGTCTCCCCGCGTCTCCCCCGCGTGTCCCCCGCGTCTCCCCCGCGTCTCCCCGAGTCTCCCCCGTGTCTCCCCGCGTCTCCCCCGCGTCTCCCCCGCGTCTCCCCCGCGTCTCCCCGAGTCTCCCCCGTGTCTCCCCGCGTCTCCCCCGCGTGTCCCCCGCGTCTCCTCGCGTGTCCTCGCGTCTCCTCGCGTGTCCTCGCGTCTCCCCCGCGTCTCCCCCGCGTCTCCCCCGCGTCTCCCCCGCGTCTCCCCGCGTGTCCCCCGCGTCTCCCCCGCGTCTCCCCGCGTGTCCCCCGCGTCTCCCCCGCGTCTCCCCGCGTGTCCCCCGTGTCTCCCCGTGTACCCTGCCCATACCAATAACTCCATGTCCATCTCCAGGTCGCCATCATCGCCATCATCACCATCATCATCGTCCCTCATGCACACTGCTGCCATCCGAGCGATCTCCTCCAACGCTCCCGGGGTGACTGGAACATCCACACCATCACCACCATTAATATCAACACCATTATCTTCAAGTTCATTTATTAGGTTTAGCCCTGTGAGCCATTCGGCTCTTGAATCGGGTGCAACCGCAACAAAAAAAAAACAAGAAAATATCTTAGAGTGACTATGTGACTAAGTGCAAACAGAAAATCCAAGAAAATACAGCAAAATTATGCAGAAAAAGCACCTTACACCAACGCTGTGTGCAAAAATCCCAGTGGGATGCAAGTCAAACAACAACAACCACAAGACAACTTAGATTAAGGCCATCCGTCTGACTCTGTACTACAAACAAACAAACATGGCCAAACCAAAAAACTTTTCGAAAATCACCGAAATAAAGCCACAAAGTAATGAAACAGTGATCATAGGAACTGTGACCGAATTTTCACAATAAACGACATAAACAACATGTACTAACTAACAAACCCTGCAGCCATAGCTGGCTGCATGAGTCACTCCACAACAGCAGGAGCATCAGTCGGAGTATCAACATTTTTCAATGCACCTTTAAGATGAGCACACTAAATCAAAACACAGATCATACTTTGCAGCGATCATCCGGAGCGAAACATTGCATCTACATCACCATCACCCCCATCAACATCAACACCATTACCTACATCACCAGCAACACCATCACTCCCATCAACATCAACACCAATACCTAAATCACTATCGAAGACAAAAAATATATCCCCCATGTAGCTTTAACAGACTGCTGGGGCAAGTGCTGTTAGCGAGTAGCACCTATGAAGGCCGGCACGGCACACGACGGGGCGGGTGGCCAACACCACGCCCAGCCGCCTTTGTCTCCCTCGTGGCGATGTTTACATACCGCACCAGGTACTCATTTGAGGCCGAGTCGACCTAGGGGAGGCCAGGACCGGTTCAGATAATCGTCACTGGTGTTAGCGGGAATTTAACCCGGGTCGCCAGGTTCGTAGTGCAGCGCGCAAACCACTACACTACATCTTCTCCATCTCAAATCATTACCATAATCAACACTGCACCATAGACTCAGCACTGCATCACAGACTCAACACTGCCCATGGACTCAACACTGCACCATAGACTCAGCACTGCACCATAGACTCAGCACTGCATCATAGACTCAACACTGCCTATAGAATCAGCACTACACCATAGACTCAGCACTGCACCATAGACTCAACACTGCACCATAGACTCAGCACTGCACCATAGACTCAGCACTGCACCATAGACTCAGCACTGCACCATAGACTCAGCACTGCACCATAGACTCAGCACTGCACCATAGACTCAGCACTGCACCATAGACTCAGCACTGCACCATTGACTCAGCACTGCACCATTGACTCAGCACTGCACCATAGACTCAGCACTGCACCATAGACTCAGCACTGCACCATAGACTCAGCACTGCACCATAGACTCAGCACTGCACCATAGACTCAGCACTGCACCATAGACTCAGCACTGCACCATTGACTCAGCACTGCACCATTGACTCAGCACTGCACCATAGACTCAACACTGCACCATAGACTCAACACTGCACCATTGACTCAGCACTGCACCATAGACTCAACACTGCCCGTAGACTCAGCACTGCATCATAGACTCAACACTGCACCATAGACTCAAGACTTTCCATAGACTCAGCACTGCACCATGGACTAAGTACTGCACCATAGACTCAACACTTTCCATAGACTCAGCACTGCACCATACACTCAGCACTGCCCGTAGACTCAACACTACACCATAGACTCATCACTGCCCATAGACTCAACACTGCCCATAGACTCAACACTGCACCGTAGACTCAACACTGCATCGTAGACTCAACACTGCACCATAGACTCAGCACTGCACCATAGACTCAACACTGCACCATTGACTCAGCACTGCACCATAGACTCAACACTGCACCATAGACTCAACACTGCACCATTGACTCAGCACTGCACCATAGACTCAACACTGCACCATAGACTCAACACTGCACCATAGACTCAGCACTGCCCATAGACTCAGCACTGCCCATAGACTCAACACTGCCCATAGACTCAACACTGCACCGTAGACTCAACACTGCATCGTAGACTCAACACTGCAACATAGACTCAACACTGCACCATAGACTCAACACTGCACCATAGACTCAACACTGCACCATAGACTCAACACTGCACCATAGACTCAGCACTGCACCATAGACTCAGCACTGCATCATAGACTCAACACTGCCTATAGAATCAGCACTACACCATAGACTCAGCACTGCACCATAGACTCAACACTGCACCATAGACTCAGCACTGCACCATAGACTCAGCACTGCACCATAGACTCAGCACTGCACCATAGACTCAGCACTGCACCATAGACTCAGCACTGCACCATAGACTCAGCACTGCACCATTGACTCAGCACTGCACCATTGACTCAGCACTGCACCATAGACTCAACACTGCACCATAGACTCAACACTGCACCATTGACTCAGCACTGCACCATAGACTCAACACTGCCCGTAGACTCAGCACTGCATCATAGACTCAACACTGCACCATAGACTCAACACTTTCCATAGACTCAGCACTGCACCATGGACTAAGTACTGCACCATAGACTCAACACTTTCCATAGACTCAGCACTGCACCATACACTCAGCACTGCCCGTAGACTCAACACTACACCATAGACTCATCACTGCCCATAGACTCAATACTGCCCATAGACTCAACACTGCACCGTAGACTCAACACTGCATCGTAGACTCAACACTGCACCATAGACTCAGCACTGCACCATAGACTCAACACTGCACCATTGACTCAGCACTGCACCATAGACTCAACACTGCACCATAGACTCAACACTGCACCATTGACTCAGCACTGCACCATAGACTCAACACTGCACCATAGACTCAGCACTGCCCATAGACTCAGCACTGCCCATAGACTCAACACTGCCCATAGACTCAACACTGCACCATAGACTCAACACTGCATCGTAGACTCAACACTGCAACATAGACTCAACACTGCACCATAGACTCAACACTGCACCATAGACTCAACACTGCACCATAGACTCAACACTGCACCATAGACTCAGCACTGCACCATAGACTCAACACTGCACCATAGACTCAACACTGCACCATAGACTCAGCACTGCACCATAGACTCAACACTGCACCATAAACTCAGCACTGCACCATAGACAATACTGCACCATAGACTCAGCACTGCCCATAGACTCAGCACTGCACCATAGACTCAACACTGCACCATAAACTCAACACTGCCCATAGACTCAGCACTGCACCATAGACTCAACACTGCACCATAGACTCAGCACTGCCCATAGACTCAGCACTGCACCATAGACTCAACACTGCACCATATACTCAACACTGCACCATAGACTCAGCACTGCACCATAGACTCAGCACTGCACCATAGACTCAGCACTGCACCATAGACTCAGTACTGCACCATAGACTCAGCACTGCACCATAGACTCAACACTGCACCATAGACTCAACACTGCACCATAGACTCAGCACTGCACCATAGACTCAACACTGCACCATAAACTCAGCACTGCACCATAGACAACACTGCACCATAGACTCAGCACTGCCCATAGACTCAGCACTGCACCGTAGACTCAACACTGCACCATAAACTCAACACTGCCCATAGACTCAGCACTGCACCATAGACAACACTGCACCATAGACTCAGCACTGCCCATAGACTCAGCACTGCACCATAGACTCAACACTGCACCATAAACTCAACACTGCCCATAGACTCAGCACTGCACCATAGACTCAACACTGCACCATATACTCAACACTGCACCATAGACTCAGCACTGCACCATAGACTCAGCACTGCACCATAGACTCAGCACTGCCCATACTCAGCACTGCACCATAGACTCAGCACTGCACCATAGACTCAGCACTCACCACCTTTTCCGCGTGGCTTCTCCTTCTTGGCTCTGCCCTCCGTCCCCCCGACCAGAGCCGCCAACTCTGCCTCCAGATCCCCATCATCGCCATCACCATCATCGTAACCCCCGCCATCACCATCGGGAAATGGCAGCAGCCCCAGCTGAGTGATATAGCAGGCATCACCACCATCATCATCACCATCATCATCACTACTGTCACCATCATGAATACCATCATCATCATCATCACCACTATCACCATCATCATCACCACTGTCACCATCATTAATACCATAATCAGCACCATCATCATCACTACCACCATCATGATCACCACCATGATAATCTCCACCAACAACATCACCACCACCATCATGATCATCTCCACCAACAACATCACTACCACCATCATGATCATCACCACCATCATGGTCATCACCACCATCATCACCACCACCAACAACATCACCACCACCATCATGATCATCTCCACCAACAACATCACTACCACCATCATGATCATCACCACCATCATGGTCATCACCACCATCATCACCACCATCATCACCACCACCAACAACATCAACACCATCATCACCACCAACATCACCACCACCATCATCACCACCATCATCACCACCATCATCATCTCCACCACCACCATCACCTTTCTTTTCAAATCTTCATTCTGACGATCCCGATCCCGACCCCGACCCCTGTCGGCCCCGCGGCTCCTGCCGGCCATGCTCGCTCCTTCGCGGCGGGAGGTTCAAGGCAACACCGTAGGCTTCGCCGGTCTCTTCGGGATTCGTCCCCGCCAAGCGCCCGCCGGCGTTGGGTTAATAACGGGGCACCGCACCCTGTGGAGGAAGCTATCGGGGGAACGACCGAGGGGGTGCAGCCGAAGGGGACCCAAGGGGACTCGAAGGGGACCCAAACAGCCTTCGGGGCTGTCAGAGGCGAGGCCTTTGACTCGGGAAGCGGAATCGATCCGCGAGAATCTATGGTCTCCAATTCAGTGACCGGCGATTCCTCTAGAACATTCGATTCCTTGATAATTGTTTTTTAACCCTTCTTTCTATCTGGCAACAAAACTGACATCTTTTTTTACAAGGAGTCATGTTTGCATAGACCACAATACCTGCAGCCATAATGCAAACAAAAAACACAACTCTGATAATATATGCACTGTCCTTGAAGTTGATTGGTCCACATCCGAGACAGCTTTCCTTAGAAACTAGTCTCACATGGGTTGGACCAGATGACGCCAAAAGGCGCACAACTCAAAGACAATGCACCATCAGAGTATGAGAGCTCGGGGTAAGCATTTACACCATTGGAACCTCATTTGCCAGTACAAATGAGGGTGGCCCAAGTCAGGGCAAATAGTTTATACTGGTAGGAACCTCCTGGTTACACCAGCCCACAGGGGATTATTGTGTCCGTCCGTCCGTCGTACAGGGAGGGGCTGGGTGGGAGGGGTGGGGCTGGGTGGGGAGGGGCTGGTCAACCCGTGGTGCGCTTATAAAACTCAATGTTTAACCTACTAATTCTAGATTTGAAGCTTTCGTGACTGCAAGGATTCATATTCTTAGGTTTTTTCGGTAAAGTCACGTAGGTAAAACATCAAATTAATTTTGATGTTTTACCTACATGACTTTACCGAAAAAACCTAAGAATAGTTTAACCTACTCACGCCGGCTTGTGCCCACCCTCACAGTCGGCCATATTTGCGGAATACACCACGCCGCCGTTGACCCTGGCCATTGACCGAGCAACCCAACGTTCCTACCAGCTCCCTCCGCAGGAATGTGTTTATTATACAGGGTGGCCCAATAGTCAACACACAAAGGGGTATTTTTATACTGTGTGGCTCAAAAGTCAGGCCTCGGCAATGTAAGTTAAAAGATAAAAACGAGCCTACCTTTACCTTACCACAATACAATCACTCTACCCTACCTTTTACCCTGTAGCAGGTAAGGTAAAAAGCAACGAGCCTACCTTTTTACCCTTACCCCATACAAATTACCCGATTACAGGGTAATTACTAGGAAACTACTACACATGAAGCGCTTTACTCATATAGAATACTCTCGATGATTCCAATTTTACACGCTTGTTGTCGTATCCTCAAATCTTGTAACTCAATTTTAACCCACTTCCTAATATGGTATCGACTGCAAACTTGGTATACTTATGTCATACTGATGACAACATATTCTATAATAAAAAATATATTTTTAACAATCTTTTTTATGTTTTGTTTCGGCTTGGGTCTAATTGTCCACGCTAGACTAACGTTGGCTGTAAATCACCACGATCCCTTACGTTATGGCAAGCTTCGGGGCCACTTCCTGGAGTTGTGGAGTTCTGCCATTACGAGCACATTTAATAAAAGCGTGTTTAAAAAAAAATATATTACTTATTGAATGGAGACCACGGACTGCGCCACGGAGCTTTTAGCGGTAAACAAGGCACCGTATTTACCGGGTAATACTTTGCGCTACCTTTACCCTACCGGGTAATTATTCCGAGCTACCTTTACCCTGTACCCTTTACCTTATCCCTTGGCATGTCGACACCTTTACCTTTACCCTTTTACCCGGTAAAAAGGGTAAATTACCTTACCTTGCCGAGGCCTACACATGAGGGTGTTTTTATACTGTGTGGCCCAAAAGTCAGGACACATAGAGGCACTGTTAGACAGGGTGGTCCACAGGGTGCAGGGTGGAGTGTCAATCACAGAGACTTGTGTTTGGGTAAAAGTTTATTTATTGAAGTAACTCAGAGTAAAATAGTTTACTCGTGTGAGGTGGGATACCCCATGGGTGGCCATGTTGGTGAGGTAAAGCCACAACCTGCTGGCAGCCATGTTGGTGAGGTTATGCTGGCGGCCATGTTGGTAAGGTCACACTGATTGCCATGTTGGTAAGGTCAGATGGAGTCCCCCTAGTGGCAGCCACGTGGGTAAGGTCACACCACCACCATAATCTCCCACTGACGGTCATGTTCGTAAGGTAAAACCGGTGGCTAACCTGGTAAGGTTATGGGGTTCATGTTAGTAAGGTCACACTTATTCACTGTTGACCATGTCAGTAAAGTTATGATGACCATGTTGGTAAGGTCACACTGGCGGCAATGCTGGCGAGGTCACACCGGCAGCGGCCATGTTTGTAAAGTGAAGAGGGCGGCCACGTTGGTTTGGTCACACTGGCGGCCACGTTGGTAAGGTCACACCGGCGGCCATGCTGGTAAGGTCACACCGGCAGCCATGCTGGTAAGGTCACACCGGCGGCCACGCTGGTAAGGTCACACTGGCGGCCACGTTGGTAAGGTCACACCGGCGGCCACGTTGGTAAGGTCACACCGGCGGCCACGTTGGTAAGGTCACACCGGCGGCCACGTTGGTAAGGTCACACCGGCGGCCATGCTGGTAAGGTCACACCGGCGGCCACGCTGGTAAGGTCACACCGGCGGCCACGTTGGTAAGGTCACACCGGCGGCCATGCTGGTAAGGTCACACCGGCGGGCATGCTGGTAAGGTCACACCGGCGGCCATGCTGGTAAGGTCACACTGGTGGCGGTCATGTTGGCGAGTTCACGCCGAGTCTCCGCCGCGCAGGCCGTAGAGGAGGTCCGCGCGCGGCACGTTAAGGCGAAGCCTGCGGCGCAGGCCGGTTGTGGAGGAGGAGAGGAGGAGGCGCGCCGAGAGGAGCCGTGAGCAGCTCCCGAGAGCTGCCGACACCGAGCAGGGGGGGTGCCCAGACATCAGCAGCAGCGAGCGGAGGGACACAAACACCTGGGGGTGTGGGGGGGGGACACAGAGACTCTGAGTGAACCTGGACTCTCCCACCCACTCCCCCCCCCCCCTCCACAGAGTGAACTTGGACTCTCCCACCACCCACCTGTCCGAAGGAAGTCTCCTCCAGCCCGGTCCGAGAGAATTCAGACAAAACGGCCTCCAGGAAGAACTTCTCCAGAGAGGAGCACTCTCTACACACAGACAGCACAGAGACATACAGACAGCACAGACACCATGTTAGCACAGACACGGAGACAGAGGAGACAGGGACAGCGCAGACAGAGACACGGAGACAGACATGAAAGATAGAGGATAAAGAGATGCGGCGGGAGAGACACGGAGACAGAGACACGAGGACAGCGGAGAGACACGGGGACAGCACAGACAGAGACACGCTGACAACAAAGACACGGAGAGAGACACAAGGGGAGAGAGACACGAACGTAGAGGGGACACGCAGACAGCGCAGACAGAAACACGGACACAGAGATACGGAGCTAGAGAAGATACGAGGACAGCGAAGACACGGGCAGAGAGACACGGAGATACAGAGACGGGAACAGCAGAGCCACGAAGACATCGGAGACAAAGACACGGAGACAGAGACACGCAGACAGCACAGACAGAGACACTGAGACAGAGACACGGGGAGAGAGACATGGAAATAGAGGAGTCATAGGGACAGAGGCACGGGGACAGACACTGGGAGACAGAAACATGGAGACCAAGAGACAGGGAGAGAGGGACATGGGGAGAAATGGAGACAGAGGAAATACAGGGACAGAGACACAGGGACAGAGACAGAGGAGACATGGGGCAGGGGAGAAGAGGGAAATCATGAGGGATGTGGGAGGGAATGTTGTTGATGTTGTTGATAATGGTGATGGTGGTGCTACTGCTACTACTGAGCAAGCCCCCCCTCCCGACTCACCCCCCCCCCGACTCACCCCCCCCCCCTGCTCACCCCCCCCCGACTCACCCCCCCCCCCAACTCAACCCCCTGCTCACCCCCCCCACCCATTCACCCCCCACTCACCGAGTGGCTGCCACGCAGGGTGATCTGAACGTCTCCTCCAGTGCCGCCCCAACCTGTCTCAGGCCCACGCGAGGTCCCTTCCCATTGGCTGCCACTGCCGCCGCCCTCGCCAGGTCACGTGACCTCCCCGCGGCCCTTTTCCCATTGGCAGAGGAGGAGATGGGGGAGCTGGGAGAGGTGGAGATGGAGGAGGCGGCCTTCACCTCGGCAGCTGCTATTTCGGCCGCCCGGCGACAAACGTCAAGCATCCTGCGGGCATCACCAGACAGAGCAGCCACCTGGGGGGGTGAGTGGGGGGGGTGAGAGGGGAGGGAGGGTGGAGTGGGTGAGTCCATGACGTCACCTCCTCTTGCATTGCATCACTTCCTGTTAGATCACACCACTTCCTGTTTGATTACATCACTTCCTGTTAGATTACATCTCTTTCTAAGCTGTGAAATCAAATCATGTCAATCTATGATTATAAATATTGCTAATTATTATGAAGATTATATTACGAATCATAACTGTATCGTTATTAAACATTATAAGTATTATTGCTAAACACTGTACCGCTAGTGAGAATGTGACATCACTTCCTGTCACAACCTTAACGTGACATCACTTCATCCGTGAATAAATCCTTTGACATCACGTACTGTCTCTCAGCATTCCCTGTGGCATAACTACCTGTCCCCCCCTTCCCCCTCCCCCGGGTTGCACGATCCCTGACCTTGCGTGCCACCAGCTGGAGGGCGTCAGGTTCGAAGCTCGCGACCCCAGAGAGGTGCGACCTCGCGACCTCCTGCAGCTGCTGGAAGGAGTAGGGCTGGAAGCACATCCGGGTCAAACCCTGTGGGGGGTCAGGGATGGCAGGAAGTGAGGTTACCAGGAGGAAGGGGGCGGCACAGAAAGGGTGCGTGGGAGTGTGGATGCGTGAGTGGGTGAGTGACTGGGTGAGTGAGAGACATCAGTTACCCATCAGTGGAGGGATGCAGGCAAGGCCGATGAGTCAGATGCCTTCTATGTCCTACTGTCACAGGAGCTAGCTAAAGTGGCCCCTATGGGATAGTTATCCTGTTGGGTGATTTTAATGCCCGAGTGGGCCGTTACAACTTGTACTTGGTCTGGAGTGATTGGAAGGCAAGGGCCAGATCAGCCCAATAACAATGGTAGGAAGCTGTTAGAGTTGTGTGCAGCCCATGGGCTTGGAATTACCAACACGCTGTTCTGGCATCAGCACATCCCCACAATATCATGGATGCACGCTGGGTCCAAACAAGAACATCTGCTAGACTATATAGTGATGCGGGTCCATGTCCTTGACACCAGAACCTACCGTGGAGCTGATCTGCCCACTGACCATCGGCTTGTCATCTGTAAAAATGCGTCTGCCATTCTTCCACTCCAGTAGTGGGTGTACACCCAGGACCCCATTCAAACACAGTTGCTTGGTCTCAGGTTGCTGATGAAAATTGCAAGCGAGACTTTCATTATAATTTGCAGCTGTGGTTGGCATCGCCCCCCCCCCTCCTCCTGATGCCGAAGGGAAATGAGGAAATGGGCGAGGTTTAGGACTGTGGCTTATTGCAGCTGCAATGGCTGCTTTGGGTACATGGTCCAAACTTCCCCAGAGACCCTGGCTGACAGAGGTGTTGTTCTGGCTGGCTGAGAAAAATCGACAGGCCTACTCTCACCGTCTAAAGCAGCCCATGTTAGGGAATGAGGTGGCTTACCGCAGCCTTCGCTCGGAGCTTTAGAGAGCCTTGCGGTGCTGCAAGAATGGGTGGTCGTCGCGGGTTGCTGAGAAGATGGAGTCTGCCTCAGTAGCCCCCGACCACAAATCACTCTTTAACGCCATCAAAAAAGTAACTTTCAGTGCCACACCGATCACCATCATTAGGTGAAAGAACGGTGATCCGATCTCCAACCCTCAAGAACAGTTTTGCAGATTTTGAGCATTTCTGTGAGTTCTTGGGGGAGGGGAAATCCATTAGCTTGGAAAACATCATGAGGCAAAATGGGAATGAACCTGTTGAGGCAGTGGTGCCTCAAATATTGGAAGTATGCTGAAGTGCCATTTGTTGAGCAAGTACAGAAGGCATTCCAGAGTCTGAGACCAGGAAAAGTGGTTGGCAGAGATGAGCTCCCAAGCAAAATGCTGAGGGAGGGTGGCGTTTTGGCACAGACTGCCCTATATGAGATCATAATAAGTCTGGAGCACAGGATGGGTTCCGCAGGATTGTAAGAATGCCCTGCTGTTCCTTCTCTTTAAGAAGGGGAACCACACAAACTGTAGCAATTACAGGGGCATCTCCCTCCTAAGTGTGCCGGGAAAGGTCCTGGCAAGGATTATTCAACATGGCCTTGCCAGGGACACTGAGGAAAGGCTTGCGGAGCCCGCATGTGGTTTCAGGAAAGGGCGGTCCTGCACAGATGCCATATTTTCTGGCCGTCTGCTATAGCAGAGGTGGAGGGAATTCGAAGACCTACATCTCTGCTTTGTTGAACTGGTCAAGGCCTATTATACCACCAGTAGGCCTGGGCTCTGGGTTGTTCTTCGTGCTTTCGGAGTCCCTGACTCTCTGTTCACTATTATTAAGTACCTTCATTATGGTGGGCAGGCCCGGGTAAAACTACGTGGCTAGGAGTTGGAGCCATTCCCTATTCACCTTGGGGTGCGACAGGCATTTCCTCTGGCTCCCACATTATTGAACATCTACTTCGACCACGTAGATAGATGTTAAAGGGAGGCTGATCGATGCCTGGGTGCGGTCAAGGGATGGCTCCCCATTGCTCAACCATGTTATGTATGCTGATGATCTGGTGATTGTTGCTTACTTAGAGAAGAGTTGGAGGCACCCCACCAAAACTAAGCACCTGCCTGCTTATTTTGTACCATCAAACACTCCACCCCCACAATTCCCAATTGGTGATGGGGCAGTTGTGGATAGAGTGGGGAGTTTTCCAAACCTGGGCAGTGTGTTCATGACCGGCTCTAGTTTGACAGCAGAGGTCTCACTCCAAATCAGTCGAGCGGCATTATCTTTTCATTGGCTGCGTAATGCTGTGTGGAAGCTACCTGGTCTGTTGCTCCACACGAAGCTTCGGGTCTTCTCGGCAAAGATCATGCCCTTATTTCTCTATGCTTGGACCCCCCATAAAGGAACATCTTCGCCGGCTAGAAACATTTCGGCTGGCCTGCATACAATCCGTCCTGGGTTTAAGCAGGCTGGATTGAGCGAGGAGCTTACAAATCCTTGAATGATCTGGACATAGTCCCATCGGTGAGTTCCTGCGGCAGGCAAGGCTGCGTTGGCTGGGTAAAGTAGCCCACATGCCCAGCCACCACATGCCTAAAGAGCTTGTGTTTCACCAAATAGAGGGGGCTAAACGAGTACAGCACGGACTAGAGAAGAGATGGAGTGATGTGGTACAAGAGGACGTGGAGCTGAGTGGACTTGCCAATGACTGGTACCAGCGGTGTCAAGATCGGCCTCTGTGGAGGAGGCTCGTGAAGGACGCTACTGGGCAGTCGGAGGCAGTTGTCCTCCAGCAACAACGGAGGGCAGAAGAGCGACGCTCACAACAACGAGCAGAGAGCAAAGCACTGGGTGGCTAAAACACAGCAAGTTGGCACAGTAGGGGGCGCAGGTGGTGCATCGGCCACTCATCTCAGTCGGTCAACACATGGCACCTGGGTGTGTCTCGTGACCTCCTGCCAGCGGGCGTTCGGCACTTTACGTGGCCTTAACGTGCACATAGCCTGCCACAAGCGGAGTGGTGATGTCACCGTCACTTAGTGTTGAATGGCAGTTGTTGTGCGAGTGAGTGGGTGGGTGAGTGAGTGGGTGGGTGAGTGAATGGGTGAGTGAGTGGGTGGGTGGGTGAGTGAGTGGGTGAGTTGGTGGGTGGGTGAGTGAGTGGGTGGGTGAGTGAGTGGGTGGGTGGGTGGGTGAGTGAGTGGGTGGGTGGGTGAGTGGGTGGGTGAGGAGCTACGGTGCGAGCGACACTTACCAGCCGGCTGCTCACCCTGGTGAGCATCACCCTCTCAGGCAAGTCCATGGTGTTGGCAATGGCGAGGAGAATGAGGCAAGAGGAGCCTCCGGTGGCCCAATCACTGAGTGAGTAGAGCAGGTCCTGCCTCCTTGTCACCAGCAGGTCCAGCTACACACATAGAGAGTCACTGACCTACTCACCCACCCACTTACCACACAGTCACTCACTGACCCACCCACCCACTCACCTCACCCACTGACCTACTCACTCACCAACAGACCTACTCATGCACTCACCAACAAACCCACTCATCCACCCACAATCCCACTCACCCACCCACAAACCCACTCACCTACTCACTCATCCACAAATGCACTCACTCACCCACAAACCCACTCACAAACTCACTCCCCCACCCAACCACTCACCCACCCACCCTTACTTATGGCAGTCCATCGATACGAAGATAACGTTGTTTCCATTGTTTGTTGGTAAAAGTATTTGCTAGTGGCTATCACCACCGGCGATGATGCCACTGCAGATGGCGACGAAGCCCAATCCTAGAGCCAAGTATCCTGCCGCAGCTGGCAGATGTAAGGCCTGGGATGGTTCTGGTACAGTGTGTTGGTGTCTGCGCTGTTGACGTACTATCCGCTGCTGGATACCGTTGTTCTTCAAGGTGTTTGACCCCTGTGTCGCATAAGGAGTGCCATAGTGGGCTGTCGGCTGCAGCTGCCTCAAGGTCGCTCAGCTTGATGTTGCACATCTTTAGTGTCCCCTTCAGCTGATCCTTATTCTTTGGTTCTTTCGGTAAAGTCACGTATACGTGACTTTACCGAAAGAACCAAAGAATAATTCCTGCAGTCACGAAAGCTCCAAAATTAAGATTGAACTACTTCTATGGGGAAGTTTTAAGCTTATCTTTTTTCTCTCTCTCAGGTTTTTTGTTTTCTCTCTCTGCCTGTGTCCTCTCTTTGGAATTTTCACACTTAAATTCTAACTTAGCAATCTTTGAAATACGTAATCAACCGGGCTATGCGTTAATTGTGTGTTGACCGACTCTCTGTATTGCATTACATTACATTTAGATATTTTACTAGGTTATTTAATTTTAGTGTGTCTTTCTCCTAATTTTCAAGCTTACGTACTGTACCACGTCGTTGTCCACTCATTGACATGCTAATTTTTTCTCTGCCCCCTCCCTCTCTCCGCCCCCGCCCCCTCTCTATATTTAAGGCCCCGTCACAGAGACGACCTCTCTCTTTGTGTCGATACGTGTTCTCTCTCTGTGTATCTTTATGATGTCTGTCTGCTTATATGTCTGTCTATAGTTTTCTGGTTAGATTTTTGTTTCGATTTAAAGCTTTCGTGACTGCAGGGATTCATATTCTTGGTTCTTTCGGTAAAGTCACGTAGAAGGGAAGTAATAAAATAATAAAAATAAAACATAATAAAACAATTCTCACGACGTTTCGGCCACAACGCAAGCAGCCGTCCTCAGGTGAAAACCAGGTCCGTCGAGGCGACAGAGTTTTATTTTTATTATTTTATTACTTCCCTTCTACGTGACTTTACCGAAAGAACCAAGAAGATAGATTTTTGTTGCTATTTCTTTTATACCTGATGATGATTGCTTGTGTTGCAATCGAAACGTCGTAGTATGCTATTATTTAATTTATTATTTTATCTTTATACGTGACTTTACTGAAAGAACCAAAGAATAACTGATCCTTATATCTCAGTTTGTGACTGCCCGGCCTTCTGCTGGCTGCCGGGAGTTGTCCACAGAAAAGCTGACGCGGTAGACGACTGCCGGGCATGCAAATGACGTGGCCCACCCAGCGGAGTTGCCTCTTTTCCATGCTGATGGTCTCAGTACGCTGGAGGATATCAACGTGAGGGACAAGATCCTCCCAGGTGAGGCGAAGAATCAGTTTTAAGCATCTGATGTTGAAAGCCTCGAGGCGTCTGATGTGAGAGCGGTAGGTTTGCCGTAGAATAACGTTGACACGCAGACTGCCAGGTAGACGGCAACTTTCGTTGGTGTCTTTAGATTGTTGTTCTCAAAGACTTTAGAGCTCAGTCTACCAAAGGCTACTGAGATAAGGTTGAGGGCATCTAGGACAGAGTGATCAGAGTTTTTTTTATTAAGGAGTGTGTCAAAGTGTTCTGCCCAGCGCGCTCAATGATCTGCCGTTTCTCCTTGAGTAGCGCAGAGACGTCTACTGATCTTACCGGAGTGATGTTTTGTTTCTGAGGGTTGTACAGTGACTTAGCAGCATTGTAAAATTGCATGGGCATTGTTGGTGTCTGCGTAGCTCTGGATTTCTTGAGCTTTCCTGAGCCACCACTCGTTTTCCATGAGCCGAAATCTTCGTTGAGTCTCCGCACCCAGATGGCTTTCCAGTGAGAGAGAGAAGAGAGTAAGACTGGGGGTTGGAGAGGTAAGCAATTTGGGCTTTGCATTTTGCCTCTAGGAGCTCTCCCGTATTTCACGGGAGCTGTCATCAAACCAATCCTGGTGACGTTTTTTGGGTGAAGCCAATTGTCTGGGAGGCAGCTTGGTGTACGGTTGAGCTCAGCTTTTACCATTCGCTGTCCATGTCGAGGGCGCCGTCAAGAGGTTGGCCATCCTGGAGTGCAGCAGCAAGCCCGTCAGCCAGTCTGCTGTGGAAGTTTAACACGGAGGCTTTCATGACCAATATCATCCATAACAGGTTTTTTTGGGGTTAGATGGCGTAAATATGCGGTTAAACCCGCCACCACCCAACACAGCCAATTAGTAAGGGTTGTCACATAAACAGAACATGCCAATTCGTCACTAGTACAGCACACCGGTGTGTTGGAGAGCAAAGCCACAGCATTTACAATCTGAGAACGACATTTCGCCAGTAATTACAACTAGCTTCATCAGGCGACAGCCAGGTTTGGAAGTTTGGAGATTCAAGGGCTCTGTGGTGAAGTCATTTTCGAGGCTGCTGCTTTTTCTGTGGTGGCCGGATCTTTATGTTGAACTTTCATCCGATAAACCTTTGGTCGGTCCCGCATTCGGATCCGCGCATGGCCTGGGTTATGGAGAAATGGTTTTGGTCTTGTTGGCGAGTGATGATGTCGTCCAACAGATGCCAGCGTTTGGACCGGGGGAGCATCTAAGATGTTTTGGGCTTGTTTTCACTTGAAAGAATGCATTTGTTGTGACCAATTTGTGTTTGTAGCACAGCAAGAGGAATCTTGGGCCATTGTTGTTTAATTTTCCGATGCCGTGATTTACAATAACTCCATGCCAGAGCCGGGCATCGGTGCCCACTCTGGCGTTAAACTCAACCATGAGAACCAGTCTGTCGGCGCGAGGGATTCTGGATAGTGCAGCGTCAAGGGAATCATAGAAGGCATCTTTGGTGTTGTCATCTGCATCCAGGGTGGGAGCGTAGGCACTTATGAGTGGCAAAATGGCATTTCCCTAGCGGGATGTGCCAGGTCATAATGCCTTTCCCTGATCCTGCAAGACTCAGGGATGTTGCGGAGTAGCTTGCTTCTGACAGCAAAGCCACTTCCATGAAGTCCATGGGCATCTCTCAGAAGACCCTTCCAGAAGAAGGTGTAACCTTCGCTGACCTCCGTCAGGTAGTCTTCGCCAGGGGAACCGGGCCGCACTTAGTGCTTTAATATCAACATTGTGCCTCTTGAGTTTGTGTGCAACAAGGGCAGTCCGTCTGCGAGGTCCTTCTGTTCCATCCCGAACGTCAAGGAGAGTGCGTACATTCCATAACTTCAGTAGGTTTTGATTTTCGACCGTACAAGGGGGGATTGCCTTGACGGCTGCGGTTAGCTGCCCAGGTGCGCGAGGAACGGGAAATGGTCAGGTCACCTTTTATAGACCCTTCCCCATCGAGGGGTGAGCAGTGCGGACCCTTAAGAGAGCTGCTGGGTCACACGAGCAGTTGCCGAAGGAGGATACCGTTCCTCATCCCATTATCACAACGACCATCAAACACGCGCCCCGAAGCTGTGTAGGACTCCAGCTAGAAGCTCCCCACAGTCAAATCCATTACCTGCCCCCGTCACTCTGTCCTGTTGCCAGAGGGCTTCTATGGCAGACGCAATAGCCGTGCGCTGTGAATGGATTTAGTGTGGCGAATGGGGGGCGCAATGTCTCCCTCTACAAGTGTGACCGCACTCACCAGGTTCCGGTGGCAAGAGAGAAAACTGGAGACAACCTTCAGGTGAGCAGGGCTGCAGGGGGCTGCCAGGATCTTCCATTTTTAGAGTCTGCCGAATGTGTGTCCCCCGCAAACGTAATTTTTGGATCGCACTTAGTCTTGGACCTCGACCTTACCACCATGGGTGACCCTACCAGAAGCAATCGATCTCGGGTTCATTGAAACACACGAACCTTTCCACCACTTGGACCGACTCAACCACCCACCCATGCACTCACTCACCTGCCCACCCACTCACCCACCCACTCACTCATCCACTCACTGAACCACTCGCCCACTTCCCCACTCCCCCCGCACTCATACACATCCACTCACCCAGTAACGCACTCACAGGGTTTGTCAACTTCCTCCGATATCCGAGGATTCCCAACCACCACTCACTCACCTCTCCTGGTCACCAACAGGTCCAGCTACACACAAAGAAGGTCACTCAGCTACCCACTCACTCACCTACCCACTCACCTACTTACCTGCCCATTCACCTAATCGCTCACCCACCCACTCACCTAACCTACTCGCTCACCCATTCACCCAGTTAACCACTTACACACCCACCTACTTACTCACTCACATAACCACTCACGGACCCACTCAGCCATCCACTCATCCACTCAATCAGTCACCCACTCACCCAGACATTGGAGGAAGTAGCCAAACTCTGCGAGTGGTTGGGTAAAGAGGTGGGTTCCTGAGTGAGTGGGTGGGTAGGTGGGAGAGTGGGTGGTGGATGAGTGAGTGGGTGATTAGGCGATTAGGTGATGGGTGGCTGAGTGAATGAGTGGGTAGCTGAGTGAGTAAATGGGTCGTGAGTGGGTGGTTGAGGTGAGTCGGTGGGTGAGTAGGTGAATGGGTGGCTAAGTGAGTGGGTGGGTAGCTGAGTGGGTGTGCGAGTGGGTGTGTGAGTGGGTGTGTGGGGGGTTAGGTGTGTGGGGGGTTAGGTGTGTGGGGGTTTAGGCGAGTGAGTGGGTGAGCAAGTGGGTGGGTGAGTGGGTGAGCGGGCGAGTGAGTGAGTGGGTGTGGGTGGGTGAGCGAGTGAGTGGGTGGGCGAGTGAGCGGGTGGGCGGGCGAGCGAGTGAGCGAGTGGGTGGGTGGGTGAGCGAGCGAGCGAGCGAGCGAGCGGGTGGGTGAGTGGGTGGGTGAGCGAGTGAGTGAGTGAGTGGGTGGGTGAGTGAGTGGGTGGGTTTGTGGGTGAGCGAGCGAGTGGGTGAGTGGGTGGGTGAGTGGGTGAGTGAGTGGGTGAGTGAGTGGGTGGGTGAGTGGGTGAGTGAGTGAGTGGATGGGTGAGCGGTATTCCTCACCTCGTCTAGGATGAGCAGCACGGATCTCTTGCTGCGCCGAGCGAAGAGCTCATTGAGAATCTGAGCGGCACGCGACGGAACGGCTCGCTCACCGCTCATCGCCTGAGTCACGGGGGGGGGGGTGAGTGGGGGGGGTGAGTGAGGGGGGTGAGTGAGGGGGGTGAGTGAGTGGGGGGAGTGACGGGGGAGTGAGTGAGTGTGTGGGTGAGTGGATGGGTGAGTAGATGGGTGAGTGAGAAAGAGGGGGTGAGATTGGTGATTGGGTGAGTGGGGGTTTACGATTGAATGTGTGGGTAAGTGGGGAGTGAGTGAGTGGGTGAGTGGGTGAGTGGGGGGGTGTGGGAGTAAGTAGAAGGTGAGTGGGAGGGTGAGTGAGTGGGGTGGTGAGTGAGTGGGGGGGGTGAGTGAGTGGGGGGGGAGGGGTGAGTGGGTGGGGGGTGACTGGAGAGGTGAGTGGATGGGTGAGTGAGCAGGGTGGCGAGTGACTGGATGAGTGATGGAGACAGTGGAGACACTGAGACAAATGGAGACACAGAGAAACGGAGAAAGGAGGAACCACCTTCAGCAGCTTGCTGTAGACTTGTCTCGGTTCCGTGAGCTCCATCGCGTTGATGGGAACAACGGTGAGAGCCTCGGGCCTCGTCTTGTCCACGAGGTAGGAAAGCACGGCTTGGATGGTGGCAGTCTTTCCTGTCCCTGGGACGCCAGAGATAAACATACACCTGGGGAGACACGGGGGGGGGGGGGGGGGGAGACACGGGGGAGACACGGGGTCACACGGGGTGACACGGGGGAGACACGGGGGAGACACGGGGGAGACACGGGGTGACACGGGGGAGACACAGTGAGTTGACGATGATAGTGATGATGGTGGTGTTGTTATTAATGTTGATGGTAGTGGTGCTCATGGTAGTGATGGCAGTGATGTTGTAAATAGTGATGGTGATAGTAGTTACGGTGAAGGTGTTAATGGTTGTGTAGTGGGTCCAAGAAGACTGGAGACGGATCGCTTGAGGCAACAATTGTATTTAATACAACTGCTTGATACACGGGTCCCTAACACAGAGGGGTAGTGGCCCCTCTACCCGATACCTGGGGAGGTCCAGCCTCGGGCCAGCGTGTCCCATCACTGGGGCTAGTACTCTCAACCCTCAGGGCCAGCGTGTCCCATCACTGGGGCTAGTACTCTCAACCCTCAGGGCCAGCGTGTCCTACCACTGGGGCTAGTACTCTCAACCCTCAGGGCCAGCGTGTCCCATCACTGGGGCTAGTACTCTCAACCCTCAGGGCCAGCGTGTCCTACCACTGGGGCTAGTACTCTCAACCCTCAGGGCCAGCGTGTCCTACCACTGGGGCTAGTACTCTCAACCCTCAGGGCCAGCGTGTCCCATCACTGGGGCTAGTACTCTCAACCCTCAGGGCCAGCGTGTCCCATCAACTGGGGCCAGTACTCTCAACCCTCAGGGCCAGCGTGTCCCATCACTGGGGCTAGTACTCTCAACCCTCAGGGCCAGCGTGTCCCATCACTGGGGCTAGTACTCTCAACCCTCCGGCTAGGGGGCCCCAGGAGAGGCTATCCGACCCGACCCAGCCAAGGTCCGACCACTGGCCCACTACAGCCCTGGCCCTTAGAAGGACGGCGGGTCTGGGGGTTCTCCCAGGGTCCTAGCCTAGTTGGTCTTCTTTCTTCAGCTTGACGAAGACTGCCGGACTCGTCCAGAGGTCCGGCTTTTATACTCGTGCCAGGGTCTCTCTGCCCCTGGCCACGCCCTCCTTCTGGAACTCTCCAGGGGGCTCTGGAATATCCCCCCAACATCCCAACTCATCCTGAGTTACCACCCCCTATGGACACATGTCTGCTACTACAGGTGAGTATATACAATGTCTAACAATGACGCTACATACAGTGCTTATCAATGACGCTACATTAGTGATGAAGGTGATGGTGGTGGTGATTATGATGTTGATGGTGGTTGTAATTGTGATGTTGATTGTGATATTGATGACGATGGTAGCTCACCCTCCACTCCGAGTGTCCAGTTTACTCTCCACAAAATCCAAAATCTCCTGGAACTCCGACTCCCTGCAAGGGAGACACGCCAGAGACACGGACGGCCTGGGGGAGACACAGGGTGAAACACGGGGGCGACAGGGAGACACAGAGTGAGACACAGGGAGACACGGAGAGACAGGGGAGACACAAGGAGACACAGAGAGACGGGGGAGACACGGGGAGACACGGAGAGACGGGGAAGACACGGAGAGACGGGGGAGACACGGAGAGCCAGGGAGAGACGGAGAGACACGGGGGAGACACGTGGGTGACACTGACCCGATTTCTGTCTTCAGCACTTGTGTCCTTGAAGGCAGTTTAGGTGTTAGCGTGGTCTTGGTTTTTTGTGCCTGTACAGAATAATGAATACTCATTAATACCAATTCGGGCACCCACGTTTATACACATCATCATTCATATTAATTGGGATGTTTGTTAATATCCATGAGAATATTCAGTAGAATGTCCACTGCTATTCATTAGACAAGCTATTGTTATAACGCGTAAGATTATGCACCAATGTTCATTAGAATACTAATTAATAAGTCATGTTAATACGGAATTATATTCCTTAGAGCAACACCCCTTAATCATCATTATGGTAATACCGTTGAGCATTTATTAGGTGAATGCTCATTAATATCACGTGGGGTAATAATTTATATCAATGTAGTTAACACAGTCATGTTCATTCCATTAATATGCATTATAGACCTAATGTTCACCAGGTATAATATTAATATTCATAAGGTCAACGTTTATTAATGTTCATGAGGTTAATGTAAATGTTTTAGTATAAGGCCTATAAACATTAATATAACATTAGGTCGATAAACATTGACATTAATTAGGCCTATAAATATTAACATTCATGAGGTGTATGAACATTAACATTCATGAGGTCTATAAACTTTAATATTCGTTAGGTCTATAAACATTCATATTCATTCGGTGTATAACTATTAATACGAGATTAAAAAACACATTAATATATATGAGAGAAGAATCTCTTAAGTGATTTGGTCGTTAAGCGAGGATAGCAAAGACACGTTAAAAACTTACTGAATAATACTGAAACAATATATATTACGACGTAAAGATGGCAGCAACATTATGAACACACGATGAATATTTATTCTACCTATAAAAGCCTGTCGTTCAAAAGAGAATAATCGTTAGGTGAACACATTGGGCTCCCTACTATACACTACTCTACGGATGCCCGTTGTTAAATGGTTAGTCGTTAAGAGGGGTGCTCGTTAAGAGGAGTTCTATTCTACACTACTCTACACTACACTACTGTTTGTTTCATCCTAGTGAGGGTCGTGGCGGCAGCATGTTGAGTAGGGCGGTCCAGACCTCCCTTTCCCTGGCGACAGATTCTAGCTCTTCCTGGGGAATTCCCAGGCGTTCCCAGGCCAGCGAAAACCCCAGGGCCTGCCCTGGGGTTTTCGCCCAGTGGGACGAGCCTGGTAAAGTTCCAGGGATACTCTACTGGGGCGCATCCTTACCAGGTGCCCGAACCACCTCAACTGGCTCCTTTCAATCCGGAGGAGAAGCGGCTCGACTCTGAGGCTCTCCCAGATTACCGACCTCCTCACCCGATCTTGGAGAGTGAGCCCGGCAAACCCTGCGGAGAAACCTCATTCCGGCCCCTAGTACCCGCGATCTCAACCTTTCTGTCATTACCCAAAGCTCCTGATCATAAGTGAGGGTGGGAATGTAGATTGACCTGTAAACTGAGATCTTTGTTCAGGAACTCAGCTCCCACTTCACTACCACAGAACGGTACAGCAGCCCCAACACTGCGGACGCCGCACCGATCTCCCGCTTCCACTCACCATCACTCACTAAAGAGACCCCAAGGTACTTTAACTCCTCCACTAAGGGCAGCTGCTCCACCCTCATCTGGAGAGAACAATCCACCGTCTCCAGGAAGTGATCCGTGACCTCAGCACTCTGGCATAAGCTTTACCTGGGACGCTGAGAAGTGTGATTCCTCTGTAGTTGGAGCACTACCCCAGTTTTTTTAGTCCAGAGGTACTGTACCTACCTTCCATGCAACATTGAAGAGGTGTATTAACCACGACACTCCTACACTGTCCAGTGCTTTCAACAACTCTGGGCGAATCTCGTTCACCCCAGCAGCTTTGTTGCTATGAAGGCCCTTAACCGCCGCAATGACTTCAGCAACCGTGATGGATCTGATCCCCCCAGCTGTTTCCAGGGCTGCCTCCTGAGAGGAGGGTGTCTCCACCGGGTTGAGGAGCTCCTCAAAGTGTTCCTTCCACCTTTCAACTATCTATTTAGTCGAGGTCAATCTTACACCACGCTTACTGAAAACATCCTGAGCCACGCCTCGTCGACCCCTCCTAAAGTATCGGATGGTTTTCCAGAACATCTTTGACGCTGCCCGGTAGCCCCTCTCCATGGCCTCTCCAAAGTCCTCCCATGCCCAAGCTTTCGCTTTAGTGACTGCTACCGCTGCCATCCTCTTGGCAAGCCGGTACCTCTCAACCTTCGTTCGAGAGACCTTTAAACGAGCATATATCAGAAAGCCTCCTTCTTTGATTCGACAGCTTCCTCACCACCGGTGTCCTAGGGTTGCCGCCATTACAGGCACCAACTGCCTTCAGGCTACAGATTTTCATACCTGCATCCACAATCGAGGTCCTGAACATCGTCCACTCAAGACTCAATGTCAACGACCTCCCATGGAGTGCAGGAAACGTTTTCCCAGAGGTGGAAGTTGAAATCTTTCTGCACTGGGTCATTTCGCCAAATGTTCCCAGAAAATCCGCACTATCCGTTTTGGCCTTCCATGTCTATCTGGTCGGTGCCTCGAGCGTCGGATCCAACTTACCACCAAGTGGTGATCAGTTGAGAGCTCTGCCCCTCTCTTTACCTGAGTGTCCAGAACACACGTCCTTGATACATCTATAAAGTCAATCATTGACCTTTGGCCCAAGGCGCTGTGGTACCAAATATACTTGTGTTTAGACACGGTGTTTGTTATTGACATTCCGTGACCAACGCAGAATTCCAGTAACATCCCACCATTTGGGTCCAGATCAGGGGGGGCATTCCTCCCAATCACGCCTCTCCATGTATCGCCATCATTTCCCATGTGAGCATTGAAGTCGCCGAGTAGAACTATGGAGTCGGTAGGCGGCACTCCGTTAAGCACTGCACCCACCGTCTCCAAGAAGACCGAATACTCTTAACTGCTGTTTGGTGCAAAAGCACAGAAAACAGTCAGAATTTTCCTTTCAGAGACCTTAAGTCTCATTGAGGCGACCCTCTCATCCACAAGGACACACTCCAACTGAACAGCACCCAGCCGGGGGCTTGTGAATATCCCCACACCCACCCGGGGCCTCTCGCCAGGGGTTACTCCAGAATAGGAGACCACCCCCAATCGAGAAGTTTGCTACCAGTGCTAATGCTGTGTGTGGAGGTGAGACCAACCATATATACTCTTTGGGTTTCGGTAAAGTCACGTAGGTATGAAATAAAATAAGTTACGAAGTTTCGGGCGCAACACAAGCGTCCGTCATCAGGTGGGAAAGCATGGTCTGCTGCCTCAGCAGCATGGTCTGCTGCCTCAGCAGCATCAGACCATGCTTTTATACCTACGTGACTTTACCAAAAGATCCAAAGAGTATGGATTCCTGCAGTCACGAAAACTTCAAATCAAGATCGACTATATATAGACGGTACCTTTCCACCTCCTCTGCCAACTTTGGCTCCTTCCCCTCCAGTGATGTGACATTCCACGTCCGATTAACTAGTGTCCGTCGCCAAGGTCCAGTCTGTCTGAGACCATCCCTCTTCCTTGCCATACTGGCATCGCTCCCGGCCCTCACCCTTCGTCCTGCGGATGGTGGGCCCACATGATGGCGCCACGTAGCCATTTCCGGCTGGGCCTGACCAGGTTATGTGGGTAGCCCAGCCACCAGGTGCTAGCCGGCGAATACCATCCCCAAGGCCTGGCTCCAGGTGGGTGTCCCGTCATACCTTGTCCGGGCAAGGTTCTCTGATTTTTGTATTAACCATTTACTACTCTACACTACTATACATCGCACTACTATATACTATTTTACACTACGCGATTATACACACTATACACTACACAACTATACATTACATAACTATTCACTACACACGAATATGCACTGCACTACTATACACTACACGTTGGGCTCTATGGAGGCCCGTGGTTAGTCGTTAACAGGGCTGCTGGGTAAGAGGAGTTCGACTCTACCTTGGTTTGAGGCTTGGGTAAAACTTTCTTGGTACGGCGAACTGGGACAGGAGATGATGATGATGCCGATGATGATGGTGATGATGGTGATGACAGCGATGATGATGATGGTGGGGATATTGGTGATGACGATGATGACGATGGTGATGATGGTGGTAGTGATGATGACTGTGGTGGTGATGTCGATGATGATGGTGGTGGTGATGATGATGGTGGTGGTGGTGATGGTGGTGGTGGTGAAGATGATCGTGGTAGTGATGGTTGAAATTTAGTTGTTTTGACTCGTAACCTAGATATGGAGATGGTGACATCATCAGCATCACCATGAGCAACATCATTATCACAATCAGCAACATCACCACCACCACCATCATGACCATCACCATGTGCAACATCATAATATCAGTGGGTGAGTGGAAATATGGGTGAGTGGGTGGGTTATTGGTGAGTGGGTGCAGGAGTGATTGAGTGGGTGGGTAACTGAGTGGGTGGGTAGCTGAGTTGGTAGGTTGGTAAGTTAGTGAGTAGGTGAGTAGGTAGTTTGAGTGGGTGAGTGGGTTGGTGAGTGACTGGGTGAGTGGGTGGGTGAGTCGGTGGGTAGGTTAGTGGGTAGCTGAGTAGCAGAGTGGACGATTAGGTGAGTAGGTGGGTCAGTGAGTGGGTAGCTGAGTAGCGCAGTGAGGTAAGTGAGTAGCTGAGTGGGAGGTTCGTGGGAAGGTAGGTGTGTGGGTGATTGAGTAACTGATTGAGTGGGTGAGTGGGCGAGTGGGCGAGTGGGTGTGTGGGTGAGTAGCTGACTGGGCGAGTGGGTAGGTGTGTGGGTGAGTAGCTGAGTGAGTGGGTAGGTAGGTGAGTGGGTGAGTGGATGAGTAGCTGAGTGGATGAGTGAGTGGTTGAGTGAGTGGGTGAGTGAGTGGGTGAGTGAGTAGCTGAGTGAGTGGGTGAGTGACGTACGGGGAGCTGAGTGGGGTGAGCCTCAGGATGTCCAATTGCTGCTGCTGCTGCTTGCCGCGACTCTTTCTTGAGGTTGGGGTGAGCAGTACGGAGCACTGCTGATGGGTTCCAACATCATCACCATCATCTACATCACGACCATTATAAAAAGAGGTTTTTACCCTTTTATTATGGCAACAAAACTGAAACCTTTTTACAAGGAATCATGTTCACATTAACCACAATACTTGCAATCAGAATGTAAACAAAAAACACACTGATAATGTATGTTGTTTGCATTCTGACTGCAGGTATTGTGGTTAATGTAAACATGATTCCTCGTAAAAAAGGTTCCAGTTTTATTGCCAGAAAAAAGGGTAAAAACGTATTATTATATTTTTCTACTGGCAAAGGAGGCCTCATGATGTAAATCACGACCATCATTTACATAAAAATCACGACCATCATTTACATCAACATCATGACCATCATTTACATCAAAATCACAACCATCATCTACATCAGGGGTCCTCAAACTACGGCCCGCGGGCCACATGCGGCCCGCCGAGGACATTTATCCGGCCCGCCGGGTGTTTTTGCCGCCGCTGCCTGTCTGTTACTTTTTTTCTTCATGAGAAGGACGGTCATTGGTGGAAGAGGGAGAGGGGGCGGCCGCCGCCGATTAGCTGGCCGGCTGAAGCGCTGGATCATGGGAATTGTAGTCCGGCCGCAATCAAGCTTCAGGCGGTGGGAGGAACCGAACAGCGCAGCCGGACTACTACTCCACCTCCCAGGACTCAGAGGAAGCCAGGGCATGTGGGAGGGGCCGGCTGCGCTGTGAACAAAACTGCAGGTGTAATTAACTTTTTAATGGCACCCGCACCAGTGTGAGCCTGGGGTAAAAGCGGAGTTCCCCCAATCAGACTGCATTGATGGGCAGTGCAGTCTGTATGTCTCTGTGTGGGCAAAGTTATTGCTGGTATATTGTTATTGTAGCGCTGTATATATATTGGTATTTTACTAATTGCAATTTTGACTCCCTAGGAAACAATGATGTCAAGAAAGAGAAAAATTGACTCTGAGTGTAGGATATTCAAAGAACAGTGGACTTATGATTACTTTTTCATGCAGTACAAGGAAAGAGCTGTGTGTCTGATATGCCAGAATATAGTGTCTGTGTTCAAAGAATACAATTTACGTCGACACTATGAAACTCAACATAAAGATAAATATGATTGTTTGATCGGAGAAGTGAGAAAAGATAAAATATTAAAACTGAAAAGTACATTAACAACTCAGCAAAATACTTTTGTGAAGCAGAAGCAGCTAAATATTTCATCACTGCGAGCAAGTTTTCAAGTTGCCAAGCTAATAGCGTGCACTGGCAGACCATTCGTGGAGGGAGAATTTGTTAAAGAATGCCTTCTTTCTGTTGCCAAAGAGATGTGTCCAGAGAAGGCCGATTTATTTAGTACAGTGAGTCTTTCAGGACCTACAATTACACGGAGAATTGAAGAAATGGGAGACAATTTGCATCAGCATTTGCAAAAATCCACAAAAAAACTTTACTATTTTTCCTTGGCACTCGACAAAAGCAATGATGTTCGTGATTCTGCACAACTTCTAATTTTTATTCGTGGGACGAATGACTATTTCGAAGTCACAGAAGAGCTTGCTGCACTGCAAAGCATCAAAGGGACAACTACAGGAAAGGATATCTATGAAAAGGTTTGCCAAACTGTGAATGGTTTGGAGCTGAACTGGGCTAAACTAGCCAGTGTGACAACTGATGGTGCTCCTAGCATGGTGGGGTCTAAGAAAGGAGTAATTGCCCGCATTAACCAAGAGATGGACAAACATAACCATTTTCATCCAATAGCCATACACTGCCTCATCCACCGACAAGCGCTGTGTAGTAAATCACTGAAGTGGGACTCTGTTATGAAAATTGTGGTATCTTGTGCTAACTTCATTAGAGCTACGTAGAAGGGAAGTAATAAAATAATAAAAATAAAACATAATAAAAATAATTCTCACGACGTTTCGGCCACAACGCAAGCAGCCGTCCTCAGGTGAAAACCAGGTCTGTCGACGCGACAGCGTCTGAACGAAACAGCACACGAGCTTGGAGCATATATATAAGCTGGGCGCCTTGACAAAGGAATTTGCATATCAAGAGGAATTTAGCATATTTATGGGAAATGCAGGAATGTGATTAGTACTACATATGCCCGTGCATTATGCAGGACTAGCAGCATCAAAGAGAGGGGATATGAGAAATGCAGGAATGTGATTAGTACTACATATGCCCGTGCATTATGCAGGACTAGCAGCATCAAAGGGAGGGGATATGGGAAATGAAGGTATGTGAATAGTACTAATTATGCCCGTGCATTATGCAGGATTAGCAGCATCAAAGGGAGGGGTAGCATTAATAAAGGGAAGGAGTATTAATGCTACCCCTCCCTTTGATGCTGCTAATCCTGCATAATGCACGGGCATATGTAGTACTAATTACATTCCTGCATTTCCCATAAATATGCTAAATTCCTCTTGATATGCAAATTATTTTGTCAAGGCGCCCTTTCCCCCCCCCCTTTCCAACCCAGCTTATATATATGCTCCAAGCTCGTGTGCTGTTTCATTCAGACGCTGTCGTCTCGACAGACCTGGTTTTCACCTGAGGACGGCTGCTTGCGTTGTGGCCGAAACGTCGTGAGAATTATTTTATTATGTTTTATTTTTATTATTTTATTACTTCCCTTCTATGTGACTTTACCGAAAGAACCAAGAAGATGAATCCCTGCAGTCACGAAAGCTTTAAATCGAAATTCATTAGAGCTCATGCACTAAACCACATACAATGTCAGGAATTTCTGTCTGAGCTAAATGATGACTATGAAGATGTTCTGTACCACACAGAAGTCCGTTGGCTGAGTCGAGGGACAGTTTTGAAACGTTTCTATGACTTCCACAGATTACAGCTTTTCTGCTTTCAAAAAACAAAGAAGTACCAGAGCTCAATGATGCAGAATGGAAATGGCACCTTGCCTTTCTGACAGATGTAAGAGCTACTCAACAGTTTCAATGTGCAACTTCAAGGAAAGGGGAAGCTCATCTGAGATATGCAATCACATGTCAAAGCATTTGAAGTAAAATTAGGCCTCCTCATCAAACAAGTGAAGGAGGACAACTTCTGCCATCTCCCCACAACTCAAAATCTGTTAGCGGAAAAATCATTGGTTGCATTCCCAAACAAAACATGTGTGGATTCACTGGAAAAATTGCAAAAGGAGTTCCAATTTAGATTTAAAGAGCTTCATCTCCATGAACAGGACATACAGCTTTTCCGTAACCCATTTTCTATTGACATTGAAAATGTGGATACAATTTACCAAATGGAACTGGCTGAACTGCAGAATTGTGACTCTCTGAAAGACGCATTCAAGTCAAGCAGCCTTCATAATTTCTATGCATCTCTCTCCTCTGAGACATATCCTCATCTCAGGAACCATGCACTCAAAATGGCAACCATCTTTGGCAGCACTTATGTCTGTGAACAGACTTTTTCCAGAATGAAACATTTGAAATCTCCAACCAGATCTAGACTAACGGATGCACACTTGCATCACTTGTTACGACAAGCAGTGACAAATATGGAACCGGACATTGACCATCTCATTAGCCAAAAGCAGGCCCATAGTTCCCATTGAAATACTGGCAAGTTTGTTGTTTTAACTTTACTTGTTCTTCATTTTAAATATTGTATTTGTTCCCGTTTTGTTTTTTTACTTCAAAATAAGATATATGCAGTGTGCATAGGAATTTGTTCATAGTTTTTTTTAACTATAGTCCGGCCCTCCAACAGTCTGAGGGACAGTGAACTGGCCCCCTGTTTAAAAAGTTTGAGGACCCCTGATCTACATCATGAACATCAACAACCGCCATTCGCCACTAAGTGGAAGTGAAATCACCACGACGCTTGTGCCAGGCCATGTGCACCTTGAGGCCACGTAAAGTGTCGAACGCCCGATGGCAGGTCATGGGGCAGACCCAGGTGCTACAGGTCGACTGACTGAGATGACTGGCTGATGCACCACCTGTGCCCCTTACTGTGCCAACTTGCTGTGCTTTAGCCACCCTGCACTCCGCTCGTTGTTGTGAGCGTTGCTCCTCTGCCCTCTGTTGTTGTTGGAGGGTGACTGCCTCCAACTGCCCAGTAGCGTCCTTCACGAGCCTCTTTCACTGAGGCCAATCTTGACACCGCTGGTACCAGTCATCTGCAAGTCCACTCAGCTCCACGTCCTCCTGTACCACATCACTACATCTCTTCTCTAGCCCGTGCCGCGCCCGTTTAGCCCCCTCTATCCGGCTGAACAAAAGATATTTAGGCATGCGTTGGCTGGGCATAGGCTACATGACCCAGCCAACACAGCATTGCCTGCCGGAGGAACTCACCAATGGGACTTTATTTAGATCTTTCAAGGATTTGTGAGCTGCTCACAGATTTCAGCCTGGTTAAACCCAGCTAATGATAAGACACTGCCGGTCGACTGATTCGGAGTGAGACGTCTAATGTAGAACCGGAGCTCGTCATGAGCATCCTGCCCAGGTATGTAAAACTCTCCACTCTCTCAACAACTGCCCCATCACTATTGGGGAGTTGAAGGGTAGAGTGTTTGATGGCACAAAATACCCAGGCAGGTGCTTAGTTTTGGTGGAGCCGATGGTAAGACCCCACCTCTTAATGGCACACTCCAGGTTCAGCAGTACAGCCTCCAACTCCTCCTCTGAGAGAGCAGCAATCACCAGATTATCAGCATATATAACATGGTTGACCAATAGGGAGCCGTACCTTGACCACACCCAGATGTCGACCAGCCTCCCATTGGATCTCTACCAGATGGAGATCCCTCCGGTAGAGCCATAGAAGGCCTCTCGAACTATGTGGTCTAAAAATGTTCAATAATGTGGGAGCTAGAGGACATCCCTGTCGCACCCAAAGGTGAACAGGGAATGGCTACGACTCCCAGCAATGTAGCTTACCTGGGCCTGCCCACCACCCCCATCGCCACCACCAACTCCATCACCACCACCCCCCCTATCATCAACAACCCCATCACTACCACCAATCCCATCACCAACACCAATCACCACCACCCCCCCATCACCACCACCAACCCCATCACCACCACCAACCCCATCACCACCACCAACCCCATCATCACCACCCACTCCATCACCACCACCAACCCCGATCACCACCACCAGCCCCGATCACCACCACCCATCACCTGTTTCGTCCGACAGGATTATTGAGAGGATGTCCGTGATGGAGACTCGCGGAACCAAAGTGCATTCTGTGAAAGAGAGAACAGCCGATGGTGATGGTAGTGATGTTGATGGTTATGAGCTATGTAGCAGCATAGCGCTGGCTGCTGGTGGGTTTACAGCAGCCCTGACTTCAGCAGGCCACGTGGTACACCAGAGGGGATATCTGGGGGAAAGGTTACAGAAGGAGCACGTGGGGGAAGCCCTGGAACCCACTGGTAGGTTCAAGAGAGGGGGCGTGGCCGGGACGCAGCGAGGCCACGCTGGGAGCATAAAAGGGGGCCCTGAGCGGGAGCTCGGGGCTGTCGTTTGGAGTGGGACCCCCGTCGTGCTGTTGAAGATTGCCGCCATCGTCGCTGTCGTCTCGTCGCTGTCGTCTCGTCGCTGTCGTCTCGTCGCTGTGCTATACAGTTGTTGGCCATCTCGGTTCAGCGCCATCAGTGTTAGACGGCTAACGCTGTGTATAGGCTAGCAACTCACGTAAAGTTGTGTATAAATGAGCAACAGAAGAGTGTGTAGGGTGTGTATTGTGCCGAGGGTGCTGGGTTAAATAAAAGAAGTGCCTCCAAGTCTTAGCGTCTCTGATAAAGTCACTAAAGTTATAATAGTTGTAGTGATGGAGGTAGTGATGTTGATGGGAGTGGTAGTAATAGTAGTAGTGGTGGTGATGGTGGTAGTGACAGTAGTGATGTTGGTGGGAGAGGTAGTGATAGTTGCAGTGGTGGTGATGTTGATGGTAGTGATGTCAATGGAAGTGATAGTTGTAGTGATGGTAGTGCTGGTGGTGATGGTCATGATGGTAATGATGCTGATGTTAGTGATGGTGATGTTAGTGATGGTAATGATGCTGATGGTAGAGATGGTAGTCATGTTAATGGTTGTGATGTTGGTGGTAGAGATGGTAGTGATGTTGATCGCAGTGATGGTAGTGATAGTTGATGGCAGCGATGGTAGTCATATTGATGGTAATGATGTGAATGGTAGTAATCTTGATGGAAGTGATGTTGATCTCCTGTACTGGTACCTGGTGATTTAATCACGGGCGTCACATGACCCAGCCGCCTCCCATGATCCTCTGCTACGCGACGCTTCCTGCTCCCTTTGGAATCGAGAATACTGGATCCGGAATCTGGAATTTTTGATCCAGAACTCAGAATCTTGGATCCGGAATCCGGAATCGTGGATCCGGAATTCCTGGTATTGTAGCGGGGCATCTGGGAAGAGAAAAGGAGAGAGGTTCACCTCACCCCCCACCCACCCACCCATCCACCCACCCACCCACCCACTACCCACCAACCATCTCACCACTCACTCACTCACCCACCACCAACTCACCACCCACTCATCCACCCACCCACTCATCCACCCACCCACCCACCCACTCACCCACCCACCCACGCACCACTCATCACCCACCACTCAGCCACTCGCCACCCACCCACGCACTCACCATCCACCAACACACCCACCGACTCACCCGCCCACTCACTCACCACCCACTAACTCACCACCCACTCATCATCCACCCACTCACTCACCACTCACTCACCACTGACCCACCCACTCACCGCCCACGCACTAACCATCCAACTCACCACACACCCACTCACCACCAACTCCCCCACTCACCACCAACTCACTGCTCACCCACTCACCACCAACTCACCCACTCACCACCAACTCACTATTCACCCACTCAACACTCACCCACCCACCACTCACTCACCACCCACCCATCCACCCACTCTCCTACCCACCCACTCTCCTACCCACCCACTCACTCACTCACCACCCCACCACCCACCCCCTCACCATCCACCCACCCACCCACTCACCACCCACAACCCACTCACCACCCACAACCCACTCACCACCCACTCACCACTCACCCATCCACTCACCACTCACCACCCACACACGCACTCCCCATCCACCCACCCATCCACTCAATCACCGCTCATCCATCCACTCCCCACCCACGCACTCCCCATCCACCCACTTACCACTCACCCACTCACTACTCACCCACTACTCACCCACTCACTACTCACCCACTCACTCACCCACTCACTCACCCACCCACTCACCACCCACCAATTCACCCACCCACTCAAACACCGCTCCTCCATGCACTCACCACTCATCCACCCACTCGCTCACCCCCTCACCACTCACCACTCACTCACTCACTCACCACTCACTCAACACTCACCCACCCACTCATCCACCCACTCACTCACCCCCTCACCACTCACCACCCACTCACTCACCCTCTCACCACTCACCACCCACTCACCCCCTCACCACTCACCACCCACTCACCACCCACTCACTCACCACTCACTCACCCACCCACCCCCTCACCACTCACTCACCACTCATTCACCACCCACTCACCCACCCCCTCACCACCCACTCACCCACCCCCTCACCACCCACTCACCCACCCCCTCACCAACCACTCACCCACCGCCTCACCACTCACCACCCACTCACCACCCACCACCCCCTCACCACTCACTCACCACCCACCACCCCCTCACCACCCCCTCACCCACCCCCTCACCACCCACTCACCCACCCACTCACCCCACTCACCCACCCCCTCACCACCCACTCACCCACCCCCTCACCAACCACTCACCCACCCCCTCACCACCCACTCACCCACCCCCTCACCACCACTCACCCACCCCCTCACCACCCACTCACCCACCCCCTCACCACCCACTCACCCACCCCCTCACCACCCACTCACCCACCCCCTCACCACCACTCACCCACCCCCTCACCACCCACTCACCCTCACCACCCACTCACCCACCCCTCACCACCCACTCACCCACCCCCTCACCACCCACTCACCCACCCCTCACCACCACTCACCCACCCCCTCACCACCCACTCACCCACCCCCTCACCACCCACTCACCCACCCCCTCACCACCCACTCACCCACCCCCTCACCACCCACTCACCCACCCCTCACCAACCACTCACCCACCGCCTCACCACTCACCACCCACTCACCACCCACCACCCCCTCACCACTCACTCACCACCCACCACCCCCTCACCACTCACTCACTCACCATTCACTCACCACTCACCCACCCACTCACCCACCCACTCACTCACCACTCACTCACCACCCACTCACCAGCCACCACCCCCTCACCACTCACTCACCACCCACCACCCCCCTCACCACTCACTCACTACTCACTCACCACTCACTCACCACTCACCCACCCACTCACCCACCCACTCACCACTCACTCACCACTCACTCACCACACACTCACCAGCCACCACCCCCTCACCACTCACTCACCACCCACCACCCCCTCACCACTCACTCACCACTCACTCACCACTCACTCACCACTCACTCACCACTCACTCACCACTCACTCACCACTCACTCACCACTCACTCACCCACCCACTCACCTACCCACTCACTCACCACTCACTCACCACTCACTCACCACTCACCTTTCTCTGTCTCTCTTCTCGCCAGCTCTGATATTCCCGCGTCTTTCTCCTGACTTCCGCTTCCGCCCGAAACCGGATGCACACCAGGGAGACTTTAAATAATATATTTTATTTTTATATTTTAAATGTCTCAGGATTGAAAGTAAAACTAGGAATAAAGCTGTCTGCTTAACAGCAACATGGGATAACAAGTATATATTTTAAAAGCTAATATATATATATAAATAAATTGCGTCACTTCCGTTCAACGCTTCGGTCGCTCCCGTGACGTCATTTCGTCGAGGGACCAGGGTGGATGACGTCACCAACTAAGACGTCAAGACAGTCACAAGATGGACGTGGTTGATGGTGCGCCGAGCCTGGCACGGGAGCAGGAAGACCCATGGCACCTGCTGGTCTATCCCGTGACCTGTATTGGTTTAGCCATGTTTGTTTGTTGTGGTACATAGTTAGACTGATGGCCTTAATCTAAGTTGTCTTGTGGTTGTTGTTGGTTTTTTGACTTGCATCCCACTGGGATTTTTGCACACAGCGTTGGTGTACGGTGATTTTTCTGCAATATTTTGCTGTCTTTTCTTGGATTTTCTGTTTGCACTCAGTCACATATTAACTTTAAGATGTTTTTTCGTTCATTATTTTTGTTGCGGTTGCACCCGATTCAAGAGCCGAATGGCTCACAGGGCGAAACCTAATAAATGAACTTGAATAACTTGAAGTTCAATAACCTTCTCTCCTCGTGCACCTAGCCTGGCACAGCGCCAGAATTTTAAGGAATAGATGCGTCAAAAAAATACGGCATGCAAAAAATGACTACTTTTCTTTCACTCTCCTTGAATCACATGGAAATGCCAGGATTTTCTGGTAAACAATCAAATGTATCGAAAAGGCATCCAAAACAGATAATCTGCCTGCTGAGCTTAACCGAAATGGGGAATATTTTTCAGATCCTCAAAAAATTGTTGACAATTTTAACCTTCATTTTTCTGAAGCTGGTACCCTATTTGATAATGTATTGGGAGTCACCCCTGCTCATGCAAATTCCTACACTCCTATCCAAACATTAAGCGAATTTAGTTTTCAGCCAATCCACGAAAGTAATGTTCTGAAACAACTGTGCTACCTCAAAGGGTCCTCCTCTACCGGAGCAGATAGTATTCCCGTCTTTGCTCTACTAACTGTTCGTCACCTAATATACAAACCTATAGCCCATATTTTCATCCTATCAAAGAAGCATCAGTTCCCCGAGAATGGAAACATTCCTATGTTCGCCCACTTCACAAAAGGGGCCCTAAAGATGATCCAAATAACTACCGACCTATCTCAATTTTGTCCCCATTGATGCATTTTTAAAAAAAATTATTTAACTACCAAATTAGCAGTTTCCTGTCCGCCAACAATCTATTACATCTTCTTGGTTCTTTCGGTAAATTCACGTAGAAGGGAAGTAATAAAATAATAAAAATAAAACATAATAAAATAATTCTCACGACGTTTCGGCCACAACGCAGGCAGCCGTCCTCAGGTGAAGAATGGAACACCACCTGAGGACGGCTGCTTGTGTTGTGGCCGAAACGTCGTGAGAATTATTTTATTATGTTTTATTATTTTATTACTTCCCTTTTACGTGACTTTACCGAAAGAACCAAGAAGATGAATCCCTGCAGTCACGAAAGCTTTAAATCGAAATTTGAAGATCACATTGATTATATTGTGAAAAAGACAAATTTAAATTGGTTTTCTATATCGACACAAGCACTGCTTCCCCCCTATGTTCCGTTTGGAATTGATAAAAGCTACCATACTGCCTCTACTTGATTACTGTGACATTGTGTATAAATCAGCTCCAAGTACTGTACTGAAGAAGCTTTACTCAATGTATCACTCGGCCTTAAGATTTGCATTGAACTGCCCATATAGGACTCACCAGTGTGATCTCTACATTGGGTCAAACTTAACATCTCTGAATATTCGACGGCTTGTGCACCAGATCTTATTTATTCATGATGTACTTACAAAAAATCCGCAGATTACCTGCTATATCTCCTCTCTGTTTCAAAGAATAAATTTGACCTAAGGTCTACACTCATTTACCAGCTTCATATTCCCTATTGCCGTACATATACTGGAGGGAGGGCCTTTGCTATTGATGCCCCCAGGGTCTGGAATGCTGTTGCCAATAAATTGAAACTTGAGTCACTACCTATGAGATCTTCACTCAAAACTGCTCTAGAGGAGTTGAACACCCCTAGCTGCCAGTGCTATTCAGTGGCCTAAAATAAAATGTTTCGCTCCGGATGATCGCTACAGAGTATGACCTGTGTTTTGATTTAGTGTGCTGATCTTAAAGGTGCATTGAAACATTATAATACTCCAATTGATGCTCCTGCTGTTGTGGAGTGACTCATGCAGCCAGCTATGGCTGCAGGATTTTGGTAGTACATGTTGTTTATGCCATTTATTGTGAAAATTCCATCACAGTTCCTATGATCACTGTTTCATTGCTTTCATGGCTTTATTTTGGTGATTTTGAAAAGTGTATTGGTTTAGCCATGTTTGTTTGTTGTAGTACATAGTTAGACTGATGGCCTTAATCTAAGTTGTCTTGTGGTTGTTGTTGTTTGACTTGCATTCCACTGGGATTTTTGCACACAGCGTTGGTGTACGGTGTTTTTTTCTGCAATATTTTGCTGTATTTTCTTGTATTTTCTGTTTGCACTCAGTCACATATTCACTTTAAGATGTTTTTGTTTTTTGTTTGTTGCGGTTGCACCAGATTCAAGAGCCGAATGGCTCACAGGGCTATACCTAAACAGGACCCTGCGGGGTGGGCTGGTAGGAATGAACAATTGAATGGCTATAATAAAATAAAATGGCAAAAAATGGCCACCAATAAGTGGATGCCCCGTGGCCCCACCCTCCACCCGCGTAACCCTGCCCCGGCCACCCGTGGCCCCGCCCCATCTCGGTGTCCCCGCCCCCAACTCGTTGCCCCGCCCCTTACCACCGTAACCCCGCCCCAACCCCGCGTAGCCCCGCCCTCCACCTCGTGCCCACGCCCTCTGCCGCCATTGCCCCGCCCAGCCCCGCGTAGCCCCGCCCCCTGCCGCTGTAGCCCCGCCCAATACACCCCTAGCGGGGGAGAGATTCCCAGGCCTGGCTCTAGGCTGGAGAGCCGCCGACGAGGGGGGGGGGGGGGGGTAGGGAGTTGTTTTTAATGTAAAAGCTTTAAATTTAAATGTTTCTATTAAAAAACATCAGGGAATGTAACATTGTTAAACATTAACTCCCTTTCACACACGCGGGGGAACGATACGAAGGAAGAGTTTGAGGCCTAGGTCTAGGCTTTAGGCCTAGCTGTAGGCTTTAGGCCACCGTGAGTTAATTGTTCATTTAAATGTTTTAATTATTTATGTAAAAGCTTTAAATGTAAATGTTTCTATTTAAAAACATCAGGGAATGTAACATTGTTAAACATTAACTCCCTTTCACACACGCGGGGGCACGATACGAAGGGAGAGTTTGAGGCCTATGTCTAGGCTTTAGGCCTAGCTGTAGGCTTTAGGCCGCCGTGAGTTAATTTTTAATTTAACTGTTTTTATTATTTATGTAAAAGCTTTAAATTTAAATGTTTCTATTTAAAAGCATCAGGGAATGTAACATTGTTAAACATTAACTCCCTTTCACACACGCGGGGGAACGATACGAAGGGAGAGTTTGAGGCGTTGTTCGAGGCTTTAGGCCTAGCTGTAGGCTTTAGGCCGCTGTGAGTTAAATTTTAATTTACAAGTTTTAATTAAAAGCTATCTCAGGGAATTATAAGGGAATGTTACACTTGTTTAGCTAGGAAAGCGTCACAGAGTCTAAAGGTTTTTGTAGGGTCATGCCAAGTGTTTGCAGTAGGGGGCGATGTTGCTACACGGACGGACGGACGATATAATCTATTGTAGGCTGGTCCACTTCGTTCCTACCAGTATAAATGAACTTGAACTTGCTGCTGGGGTTGGATGTGAGGGGCGGGGCTCTGGAGGGTTGTGGCTCTGGAGAAGTGAGGGGCGTGGCTATGGGGTGTTGATGGGCGAGGCTACAAGGAGTGTGCAGGGCGGGGCTCTGGGGAGTGAGGGGCGGAGCTATGGGGTTGGGATCTTTGTCCGTTGAGTGATTGGGTGAGTGGGTGTGTGAGTGAGTGGGTGAGTGTGTGTGAGTGAGTAGGTGAGTGTCGGTGAGCCGAGTGGGTGTATGGGTGAGTGACTGTGTGAGTGATTTGGTGAGTGAGTGGGTGAGTGTGTGGGTGAGTGTGTGTGTGGGTGAGCGAGTGGGTGAGTGACTGTGTGAGTGGGTGAATGACTGAGTGGGTGAGTGATTGGGTGAGTGAGTAGGTGTGTGGGTGAGTGTGTCGTTGAGAGTGTGGGTGTGTGGTGAGTGACCGAGTGATTTGGTGAGTGGGTGTGTGGGTGGGTGATTGAGTGTGTGGGTGAGCGAGTGGGTAAGTATATGGGCGAGTGGGTGATTGATTGGGTGAGTGTGTGGGTGGGCGATTGGGTGAGTGGGTGATTGTGTCGGTGACAGTGGCTGTGTGGTGAGTGACTGTGTGAGTGATTTGGAGAGTGGGTGTGTGGGTGATTGTGTGGGTGAGCGAGTGGGTGAGTGGGTGGTGACTGTGTGAGTGATTTGGTGAGTGGGTGTGTGGGTGAGCGAGTGGGTAAGTGTGTGTGTGATTGAGTGTGTGGGTAAGCGAGTGGGTGGGTGACTGAGTGGGTGAGAGATTTGGTGAGTGATTAGGTGAGTGATTGGGTGTGTGGGTGAGTGTGTGGGTGATTGGGTGTGTGTGTGATGAGCGAGTGGGTGAGTGACTGTGTGATTGGGTGAGTTTGTCGGTGAGCGAGTGGGTGAGTGTGTGGTGAGTGTGTGGTGAGTGACTGCGTGAGTGGTTGAGTAATTTGGTAAGTGGGTGAGTGAGTGGGTGCGTGGTTGGGTGATTTAGTGTGTGGGTGAGCGAGTGGGTGAGTGTGTAGGTGGTTGTGTGAGTGGGTGAGCGAGTGGATGAGCGTGTGGATGAGCGAGTGGGTGAGCGAGTGGGTGAGTGTTTGGGTGATTGTGTGAGTGGGTGAGCGAGTGGGTGAGCGCGTGAGTGAGTGGGTGAGTGTGTGGGTGAGTGGATGAGCGAGTGGGTGAGCGTGTGAGTGAGTGGGTGGGTGAATGAGTGAGTGGGTGGGTGAATGAGTGAGTGGGTGAGCGAGTGGGTGTGTGCGTGCGTGACCGTGAGTGGGTGAGTGTGTGGGTGATTGAGTTTGTGGGTGAGCGAGTGGGTGAGCGAGTGGGTGAGCGAGTGGGTGAGCGTGTGAGCGAGTGGGTGAGCGAGTGGGTGAGCGCGTGAGTGGGTGGGTGAGTGCGTGAGTGAGTGAGTGGATGAGCGAATGTGGGTGAGCGCGTGAGTGAGTGGGTGGGTGAATGAGTGAGTGGGTGAGCGAGTGGGTGTGTGCGTGCGTGACCGTGAGTGGGTGAGTGAGTAAACAGCACATACAGCCCTTTATTGTAGAACAGTAGTTTATGATGCACAATTTAACATCTGTTCTTCGCCATTGTAAATCTTCGCCTTGTCCAGATGGTGCTCGCGTTGGATTACAGGGACTTGCGAACGAGTCCCAGAGGTCTGTGTCCAATTTAGGAGATGTTAACTCCCTCGCCTGGTCGTGGGTTCGATCCCGACTCTGACGACGCCTGCTGCTGCTGTAGATTTGGAGTCTGCGTCTCTCTCTCGCCCTGGCCACTGCGTGGATTATTTTGCGGGTAATCCGGTTTTACCCCTCCACGTTTAGACTCAACAACACCACGCGTTTAAGAGAGAGTAGTACAGTGTGTAGTCGTGTAGTGTGTAGTAATGTATAGTAGTGTAGTGTTTTAACGACGCATCTAATATTCACGTGATCTAACACGCACAGAAACCTCTATTGTGAATGTTTGTCGCGAAAGCCACCTGCTACGACTACCACCACTACGCATTATAGAGTCGTGGTGTTGGCATTGCGGTGTTGCCGTGCGATCTCATTTAGGTCCCATTTGGGGCTGACTCCAAAAGCAGAGATGAAGAACCTTTGGGTGCTGCCGATATCTCTGGGAACTTGAGGGCAAGCTGAGAGAGCGTAAATAAGCAATGACGCGTACACATTATAGGCACATCAAATATTTAAATGGTCATTCACCCCGTTGGCCAGTCCGTGCCTGGCTGTTTATCTGCATCCACATCAGCAGCTGTGCGGAATGAAGATGAGGGAGAGGCAGACCGCGCTCCTGTCTGGCACTTATCACTTATTATGACACTCACTCTGTTGTTGTTGTCGTGTCGTTGTTGTATCCTCAAATCTTGTAACTCAATTTTACCCACTTCCCAGTGTGGTATAGACTGCAAACTTGGTATACATATGTCATACTGATGACAATACTATATTCTATCATAAAAAAATAAAAAGCATATATTTTAAAACATTTTTATATGTTATGCTTCGGCTTGGGTCTAATTGTCCACGGTCAACTCACGTTGGCTGTAATTGACCACAGTCCCTTTCGTTATGGCAAGCTTCGGGGTCACTTCCTGGAGTCGTGGATTTCTTCCATTACTAGTATACGGTACATTTAATTAAAGCGTGTTTAAAAAAAAGTGTTTTTTTAATATTACTTGTTTTTGCTCAAAATGCATTTCGACGATGACAATGCAGTAATCAGTTCTGTGGGAACTGACGATGGCTTTCTTTGTTTTGCGTGTGACGCACAAAGCGGGAGTGCTTTTCTATTGACCTTTTTTTTCCCCCACGCAATTACCGGTTAGACAATAAAAATCTCCCCCGCCAAAGACAAAGATGCCCCGTGTAGCCTTAACAAACCGCTGGGGCAAGTACTGTTCAACATGCGTAGATACATACAACACACATACTACATATAACGTACACACGTCCAATGATCTCTCTGCATACCCTCCCCGACTGTTCTACAGAAGAGTCGTCGCCTGAAACGACAGACTGCGCCCCTTTGTCAATCTTCACTGCGGAAAGTGAAGGGCACACCCCCATCCCCAACACCGCGTTGGTAATAGGGGGTGGTTTGACCATATGTCACCAGCAGGGAGACATAGGATAGGTAAGCAAGTCACAATGAAGACGTCACGTTACAGAGCGCTAACATCACCGCCATTGTACATCCAGCTGTTCAGCATTGAGTTTAAGACCACAAAGATAAATCTCCCGCATCGCCTTAATAGACTGGAGGGAAAAGTGCTGTTAACGAGTCGTACCTATGAAGGCCGGCACGGCACACGAGGGGGTGGGTGGCCAGCACCACGCCCGGACGCATTTGTCTCCCCCGTGGCGATGTTTATTACACACCGCACCATATACTCATTTGAGACTGAGTCGACTTAGGGGAGGCCCATGACTGGTTCAGATGTGAGCGGGAATTGAATTTGGGTCACCAGGTTCATAGCGCAGGGTGCTAACGACTCCACTACCGCACACACGTCACCATATCCCAGCACAGTGCGTAATGAAACACTCCTCTGCTGAAGCACTTAGAGTCGATCGAATTTTCCACCGTTTAGGAGGCCAACCCTCTCTCTGGAGGCTCTCTCGGACTGGCGAGCTCAGCCTGTAGTCGTGGCCACCTCGTTACGCATGAGCCTGTTTATCACGCAGTCACAGGGCTTTCGCGACCCTTATTGCTCGTAACAAAAGGCTGTTTTGTTGTCGGTGGCGTAAATGTAATGGTGTCGTTAACCCACCAGCGCCACCACCACCCGACACAGCCAATTAGTGAGGTTTGTAACGTGAAACTGAATGTGCCAATTTAGTTACGAGTCCAATTCAGTCCAGAATCATTGTCACGATCAAGATTGCACCGCTTTCAAAGTGATGCATGGGTTATTCGCCCCCTGCCTATCTTTCCCCGATGATTTGTTCTGTTTGTAACCAACCAGCGTCGATGCAGGTCGTTAACTCGATTCGTAAACGTCAACTAGTGGGGTTTCTCCGGTGGTGCTGCTGCTGAAGTCACTAATTTGCACCTTTTGTTCCACGTGACAAACCTCACTTATTGGCTGTGTCGAGTGATGGTGGTGGGTTCGTGTACGCGATTTGACCCAATCACCTTGGATTATGAACACGCACGTCCGTTCGCTACACTCGTTTCATTGTCTGCTTTCATTTCAGGTTCAAGGTTGAAGCAATCACTTCTCTATACACAGATTCGGAATTGTATCCCCGCCCCTTCCTGTTTAGGACGCCGTGGTGGCTGGGAGATGTTACCTCCCTTGCCTGGTATGCAGGAGGTCGTGGGTTCGATCCCGAACCTGATAATGCCTGCAGTATATATGGAGTCTGCGTCTCTCATCATCATCGCGGTGGATAGATGTTACCTCCCTCGCCTGGTATACAGAAGACATGGGTTCGATCCCGACCCTGACGACGCCTGCTGCTGTATATTTGGAGTCTGCGCGCCTCGCTCTCCCCGCGGTGGTCACTGCGTGCATTTGTCTCCAGGTCCTCTCGTTTTCCCTGCACATTTAGAATCAACATCACGCATTCGCAGGAATTTGCCTGTCGCTATTAATTTCTACGTGATGATGATGAGCCACTTCATTGAGCTATCATTCGTGATGGCCAGGTTGCTTCTGAAAGAGAGCTGCATTGCAGCTCTGTAGGCCTTACACTTGTAAAATATATATACTGTATATCCATGCATTCAAGAGTATTTGGCTGCCGCGATGAATTCCCACACGATGATGGTGATGATAAGCCTCTTGGTTGATAGCCAGGGTCGCTCCTGAGAGAGCTGCACGCTGGCTCAGAGAGGCCTTACACCTGGTGACATAAACAAATAGTTTCAGTTGAGTGAATCCCCAACTCCGAAAAGACTCCGAGGCAATTTTTTATTTTGTCAATCGTCAAGCAACACAAGCACGGACAACGAATAGGCCAGGCACGTTGTGGAAATCGTCGCATTGTGAAATGTACCATAGCTATAAGAAAAGATCGATATTGCACTGAGCCTATAGCAGATAAGGGTTATCTCCTATTCGACCTTCAGTGATGGTTAGTGCAAATATCTTATCGTGGGACTAAATCACCCCCAGGTGGTGTGCCCGGTTCTCACTGTAGCCGATTGGTTTACGCAGACACGGCCCAAACACATCACAACACAAACATGAAAACGTATATTAAAATAACTTAATAGCATATCATGGGAAATTGCGAGAGGTTTAATAACATAGCTTATCTTTGGTATGGTGTCAAAGCATTAGGAGTTCAGCGAAATGGCTCCCTTTTGAATTGCCAACGCATTGCTTAGCAAGTGGTTGAAATCCACGTTACAGCAACAGCGGGTTGCCGCGGTGGCTAGGAGGTGTTGTCTCCCTCGCCTGGTATGCAGGAGGTCGTGCATTCGATCCAGACTCTAATGCCTGTTGTATATTTGGAGTCTGCGTCTCTCTCTCTCTCTGTGGTGTCCACTGCGTGTTTTTTTTCCGTGTCCTCCGGGTTTTTCCCCTCCACATTTAGAATCAACGTCACCACGCGTCTAGTAAATTTGGCTGCTGCGGAAATTGCCACGCGACGATGACGATAATCAGTCACTTCGTTGAACTGCTCTAATTTGTGATGGCCAGGTTCACTTCTGAAAAAGAGCTAAATAGCTCAGTGGAGCATGAGCTGGTTAAATAAAAAATAGTTTAGTATTTGTTTAAATTTCGATTTAAAGCTTTCGTGACTGCAGGGATTCATCTTCTTGGTTCTTTCGGTAAAGTCAAGTAGAAGGGAAGTAATAAAATAATAAAAATAAAACATAATAAAACAATTCTCACGACGTTTCGGCCACAACGCAAGCAGCCGTCCTCAGGTGAAAACCAGGTCCGTCGAGGCGACAGAGTCTGAATGAAACAGCACACGAGCTTGGAGCATATATATAAGCTGGGCGCATTGACAAAGGAATTTGCATATCCAAAGGAATTTAGCATATTTATGGGAAATGCAGGAATGTGATTAGTACTGCATATGCATGTGCATTATGCAGGATTAACAGCATCAAAGGAAGCTGCAGTTACTGCTGCTGCTGCAATTGCTGCTACTGCAGTTGCTGCTGCTGCAGTTGCTGCTGCTGCTGCAGTTTCTGCTGCTGCTGCAGTTGCTGCTGCTGCTGCAGTTGCTGCTGCTGCAGTTGCTGCTGCTGCACTTGCTGCTGCTGCTGCAGTTGCTGCCTTATCCATTTTAATATAACACTATGTATTATTCTACCCACCCTAATGTGTATCACACTGCTATATGTTTACTATACAATTACGACACCATACATTACTCTGCACACTGCACCATGCCAGTGAGTGGAACGCGGTCTGAAAGTCACCGTAAACGTGAACACAATCAGTTAAGATCCGAAATGGTTTATTACGTCCTTCCAATGATTGCTAAGCCAGAATCCATCTTCTCGGTTGAAATTGTCTCTGTGTTTGTATATGTGGATCGCCTCATGAACGAATCTCTCATGATAGCCAGATGGCTTGCAGAGAACCTCTGTCTTGGAGAAGTCAATGTCATGTGAGCCCACTGAATTGTAACAGTGATCTGCCACGGCTGAGGTGTTTGTCCTACCGTGTTTCAGGTCTGCCTTATGTTCACGGATGCGGTCCGAGACATGTCGTTTGGTTTCTCCAATGTAACTGCTACCACAGAGGCAACTTAGTTTGTAGACGCCAGGGTACTGTATGTCTGGAACCACATCTTTTACAGAAAAAAAAAGTATTTGTTTAGTTAGCTCAACCAAGTGGCTTATCATCGCGTGAATACGTAGAGACATTGATTCTAAACTTGGAGGGGAAAAACCGGAGGACCCAGAGACAAATCCACGCAGTGACCACCACGGGGAGAGAGGAGAGACACAAACGCGTTAGTCTACAGCAGGCATTAGGGTCTGAATCGAACCCACGACCACCTGCACACCAGGCGAGGGAATTCACATCTCGTTCATGCGGCTGATGGGATGTGTCAGATATGGCTGTATTGATTATGTGGAGAGATGCCTAGCCCGCCGCCTCTGTTGGATTAAATAGAATTTTACTTTACGTTGTGATATAATCAGACGTGCATTTGCTTATTTATTGGTTATCCAGACCGTCATTGCTACCGCTACTCTTCTTGTGATCCAACAGCGTTTGTATGTATGTTGTATGTATGTTGTACATATGTGTGTGTTGTATTATGTATGTTGTATGTTATGTGTATGCATGTGAACTTCTTTGGCACCGTACATAACCATCCGTGTTCATCGTAGGTGCGGGAAGAGGACAACAAACTAAACAACAACAAGCAGCAGTTCTAAAGAAATGGGTTTGTCAATCAAGACGTTGAATTTAAAAGTGCCGGATAGCCACCTGCGGCTTCCTACTATGGGAAGGGGAGACGGCGTTCCGGGCAGCCGCAGAAGCGCATCCGAAAGCGCCGCACGATGATGGCCACCAGAGTTCGCGTGATGGCCGTTTATGCTCCTTAACGAGGCCAGCGGTGAGGTGTTGTTGTGGCGAGCACTTTGTGTGTGCAATGAGCACCACTTTTATCATGGATTCGTCCTGCGTAGTCAGATAATTTTTGGCATCTGGTCATCATCGTCGTCATCGCCACCATTTTCATGGTCCGGTAGCTTTTGCTTCAAAGCAGTGCATTATGAGATCCTCCTGTACGATTATGCGTCGAACTAAGCCCCTCCCCTCCATAATTAAAAGGCACCGCAGTGGCGAGATGTTAACTCTGTCTCTCTTTCATCATCACGACGGTGGCTAGGAGATGTTATCTAGCTCGCCTGGTATACAGGAGGTCGTGGGATCGATCCTGACCCTGACGATGGCTGCTGCCGCTGTATATTTGGAGTCTGCGTCTCTCTGTCTCTCTTTCATCATCACGACGGTGGCGAGGAGATGTTAACTAGCTCGCCTGGTATACAGGAGGTCGTGGGTTCGATCCTGACCCTGACTATTGAAGCTGCTGTATAATTGTAGTCTGCATCTCTCTGTCATTTGTGATGGTCAGGGGGTCGCTTGTGAACAAGAGCGACTACACAGCAGCTCGGCGGGGCCGTACAAGTGGTACAATAAACAAAATAGTTTGATAATAATAATAATAGGGTTGTTCCCCTTTTTTCCTGACAACAAAACTGAAAACTTTTTTTACGATGAATCATGTCTGCATTAACCAAAAAACACACTCTGATAATATGATGCATTGTCCTTGAAACTGATTGGTCCACACCAGAGACGGCTTTCTTTTATTCCTTGTAAAAAGGTTTCAGTTTTGTTGCCAGAAAAAAGGGGAAAAAACTATTATTATATTTTGGTCCTGGCAAAGGAGGCCTCGTGATGTAGATGCTTACCCTGAGCGATCATTACTCTGATAGTGCGTTGTCTTTTAACTGTACGCCTTTTGGCGATTTTTAAACCATCATCGTCTATATCCATTGCTTTAGAACTGCTGCTGCTTGTTGGTGTTGTTATAGTTTGTTTTCCTTCCCCGCACCTCCAATCAGCGTGGTTGGCTACGTTCGGTGTCAAAGTTTAAAATACACACAACATACACACTACTATACACTACATTCTATGTATAACACATACGTACAACATGATTACACTTTACACACACGATACATACACCACACATATACTCGTGCTGTCGTGTCAAAAGCAGGGTAACGGAGATCACCGAAGCCTTCTTTGTTACCCCGGCTGCCTGTGAATGAGAATGGGTTGAAAGCGTTTTTGTTGATGTCAACATATTGTTTGTTTAAATAAATACACTTTTTTTATTTTGGCAGGTGGCAGGCCACCGAGCTGTCTTTCCGCGTTCACCTCTGTGGGTCTCTACATTTCTCTGTGGGTCTGTGGATCTCTATGGGTCTTTGTTTCTGTGCGTATATGGTTTTCTGCATTTCTGTGTGTCTCTGTGGGTCTCTACGGGCCTTAATGGGTCTCTATGCGTCTCTATGCATCTCTATGGGTCTCTGTGTTTCTGTGGGTCTCTATGGGTTTCTGTGTCTCTGTGGGTCTCTATGGATCTTTATTGGTCTCTGTGTATCTCTATGTATCTTTATGTAGCTCTATAGGTCGCTATGCATCTGTATGTCTCTGTGTATCTCTATATGTCTCGGTGTATTTCTATAGATCTCTACATATCTATTACTCTCTGTGTCTATATGCATCTCTATGAGTCTCTATGTATCTCCACGCGTGACATAATTTGGCTGCTGCTAAGCCATCATATGTGATCTCGTCTCGTGTAGATTCACAAAGCAGCACCGGCACTTTATCACAATTATACATCATCATAAACTTGTACTTTGGATGGTATTGGTTAAAATGTAGTGGTAGTGACTGGGGTTGGGGTAGTGACAGGGGCTGGGGGTGGTGACAGGGTCTGGAGTAGGGATAATGACATTGACACAGAGTGACACTCAGACACACAACAAGAACAACCGCCATTCGTCATTAAGTGGCGGTGACGTCACCACGGTGCTTGTGCCAGGCTATGTGCACGTTAAGGCCATGTGAAGTGTCGAATACCTGCTGGCAGGAGGTCACGGGACAGACCCAGGTGCCATGAGTTGCTTTACTGAGATGACTGGCCGATGCACCACCTGTGCTCCCGACTGTGCATACTTGCTGTGTTTTAGCCACCCGGCGCACTGCTCGTTGTTGTGAGCATCGCTCCCCGGCCCTCCATTGCTGTTGGAGGGCAACTGCCTCCAACTGCCCAGTAGCGTCCTTCACGAGCCTCCTCCACAGAGGCCGCTCATGACACGGCTGGTACCAGTCATCGGCAAGTCCACTCAGCTCCACATCCTCTTGTGCCACATCAAACCCATTTCTTCTCTAGCCCGTGCCACGCCCATTTAGCCCCCTCTATCCGGCTGAACAAAATATATTTAGGCATACGTGCAACATGACCCAGCCAACACAGCCTTGCCTACCGGAGCTCACCGATCTTTAAAGGATTTGTGAGCTCCTCACACAATCCAGCTTGGTTAAATCCAGGATGGATCGTAGTTCGGCTAGCCTAAATGTTTCTAACCAGCAAAGATGTTTCAATAGGGGGGGTCCACGTTTCGCAAGCGTAGAAAAGAGAGGGCAAGAGAAGACCCGAAGCTTCGTTCCAGAGCGACAGACCAGGTAGCTTCCACACAGTGGTATGCAGTCAATGAAAAGATAATGCCGCTCGACTGATTTGAGGTGAGACCTCTGCTTTCAAACCGAAGCTGGTCATGAGCACACTTCCCAGGTATTGAAAACTCTCCAATCTCTCCATAATTTCCCCATCACCAATGAGGCACTGAGGGTGTGGAGTGTTTGATGGCACAACATACCCAGGCAGGTGTTTAGTTTTAGTGGGGCTGATGGTAAGGCCCCACCTTTTCATGGCACACTCAAGGTTCATCAGCAGCACCTCCAACTGCTCCTCTGAGCAGCAATCGCCAAATCATCAGCATACATAATGTTGATGATCCTCCCATTGTATCTATACAGTATGGAAATTCCTCCTGTACAGCCATCGAAGGCTTCACGAATTATGTGGTCAAAACATATGTTACATAATGTGGGAGCCAGAGGACATCCCTGTCGCACCCCAATGTGAACAGGCAATGGTTCCGACTCCCAGCCACGTCGTTTTATCCGGGCCTGCCCACCATCATGAATGTCCTTAATGATTGTGAGCACAGTTATGGCCCCGGAAGCACGAAGAACAACCCAGAGCCCAGGCCTACTGATGGTTTCATAGGCCTTGACCAGGTCAATAAAGTAGAGATGTAGGTCCTGTTGGAATTTCCTACACCTCTGCTGTAGTAGACGGACAGAAAACTTGGCATCTGTGCAAGGCCACCCTTTCCTGAAACTACCTTGGGGTTTAGCAAGCCTCTCCTTCACCCCCATTTTGCCTCGCGATGTTATCCAGGCTGAGGGATTTCCCCTCCCCCAAGACCTCAGAAATGCTCAGAAAATCTGCACACATTTCTTTCCCCTAATGATGGTGATAGGTGTGGTACTGAAAGTTACTTTTTTAATGGAGTTAAACAGTGATTTGTGATCGCGGACTGCTGAGACAGACTCCATCTCCTGAGCAACCCGCGACCGCCCATCCTTGCAGCGTCTCATGGCTCTCCAAACCTACGAGCGAATGCTGCAGGAAACCTCTTTCTCCGACACGGGATGCTGTAGACAGTGTTAGTTAGGCCTGTCGCTTTGCTCAGCCAGCCGGAACACCACCTCCATCAGCCAAAATGGCTGGAAGGCTTAGACCGTGTACCCAAAGCAGCCATTGCAGCTTTTTGAGTCACAGTCCTAAACTTTACCCATTTCCCCTCGGCATCAGGAGGAGGGGACGATGCCAACCCCAACTGCAAGAGATGATGAAATTCTTGCTTGCAAATTTCATCAGCTAGCTGAGACCAGGCCACTGTGGGTTTGAATGGGGTCCTAGATGTACACCTACCACCAAAGTGGAAGAATGGCAAGCGCATCTTACAGATGACAAGCCGATGGTCAGTGGGCAGATCAGCACCACAGTAGGCGCTGGTTTTAAGGACATTCACCCGCATCCGCTGTTTTGTCACTATATAGTCTAGAAGATGTTCTTGCTTGGACCCAGAATGCATCCATGATGTTGTATGGATGCGCTGATGCTGGAACAGCGTGTTGGTACTTACATCCCCAATGGACTGCACAAAAGTCTAGCAGCCTTCTACTGTTGTTGTTGAGCTGATCTGGCCCCATGCCTTCAAATCACTCCAGCCCAGATGCCAGCATCATGACCAACTCAGGCATTAAAGTCAACCAACAGGATGACTCTATCCCGAAGGGCCACTTTAGCTAGCACCTGTGACAGGTCATAGAAGGCATTGGCCTTGCCTGCATACCTCTACTGATGTTCGTCTTCGGTGGGGGCAAAAGTACCCACCACAACCATTCCTCACCTCTGGCTGATGGAAAGATGAGCCCACAGTAGCCTGGGGCTTACAGCTTCCCACATCTCACAGGCCTTGCTCCTACGCCCCCATCATTATTTTGTTCAGAAGAAGAGACACTTCCTGTTGTTTAGCAGTCTCCTTCCCGGAGTAGAGGATTGTCCACCCCTCATGGTGGCAGGAGCCAGGGCCAGTCCACCGGACCTCCAGAATACCACAGATATCCAGGCAGCACTGGTCCAGTTCCCGACAGAGGAGTGGCAGCCTCTCCCTCAACAGTGAACATTCGAACATTCCACGTGGGCAGCCGCAGCGTCTTTTTGCGTTTCTGGAGGAATCCCAAGGGTAATGATTCAGTCTCCTGGCTTTTGTCAAATGCTGTTTGGCCAGGAGACGTCATAGACATCTGTCTCCCCGGGGCCTCCGGCACAAGCTTAGCTAGATATTAATCGCGTGGTTTTGTGATAATTAATTGAAGGTGGAGGGGTTATAAGCCCCTCACACTCATCTAGAGCCCCCATTTGGCCGCTGTGGTGGCTACAAGCGCCATGAGGGGAATAGCCGATTTTGGAATTGGCCTCCCCTGCATGGTGTTGCTCACATTCACCACAGCATTACCATCCTGCGCACACACAGGACACACACATGGACACATAAAGAGACACATAGAGACACACAGGGGGTCCTTACTTGTATCTAGCCGTAGGCTGTTCCTCTAGCCAATGGAATCGGCAGCAATAGCAACAGCAGCAGACAGTTGACGTCATGTGACCCTGAAAGACAAAGATCCCCCATGTAGCCTTTAACAGACTGTAGAGGCAAGGGCTGTTATTGCGCAGCACCTATGAAGGTAGTGATGATGATGGTGGTGGCGGTGATTCATTCAAATTCTTTTTTTTTAAACTCGCCACCGCTAAACCAGGTACTCATTTGAGGCTGAGTCGACCTAGAAGGCCCAGAAATGGTTCAGATAATCGTCACTGGTGTTGGTCATGAGCAGAAAACAAACTCGGGTCAATGAGTTCGTAGTCCAGCGTGCTAACCACTACACTACCGCCACTATAACCACCACTACCTCCACCACCACAATCACCACCATCGCCACTACCACCACCACCATCACCATCCCAGTCAGGGGTGCCACGGTGGCTAGATGTTAACTCTCTCGCCTGGAATACAAGAGGTCGTGGGTTCGATCCTGACCCTGACGCCTGCTGTATATTTGGAGTTTGCATGCCTCTCTCCCCGTTGGCATGTGGATTTTTCTAGGTTCCTCCGGGTGTTCCCCTCCACGTTTAGAATCAACGTCACACGTTTAGTCATTTGGCTGCTATACATTTCCACATATTTCTAAACGTGGACAGATAAAACCGGAAGACCAGGAGACAAACCACACCGACTAGCACGGTTGGCTGTGTACGGCGCGAAAGAAGTTCGACGTACAACATTACACGACACACCACTTCGTTGAGCTAATCATTTGCGATGGCCAGGGTGGCGGCTTCTGAATACAAGTTCTTCGCAGCTCAGTGGGGCCTTACGCTTTGGTAAAAAAACTAAATTTGTCATCTACAAATGTTACGGGAAATGAGCACAGGAAGTGGCAGCAAGTGCCTCTGTGCGATAACAACGCTCGAATCCATGACAAGTCAAACCGCCGAACCCACCACCAGTGACTTTTGAAACACCCCCAAAACCCACTGAGGGGTTTTTCCCCCAAAATGAATTCCGGGCAAGCAAACTTGATGCTTGATGATAAATCTAACGGTTGTTCAATTAAAAACTCCGCCATTGCGAAATGGGGTTTTAAAGGATGCTTCTTTGTCCTCCTGGCCCTGATTCCAGTCGGTATTTGTGTTTCCTAAATGAAAACTTATTACAACTCGACATTGTTTTTTTGTCACCGTGTGTAAGGCCAACTGAGCTTGTTAGTTTCTTTTTCAGAAGCGACCTTTCAAAAATGGCTTTCACAAATGATAGCTAAACGTAGTGGCTAAATTATCATCGTCATTGCATAGCAGTAGCCAAATACTCTAAACTCGTGGTGATGTTGATTCTAAATTATTAGGGGACAAACCGGAGGACCCGGACAAAAATCCATGTGACCATGGGGAGAGAGAGACGCGAACTCCAAATATACTGTAAGCGTCAGGGTCGGGATCGAACTACCAACGACCTCTTGTATTCTAGGCAAGGTAGTTAACATCTCACCACTGTGGCTAAACGCATAGATACCCATGGAATATATAGAAATCTATTATTTTTGTCTTTTGGTGACTTCACCGGGCGTGGTGCTGGCCACCCACCCCCTCGTTTCCCACAGTGTCAGCCTTCATAGGCGCTGCTGCTGCTGCTACTCGCTACTACTAACACTTGCCCCAACAGCCTTTTAAGGCTACACAGGGGATCTTTGTCTCTGTATGCAGAAGTAGCGCGGCAGTGAAATGAGCTTTCACTCACCACTTCCTTTGTTGCCAGAATCTCTCTCTGTAACCACAGACAGACACACATGCACACAGAGACACATCACGCGGATGATGAATCAAATGATGTAGCCATCACGAAGTCTCATTCAGATGATGCTGGATGCAATTACCAGTAAAATGTCACTGTACTCAAATTGTAAATGTTGTGGATTTATTCTCCAACACACCAGTGGGTTGAAGTAGTAACTAATTGACGCGTTGTTCACGTGACAAACCCAAAAACCTTTATTGTGAATAATATTGGTTGTTAAAGCCTCGGTGCTAAACTATCTGTGTGTGAGTCACAAACACACTGTGAACTTCCCTGCTTAAGCCCTGTTTGCGTGACGAATGGACACATCTGGAGGCCATTACAGAGAACAGTGGTGCAGTCATCTGAGGCCAAATCTGGTCTCTCCCTAAAACCAAAAATTACAAACAAATTTTGTTTTACCAGGTGTAAGGCCCACCTCAGCAAATGTGTAGCTCGTTTTTAGAAGCGACCCTGGGCCATCGCAAATGATGGCAGCTTAACGAATGTTTACTTAGACTGTAGGAGGAGGAATCCGAGGATCTATAAAGCTCTTTTGTAACAGATGTCCAGTAAGGGCACAGGGGCAAGAACATTACAACAACAAGCACGCGATACACAATCACGATAGGAGTGCAAAGCACAAGAAAGGAAGACGAATCATCCAAACACATACAACACTAAACCATCCCCATCGTACCAGGCAAAGCACACCGAGTTATTAATTTATTTTTCAGAAGCGACCTGGCCATCACAAATGATAGCTCTACCAAGTGGCTCATTATCACCGCGAGCTAAAGTACCCTAAACGCGTGGCGACATCGATTCTAAAGTTGAGGGTGATAAGTAATATTTAAAAATACTCTTTTTTTAAACACGCTTTTATGAAAAGTACCGTACGAGTAATGGCAGAACTCCACAACTCCAGGAAGTGGCCGCAAAGCTTGCCATAACGCAAGGGGCTGTGGTGATTTACAGCCAACGTTAGTTGAGCGTGGACAATTAGACCCAAGCCGAAACATAATATATAAAAAAGATTGTTTGAAAAAATGTTTTTGATGGAATATAGTATTATCATCAGTAAGACATAAGTATACCAAGTTCGCAGTCGATACCACATTGGGAAGTGGGTTAAAATAGAGTTACAAGATTTGAGGATACGACAACAACAAATAAAAGCGCGTAAAAACCGGAGGGCCCGGAGAAAAATCCATGCGACCATGGGGAGGGAGACATGCCAACTCAAATATACAGCAGTATCAGGGTCGGGATCGAACCCACGCCTCCTGTATACCAGACGAGGTAGTTAGCGTCTCGCCAACGTTAAGGCAGCCAGCCTGCTAGCTTGGTGGTTGGGTGACCCATGAGGTCTCAGGGTGTGCGGTTTGGCCTTGAAATTATGTCGAGGGCACCTCCAATTATGACGGTTGGCTAGGTACGGTACAAAATAAGTTCAACACACATACATAGACTCGTATCGAGACCCAGAGACTCATCACACAGGGAGCCCTAGACTCGCACAGAGACCTATAGACTCACACAAATAACCAGACTCACAGTGAGAGACACAGACTCACACAGAGACCCACAAACTCACACAAAGAACCATAGACTTACACAGATACCCATAGACTCACCACCACACAGATACCCATAGACTCACACAGAGAGACACAGACTCACAAAGAGACCCATAGACTCACACAGAGACTCATAGTTTGTTGTTCTTTACCTCGCAAATCCAATTAGCACAAATAAGTTCAATATACAGTTTTGTTTATTACATGGAGACAAACGTGGGAAGGAGAGGCTACGATGTGAGTGTGTTTATGTTTGCATCGTGCTGTGTTGAAACTGGGCACCACTCACCGCTTCCTTTGTGGGAGGAATCTTTCTCTGTAAACAGAAACACATCGGAGACACATCACGTGGACGGTAAATCACGCGGCATACCCATAGGACAATTCAGTTCGGTTTCTTTGAAATTAATTTGTGTGTCCTTATGTCTGCAGCCAACACAGCCTTGCCTGCCAGTGTAGCTCACCGATGGGAATGTGTCCACATCATCCAATGATCTGTGAGCTCCGCACACAATCCAGCCTGGTTAAACCCAGGATAGATCATAGGCAGGCCAGCCTGAATGTTTATAACTAGTGCAGATGTTCCATTAGGGAGGTTCACGTTTCACAAGCATAGAGAAGGGAAGGCATGACCGTGGCCGAGAAGACCCGAAGCTTCGTGCGGAGTGACAGACCAGGTAGCTTCCACACAGCGTTACGCAGCCAATCAAAAGATAATGCCACTCGACTTATTCGGAGTGAGACCTCTACTGTCAAACTGGAGCTGGCCATAAGCACACTGCCCAGGTATGGAAAACTCTCCACTCATCACCAATGGGGAGTTGAGGGGGTGGAGTATTTGATGACACAAAATACCCAGGCAGGTGCTTAGTTTTGGTGGGGCTGATGGTAAGGCCCCACCTCTTAGTGGCACACTCCAGGTTCAGCAGCAGTGCCTCCAACTCCTTCTCAGGTGGGCAAAGACAAGACCCCCTATATACAGTGAGGGAAAAAAGTATTTGATCCCCTGCTGATTTTGTACGTTTGCCCACTGACAAAGAAATGATCAGTCTATAATTTTCATGGTAGGTTTATTTAAACAGTGAAAGACATGATAACAACAAAAAAATCCAGAAAAACGCATGTCAAAAATGTTATAAATTGATTTGCATTTTAATGAGGGAAATAAGTATTTGACCCCTCTGCAAAACATGACTTAGTACTTGGTGGCAAAACCCTTGTTGGCAATCACCAAGGTCAGACGTTTCTTGTAGTTGGCCACCAGGTTTGCACACATCTCAGGAGGGATTTTGTCCCACTCCTCTTTGCAGATCTTCTCCAAGTCATTAAGGTTTCGAGGCTGACGTTTGGCAACTCAAACCTTCATTTCCCTCCACAGATTATCTATGGGATTAAGGTCTGGAGACTGGCTAGGCCACTCCAGGACCTTAATGTGCTTCTTCTTGAGCCACTCCTTTGATGCCTTGGCCGTGTGTTTTGGGTCATTGTCATGCTGGAATACCCATCCACGACCCATTTTCAATGCCCTGGCTGAGGGAAGGAGGTTCTCACCCAAGATTTGACGGTACATGGCCCCGTTCATCGTCCCTTTGATGCGGTGAAGTTGTCCTGTCCCCTTAGCAGAAAAACACCCCCAAAGCATAATATTTCCACCTCCATGTTTGACGGTGGGGATGGTGTTCTTGGGGTCATAGGCAGCATTCCTCATCCTCCAAACACAGCGAGTTGAGTTCATGCCAAAGAGCTCCATTTTGGTCTCATCTGACCACAACACTTTCACTCAGTTGTCCTCTGAATCATTCAGATGTTCATTGGCAAACTTCAGACGGGCATGTATATGTGCTTTCTTGAGCAGGGGGACCTTGCGGGCGCTGCAGGATTTCAGTCCTTCACGGCGTAGTGTGTTACCAACTGTTTTCTTGGTGACTATGGTCCCAGCTGCCTTGAAATCATTGACAAGATCCTCCCGTGTAGTTCTGGGCTGATTCCTCACCGTTCTCATGATCATTGCAACTCCACGAGGTGAGATCTTGCATGGAGCCTCAGGCCGAGGGAGATTGACAGTTCTTTTGTGTGTCTTCCATTTGCCCAATAATCGCACCAAGTGTTGTCACCTTCTCACCAAGCTGCTTGGCGATGGTCTTGTAGCCCATTCCAGCCTTATGTAGGTCTACAATCTTGTCCCTGACATCCTTGGAGAGCTCTTTGGTCTTGGCCATGGTGGAGAGTTTGGAATCTGATTGATTGATTGCTTCTGTGAATAGGTGCTTTTTATACAGGTGTAATGGGTCCCGGAGACACTTGTAGAGGTAACTTCTTTATTACAATCCAACACTCCAACAGTCCAACAGTCCAACTACTCTGTTACAGCCTAGGTACACAGCCTAGATACACTACTCTGGCTACGCTCTGGAACTCGCCCTCACAAGCACGTAGAGCCGGGAGTTCCAGAGTCCCACCACTCGCTCTTACAGCATCCCAGGGTCCTCAGATGGCTGGTCTTGGGTCTTGGGTCTTGAGCTACAACTGGCCCTGATCGTCCAGGGAGCTCCCCTTTTATGCCTAGTCCCCAACGAGGGATGGGGCCGTGTGCGCCCCCAGATATCCCACAGAGCACACACAGCCCCCCCCCCCCCCCCCCCCGTTGATGGCGCCAAGCGGATTAAGCGCCTGGGCCGCCCGGGAACCCAACGCCTGGCGCCAAGAGGCTTAAGCGTCTGACCCGCCTGGGAACCCAGCGCCTGGCGCGAAGGGGCCCAAGCGCCTGGCCCGCCCAGGGTCCCAGAGCCCCCAGCAGCCCCTCCCTTCTTATGTCACTACACAGGTAACAAGCTGAGATTCGGAGCACTCCCTTTAAGAGTGTGCTCCTAATCTCAGCTCGTTACCTGTATAAAAGACACCTGGCAGCCAGAAATCTTTCTGATTGAAAGGGGGTCAAATACTTATTTCCCTCATTAAAATGCAAATCAATTTATAACATTTTTGACATGCGTTTTATGGATTTTTGTAGTTGTTATTCTGTCTCTCACTGTTCAAATAAACCTACCATTAAAATTATAGACTGATCATTTCTTTGTCAGTGGGCAAACGTACAAAATCAGCAGGGGATCAAATACTTTTTTCCTTCACTGTATACTTAACAGACTGTTGGGGCAAGTGCTGTTAGTGAGCACCTAGGAAGTGGGCACACACACCCGAACACTCACCCATACACTCACCCATTCACTCACCCACACACTCTATGAGTCTCTGGGTATTTGTGAGTCTCTATGGATCTCTATGAGTACGGGTCTCTATGAGTTTGTATCGGTCTCTGTGAGTCTATATCGGTATCTATGAGTACGGGTCTCTGTGGGTCTCTATGAATCACTGGGTATCTGTGAATCTGTATGGGTATCTATGAGGCTCTGGGGTCTCAGCGAGTCTGTATTGGTCTCTATATGTATGCGTCTCTGTGGGTCTCTATGAATCACTCGGTATTTGTGAGTCTGTATGGGTCTCTATGAGTCTCTGGGTCTCTATGAGTCTCTGGGTCTCTATGAGTCTGTAGAAACACGCGTTCAGAGTGTTTGTCTGCCGCGTTCAGAGTGTTTGTCTGACAAAGAGCTACGCAGCTCGGCGAGGCGTCTGTTGATCCCTCGCAGATGGAGACAGTGGACAGACGCTGTTTGTGCCCAGAAGCGTCCTCGAGGCTCACTGTATGCGAGGCGTGCTGCAGCTCGTTGGCGTGGGATGTACCCGTCTGTGTGTGTCTCTGTGTGTCAGTGTGTATGTGTCTATGTATGTGCCTGTTTCAGTGTGTGTGTCTGTGTCAGTGTCTATGTGTGTGTCTGTGTGTGTCTATGTCAGTGTGTCTGTGTGTTGGCACAGTAGGGGGCACAGGTGGTACATCAGCAGTCATTTCAGTCAGTCGACCCATGGCACCTGGGTCTGCCCTGTGACCTGTCAGCGGGTGTTTGACACTTCACGTGGCCTTAACGTGGACATAGCCTGGCACAAGCGCCGTAGTGACATGACCGCGACTTGGCGGCGACTTGGCGGCGAATGGCGGTGGTTGTGTGTGTCAGTGTCTGTGTGTGTCAGTGTCTTGTCTCTCTCTCTCAAAATGTAACGCAACTTCTAATTTAGCATTGTTTAGAAGAACATAATCAGCCAGGCTATGCGTTAATTGTGTGTTGACCGACTCTATGTGTTGCATTGCATTACATTTCCAAATATTACTAAGTTTGTTTGATTAAGTGTGTTTTCTCTCTCTCTCTCTGTCCTCGTGTTGTTGCTCTAGTATTTCCTGCAGTCACGAAAGCTCCAAATCTCTCATTGGCATGCTCATTTCTCTACCCCCTCTCTCTCTGCCCTTCTCTCTCTCCATTTAAGGCCTCGACACAGAGGCGTTGTTTCTCTGTGTGCCTATGTGTGTCTCTCTCTGTGTGTCTCTGTGTTATCTCTCTCTGCTTATCTTTAGAAGAACGTAATCAACCAGGTAGGGTGTCGACTGTTATGTTATCCGACTCTCTGTGTTGTATTCATTATATTTCTATGTTTACTAGGTTTATTTCCTCTTTTATTTGTACCTGATAATGATTGCTTGTGTTGCAATCGAAACGTCGTATGCTATTACGCTTTGGTTCTTTCGGTAAAGTCACGTAGGTATGAAATAAAATAAATAAAATAAATGTCCTTTTATACCTACGTGACTTTACCGAAAAAACCAAAGAGTATGGATCCATGCAGTCATGAAAGCTTCAAATCAAGATTGTCGTATACTATTATTACATTTATTTTTTCTTTCTACGTAACTTTACCGAAAGAACCAAAGAGTAATTCCTGCAGTCACGAAAGCTCCAAATCAAGCTTGTCCTTCCTGTCTATTGTATGCATTAAAACAGCCTCCTACCGTTGTTATTGACCTGATCTGGCCCATGCCTTCCAATCACTCCAGACCAGGTGGTAGCATCATGACCAACTCGGGCATTAAAGTCACCCAACAGGATGACTCTATCCCGAGGGGCCACTTTAGCTAGCACCTGTGAAAGGAGCTCATAGAAGGCATCTAACTCATCGGCCTTGCCTGCATCCCTCCACGGATGTCCGTCTTGGGTGGGGGCAGAAGTAGCCACAACCACCACTCTTCGCCTCTGGTTGATGGGAAGGCAAGCCCAAAGTAGCCTGGGGCTCACAGTTTCCCACACCTCACCACCATGCTCCCATGCCCTCTTCATTATTTTCAGAAGAAGAACCACTCCCTTTTGTTTAGCAGTCTCCTGCCCCGAGTAGAAGACTGTCCACACCTCATGGTGGCAGGAGCCAGAGCTAGTC